CACTAAGTTCTTCGAAAAGGATTTGAATAAGATGTATAATGAGGGGTCCATTTTGAGAAATGAGAGATTGTGATTAGTCCAGTGTATACTGAAACTAAATGAATGGAACAGAGGTGATGCCATTTTCTGTAGGTGATTGGGATTATAGCCGGTACCACTCAGAGTGGAAGCTAACAATGAAACTTTTCACATCAGCCAAGTAGTTCAAGACATTGCTGAGGCAACGTGGAAACTCAATCAGAGCACATTCATGGCTCTAAATCCGAAGATTCTATAGATTATCCGGCGCTTATATTTTTTTCTTGTCCTGATAAATTACATCTTTTTGTGGTTCGTATTTTCCCCTTCTCCGCTGACCTATACCTATTTGAACAGGTTCGTCTAAAAACAGATCATCCAAATGCAAAAGAGTTGTGGGTCATCCATTTTATCACCTTCTCTGAGGGATAATCTTTAATTAAGTAAAGAAACAAAGTATATCGAACAAAGTGTAAGCCACGATGTGCGTCTTTTTTAAGACAACTTTGTGTTGTTTCTATACTTCTTCGATAAGAAAAACTCTATGCAAAGTTCATTTTTTCAACTAGTCAGCAATACTAAGAATGATTATAACCACAATTGTGTTGGGCGAAACCTCTTCCATTTTTAGTCTATGAGTCACTGAACTTCGAATATGGTGGACTACTTTAAATTAAAAGCATATTAGTTTTAACTAAAATGTTTGGTTTTGTACCATAATTAATGCATATAATAAAGGAGAGGATCAAAAAATAAATCATGGACAAATTGAATACTAATGGAAGTAAACGTCTGTATTCAACTACTTGTGAACATACTTTAGAATGAATAATATATAATGGGAGGTAGTTGCCTCTATTGTAAAGATGTTGAGGATCACTTTTCAGTGCTCAAAAGTCAACTGCCACAGTAAACATGAAAATATCCAACAAAACCTCAATTGCAGTCGTTTTAGCGTTGTGGTTGCCGGTGGCGGCTGCTAACTCAAAAGATGTTTCTCCAAAAAGCTTTAAAATCAGATTTGATGTCAGAAGAGGTTCAGCTAGAGACTTGTTGTCCCCAATCGGTGAATCCCGTCCCAAATTCGTCAAACGTGATAACGAAGGATCTTTTGAAATAGAATTAGTTAATGAACAAACGTTCTATCTTGCCGATTTATACATTGGGTCTAATGAAGACAAGAATCAGGTGCTTGTGGATACTGGAAGCTCAGATCTTTGGGTCATGTCCCACGATCTTGAATGTTACGCTTCTTACTATAGCGGAAGAAAAAGAGATGCTAAAAATGTACTCCATGCTGGTACTGGACTCAAGTTTATTGATGACAAAGTGGATAAGTCCAACAAGAAAAGACAACTTGGGGAGAAAGCGCCAGAACCAATAAAATCGAGAAATAGAATTCCAGAAAAAAGGGCACAATCAGATAGTGCTAGATTCAGCTACACTTATCTTACTGATTACCCGGAAGCTAGTCAATACCCCGAGCCTACAATTTCAATTCCGTATAGTGATTATACCTATGAATCTTATAATGGAGCAGCCACCTGCACGTCCTATGGTACCTACAACACTGAAAACTCCGACACATTTTCCCAAAACGATACTGACCCATTTGAAATTAGTTATGCAGATGGAACTTTTGCTTTAGGGATCTGGGGCCATGACACTGTTAGAATTGGTAACTTGTCTGTTCGAGATTTAAGCTTTGCTATTGCTAACGAATCCTCTAGTGATATTGGGGTATTGGGGATTGGGTTGCCGGGTTTGGAAGTCACTCAAGACATTGGGGGATACTCATATGAGAACTTGCCATTGAAGATGAAGTCTGATGGTGTTATTAACAAAGCATTGTACTCATTGTACTTGGACAAAGCGGATGCTGACAGTGGCTCAATTTTATTTGGTGCTGTTGACCATGCCAAGTATGTGGAGACTTTAGAAACTTTGAAGTTGAGAAATACATACGAAGAGTATGACTACCCGGTGAAGTTTGAAGTTGCGGTTGACAACATTAGTGTCGACAAGAATGGAAAGAATACTACCGTCTTGTCGTCTACTACGGGTGCTGTATTAGACTCCGGTTCAACTTTGTCATATTTACGCTCAAACCAAATTGCAGCCATTGCTGAAGCCCTCGATGGGACTTACTCTTCCAGTTCAGATGCTTACATAATTGACTGTGATTATGAAAATGATCGTTCAACCACTATAGATATTACTTTTGGAAATAAGGTGATCAAAGTTCCCGTGGCAGATTTGGTTCTTGAGTCATATTATGGCTCAACGTGTTATTTAGGACTTTTCCGACAATCGTCAAGCACGACATATATTTTGTTTGGTGATAATGTGTTGAGGAGTGCTTATGTTGTGTACGACTTGGAAGACAATGAAGTTCATATTGGACAAGCTTACTACACTGAGGATGAAGATATTGAAGTTGTTGACCAAAGTGTTCCTACTACAGGAGGACAGAAACCTACATCCACTGATACTGATTCGACTGCAACTGGAGCTGAATCTGGAAGCAGCAGCCGCTCGACATTGGCATCTAGAAGTACTGTTGCAGCGGAATCAAGAACCACCAGTGGATCAGCATCTAGAAGCACTAGTGCTTCAGCTTCTGGTAGTAGTAGTGGATCTGGATCTGGGTCTGAAACGGGATCATCTTCATCAGCTACATCTTCATCAGCTACATCTTCATCAGCTACATCTTCATCTACAGCTGCAGGTGGAAGTTCAAACGACGGAATGTCTTTGTTTGCAAAGTCATGGACTTTCATGGTCGGAGGATTATTAACCGCAGTTGTGATCATTATTTAGTTTTTAGTTTTATTCTTTTTACTTTATGGGAAATTAAAGCGATCTTTTGTTGGCTACTGATTGTGTTCTAATGTAGTCGTAGTAGAGAAGCCTCACACCTATGGTTGTTAACCGCATGTAGAGTTGTGTGTGTGCGGGGAGAGGGGGGCAATGGCGATTTTCATGTTTAGTAAAGAAAAAGCTTAACTACTAAAAGGCATGGAGGTAGCCTTGGAATTGTACGTTTCTAATAATTTATACGGCATTTCACTTGTTTAGACTTAGTATGAGCTAAAAATCTCTGATCTTTGTAATCTCCTCAAAGATTAAATAATGTTTTAAAGTATTGTTCTATGTATTTCACAAGATTAGAAAACAAACTCAGGGGGTGAAACATTATTATTAAGACAATATAATGCATGGAATACTGCTACATAGTAACTTAAACACGTTCGCGTTGACACAAACACAAAGTTTATGACTATAGTGAAAAGAAAAGAGTAGGTGGAAATTGCATGACTTTAATGAAAAGCTTTAATGCAGCTACGGTTATTGATAAAGCAAAATTAAGTAGGTCTTAAAGAATGGGTAACGAGGAAAGGGTAAAAAGGATGTTTCTAGTTTTGCGCTTAAAACTTTTCTTGTCCTTCTTTGCAAATTAATGTACAATTTATAGATGGACTAGAGACAAGAAACCAAGAAAAAAGATACAGAAACAGAAAATGGGCGTTCAACAATGGTTACTGATATCTCCAAGGATGGCTACTACTAACTCTAGCATTCGTGTTGGGGTTGATACTACGAATACAAAAATCAATTGTTATCACTTGGAGTGAATGAGCCCCTGCTCGTTTGCTTTAGTTGACTAGATGGTTTCAGGACTTTTAAAATATATCCTACTGGAAGCATAGTTGTTTGGTCTGGCTTTTTAGCCAGCACTTTTACTGAGTGTGAAGCGTCAATTAAAAACCAAGCTTTTTAAGAGGAAGATTTTCGTAATGCTGGCTTTGTGTTTCGTATTGTCCTCGTAATTGATCACAAGAAAATTGATGAGAATTCATGAAATGAGTTTTAGAGGAGACATTTGTAGAGTTCAAACAATCCATACTATATCATTGCTTTTGAGACTCAACTGGCTATATAATGAAACTAATTTCAAGGATGGTGGCCCTTTCACCAAGTGGAATTGACAATGAGAGCTGACTACATATGCCGCGTGACCGCTCTCTACACATGTTTGTTGGTAGTGGTAACAGCTGATACACTACTGACACCAACACCCTCGAGTTGCTTAAAAATGAACTTTAATGTCAGGAGAGGCTCATTGCAAAGGAATACATCCCCATTAACCAGTTCCGATTCTAAAGTTGAAAGAGACCCTGGTGAGGAAGGTGCATTGCCAATAGAAGTGCGTCTCAACAGGACCCTTTACATTACTGAGCTACTTATTGGTTCCAACAAGGATAGGCATCAGGTTCTTGTGGATACAGGAAGCTCGGACCTATGGTTTATGTCTTCTGATGTTTATTGCCTTGCATCTACCATGAAACAAGAGGAAGGGAGGGGAGGTAAAAGTGAACTACAATCACGTGAATTGGCTCAAAATCAACCCATGTCTAAAAGATCTTTGAAGGACAACCAGAGCGCAAATTCGAATTTAGTTAACCTCGCTGATTTTCTAGGAGAGACTGAGTATCCTGATCCTGGTAACGAGATTGTATCCACAGACTCGAATCCTATAACCTACAATGAAACCAACATATGCAAATTTCACGGCTCATTCAATACAGAAGAATCGGATACATTTGTGCATAACAATACCGGCCCATTTGAGACTAACTATGCTGATGATACATATGCAAAAGGCATTTGGGGTTACGACACTGTCGGAATTGGCAACACATCAATAGCGAATCTAAATTTTGCTGTTGTTAATGAATCTTCAAGTGATTTTGGGGTGTTGGGGCTTGGATTGCAGTTATGGGAGCTGGTCGAAAATTTGAGCCACATGTATGAGAACCTACCCATGAAGTTAAAATCAGTGGGCGTAATCGATAAAGCTATGTATTCATTATATTTGGATAATGCTGATGCCCTCAGTGGCACTGTTTTGTTTGGTGCTGTAGACCATGCCAAGTATGAGGGAACATTGGAAACATTGCCAGTAAGGAAAACTTATGATGAAGACGCCCATCCAACAAAGTTTCAAGTGATGATTAACCAACTTACCATCAACAACAAGACTGAGTCTCTTGAGATTTTGGTGGGATCTGACTATGCCGTACTAGATTCAAGCTCAACCTTGTCTTATTTTCGCAAATCGCAAATACGGGACATTGTCAAAACGCTTAATGGACAATTTTCAAGCTTTGCTGGTGCATATGTGATTGACTGTAGCTACAAGAATTCAGAATCAACTTTGGACATCACATTCACCAACAAGACCATTAGAGTTCCAGTATCTGACTTGGTGATTGAATCACCCTTGAACTCTACCTGCTACTTGGGGATTTTGGAGCAGTCAGTGGGCTCATTATATATTTTGTTTGGTGATAACATATTAAAGAACGCTTACATTGTTTATGATTTGGAAGATTATGAGATCCATATTGGCCAAGCTTATTACACTGATGACGAGGATATCGAAACTGTTGAAGATAACGTTCCTACTGCAGGGGGACAAAATGTTACGACAGTAGAGGGGAGCCGTCGGTCAACTGCGAAAAACAGCGGATTATCGTTAGAGAATTGGTCATGGACTTACACGTTAGGTTTGTTGTTCCTCACCATAATATAAGAGTTATCTAATCTCTTTATATTTATTACAATCTTGTAACAGGCTCTAGAATGATTTCGAGCCAAAAAAGATCTGTTTATTACACTTTTTTTACGCCTTTGCATCTTATGCCTTAGTGCCAAGGTTAAACTTTATAATACTCCCCAATATACATGAGTAGTCCACTCAACTCATTCTGCTTGCTCATTTGTTTTCCTTTGGTTTCCTCTGGTTCCACACATCATCACCTCTCTCTTCTCCCTCTCTCCATCTAGCCTCTCGATAGCTCTTTTTCTTGTCGCTATCCTCATCTATCCTCCACGAGTCCTTCAAAATATCAATCTAATCAACTCCAATATAGCACCGCCAGCTACTAAAAATAACAACACAAACAACCACGCTCTCGATACTGGGTATTCAACTTTTTCCTTGTCAGCTTTAGGTTTTCCCCATTGTTTCGTTACTTTCTTTTCAAACTTGGCATTAGCCGCTCTTTGTTTTGGAGTTTGTAAAGCCTAACTAGTTAGTACAGGTTTCAGAAGGTCACTTATGTTGAATTAGTGGCACAACACTCTATTTGAACATACCATTTTCGTCTCTGCCTTGTTATGATTTGGTGACTCTTTTGGTAAAGAAAACAAGGGTTTTTCGTGGAGACCGTGTTTATGTCTTTTTTTTTTTATTTTTCGTTTGTCAAGAGACCACGTCAGAAAGTTTCAACAGCGCGTCTACGCTACCACAGTGTAAAAAGGCTAGATAAGACGATCATCAGGTGTATGTACTCTCCTGCTTCCAAAATGGTATCTACAATTAAATAATTTGTCTTCAAGTAAAAGTCTTTTCTGTTTCGAGATTACGCTCAAATCATATATACTTAGTAATCAAATGTAAGTATCATTTGCACAAAACTTGCTGCAAAAAGAAAGTATAAAAGGGGACAATTTTATTCCTCATCTTACGTTGATGCATACAGGGATAAACTGCCCTACAGAATTGCCAGTTTTTGATACAGGCAAAGTATACAAAACATTCTTAGAATCAAGACTCAGTTTTCCTCCATGGTAATAGGGAGCTATATCATAAGAAAAGAAAAAAAAATGAAAAAAAAAGGAGCATATCCAAGTAGCGTTGCCCGGTTTCGATCCGGGGACTTCAGGGTTATGAGCCCTGCACGCTTCCACTGCGTCACAACGCTGTCGTGTACCATGTTCAAAATCCTGGGATCAAATAAGGTGCTCAAATTATGGAACATTTCACAGATTGAAGGCCAATGAGTTTTAGCTTACTGCTAAACTGGGTAAAAGTGTAAAAGAGCGCTTTAGGGTTGTTGGTACTAAATATACGCACTGATACAGTGTAAAGGTGAATAATGAAGTGAGATGTATTTAGTGAACAACTACCAAATGCGTGTTGCTAGAAAGTATCATCTATCTTGTTGCTATATCTTATACTATGGAATATAAATATGTTTGAGCTTACAACACACTCAGAGAAGTTTAATATCCTGACTAACTTACTTATCAACCGATTGTATACCAATGAGCGTCTGAATTGCTATTGGGTACACTTGATTTTGTAAGAGCTTCATACTACAACAATTATATCTTCCAATGAGTTGCTACTACTACTCGCTATATGCTACAGATCAATTTTAAATGAACTATTCAGGGTGTTTCTCCAAATAAGCAACTGTCATATTGTAGTATGCCACTACTTCTTCATCAGTAATGGTCCAAGTCTGAACATCTCCTTCTTCTTGTTCTTGTTCTTGTTCTTGTTCTTGTTCTTGTTCATCATCTTCACCATCAATATCAATATTAATTTCGTCTTCGTTACTCCCAGCAAAAGAATCCAACCATTGGATATACCCGCTCTCCATTTTTTTCTTGTTCCATTCTGACAAAATGAAAAGCTCTTCAAACCCAGTTCCGTTCCAAGTCATCATCTTCCAATTGCCATCGTCTGACCGATCATAGTTTGAACTCAATTCCAATCTTACTAATTCGCCATTCAGCTCCAAATCCGGCCCATCTTCATACAATTTGTTACCTTTCAGCGGACCATTTTTGACGTAGTACGGGTACGTAACAGGTTCATCCAACTCAGGCCTGCCAAGCTTTGCAAATTTGTTGTCTGCGGAAGCTCCTACAGCAAGAAGCACTGTGAGCCAGACATTAAGAATTATTGACGTAAACATTAACATTCTCAAGTTTAGTAGTTATCCAAAATAAAATTTTTGGAGAAGAAATAAAAGTGGATTTTGGTTCTCTTATCTATCAAATTTAAGCAAAACATTGTGCCACTTTTTTTAATTTTCTTTTGCGATTGCGCGATTTTTGTTCTAAAAATAAACTTCAGAGGAAAGGAGAGGTGACTCGTTTAGAAGAACCTGCATAACATTCAATCCCTTGACGTAATTTCACCTATTCAATATGTTTTATAGGCAAATTGGGAAACCACAGGGTAAGCATTTAACCCTTTCAATTGTGTATCAGCAAATAGCGTAATATTTCAACTCTATATATCTTATGCACCAATACCCCATATATATACTGATAAACCTGCTTTATGTGTATAGCAGCTCTAATTTAAAAGAGCACCTTCTTGTATAAAATTAATATGATAGTTTTCTGCTATATGCTCTTGAAGCTAAGCCATTCATAAAACACTAAGGTTGTGGGATTGTACCAAACGCATCATTTAAATTGCGCCTGTCAAAGCCTTATTTTTCTTCAGTGGTGCTTGTAGCACAAAACAGCACATAGTCTATTTTCAGCAGAAACCTCTTAGGGCTATGAAGATACCCCTCAGAGAGCAAACATCATCTTTCCTTTCAATATACAAAGCACCAATCTACAATGCACAAGCAGTAAAACTTATATTCAAAAACTAAAAATATAACGTACGAAACCATCTTGGCATTTTAGATGGCAGAAACACTTGAGGCAGATGTGAATTTCACTTGAGCGAGTGAAATTGTCTCTTTATCCAAATTGTAAACAATATAAGCATGTCTCAAGAAGTTGACACCCAAGATTGGAGGAACTCTTTGTCTGTCAGAGCTCTGTAAACCCCATACACAACCAGAATTACTTCTGAGAACAAATTCGGACAATGGGACCGAGATTTTAGCACCGTTGTCAAAAGTGAAGGAAGCACTGTCTTGGAGATTGGCGTTACAATCAATGAAGTAAAGTTCAGAACCATTACCCACCGGCTCCAAATAGGCACCAACCTTGCTGGCAAGATCCTCCACAATCGTATCAGGCAAGTAACTAAGTGTAGTTCCAGAGTCCAACACAACATTGAAACCGGTTGTTTCGTCATTTCCATCGTAGTTGAGAGATTGCAAGTTGACAGACAAGTACTGATCCAGGACAATTTGCTCCTCAATAAGCTTTCCGGAATACTTGGCATTATCAACACCACCAAAAAGGATTGTTCCTGTAGTTGCACCTGGCGAATTCAAATACAACGAATAGGCATTGGTCTTGATCTTACCTTGCTTCTTCAATGAAACAGGAACGTTGTCGTATTGTTGACCACTTTCACCTTGTACACGCCCAACACCCAAAATACCTTGGGCAGTCGAGGTAGTAGTCACATCAGCGAATTGCTGGTTAGTAATTGAAATACCTCCAAAACTAACAGTGTCTTTTGCCCATGGGCCCTCTGAGGTGCTTTTATCCCCGTAACCAATACTGAATGTAGAGCCTAATGATCGAAACGAAGTTGAACTTTGGGGATTGAAAGTGCCGTACTTCTTGCAGTCACGAGTCCCTTGACAAGTGGCTGATGAGTCAACAACCCAAAAGTCGCTGGAACCAGTGTCAAGAACAACTTGTTGTTCTTGCATGTTGGAGCCAACAGCAATACGAATACCATAAGATGGCCCTTCAAAATACAACGGAGCTGATGGTGATCCTCTTTTTACAATCTCATTAGTAGCGTTTAAATCGAGCGGCTTTCTGTCAACCTCGAATTCCAATGACACAACCCCAGCAACACCATCTCTCCTTGTTTGAGGGATGATCGAACCTTGAGCGACCAAAGCAAAAGCAAGAGCGACCAAAACCTGGCGTGTAAATAAGTAAATAGTAGTCATTTTGATTGAAGTTGATTGTTACAATGCAAGTAGCTTCAACCTCTGGAGGCCCTTTGGCCTCTATTTATAAGCTTCAAAGACCTGTGAAGCAACAATCAACGTGGGCCGATCTGACTTGAATGAACAGTTTTCTCAATATTTCATAATCCCAATTTGACTCCTCCAAGACTTTATGCTTGAATTTCTTGGAAAGGTTATGAGCATAGGACAAAACTGGCCTTGATGTGGTTATGATGTTGGGTGGAGGAGTTTCAAAGTAGCTGTTAATAAGGAAAATGCAATGTAGTTGCAGCTCAGCGTGCTGCGACATCTGCAGCACTTGGATGGATAAATTCTCAACAGGTAAAACCAAATTCTACACCACTAGTTTTCCGCGTACGGTTATATAACCAACAAGAATAACCATTTCAGTAGCCTTGAAATACAAGTAAAAGCTCCAGCTGCTCTTAACCACTATTGGAGTTTAACTAGTGACAAAGTAGCAAAATATTCCCTTTTCAATCTATTTGGATTTCACTTGTTCGAGAAGTAAATCAACAAATTATTAGGAAAAACAGCCTGATTGGCACTATAAGGGCACCGTTTGCTTAGTCCCGAAGCGGGTGGCATCATGGTTAAAATTGCAATCTATAAAAACGCAAGCGCCATTCCTTTGTGATACCAGCGCAAGCTTGTGACCCGTTGCTATGTCTAAAAATACTCTTTTGGTGCCGTATGATAAAATGGCCTGTGTAAATGTAAACTATTTGTTTGTTATTGTTGACACCTTCACCGTAATTTGAGAGATTACGAATAGTTCGATGCATCTTGTAAATAAAGCCACAACACAACACAACAAAACAAAGCATTTTACGCCCGAGGACAATAAACGTGGCCGCGTTTTATGTGACGATAAAACAATATACCCAATGAATTGGAAATAACCCCTCATATTGTCAAGCAATGCATTACTAGATAGTCAGTGTAATCTACTGTGAGGGGGGGGGGGCGCGCAAGGAGATAATTTGTGTTGAAATTGGGACACAAAACGAGTCCACAATTTCTGCAATGCGGTCTAAAATCTGTAATTACGCCATTGGTTGGTTCAATTACATTCCAGGCACACACATCCGCTGCAGCGTAGTTAGCTTTACGACTTTGTCCCTGCCAAGAGGCTTTTTTATACAAGCGATTCAAGTGGCTGGAGAGCTAACATCTCAGGTGTTTTACTCAAGTGAGTTTCTGTCACCATAGTCAATGGATTAAATGTATGGCATTCTACGGCCCAAAAAGAGCATTGCTTATAATAGCATAAGGTTATGAGCCAGGATAATTACTAAACCATGTCACTTTGATTTTCGATGACGTCCATGGTTAAACCATTTTCCGTTGACCACGGCACGATGTCGGACACGATAACCCCTTCTCCACCAATGATTGTTTCCTGCTAAACAATCTATTGTTGAAGAAGTTACACAAATTACGCAACTAAACGTTTCACCTTCTCTCCTAACGCAAAGTGTGGTAAAAGGTATGCTCACTCGTTCAAGAGGCAGGTCGTACAGCTCAACACTCCATAGAAGAAGACAGTTGGCTATGAAAGCGATGAAGTGAAGCAAGTCATCATTCCTAACTCATTGTATTTTCAAAAGAGTGGCCTGTCCTTGATGTTGAAACTTGTGACTCTGAGTTGACAAATGCGAGAGAACAATGGAAGGTTACATTCTAGTCTCTATTGTAACCAACATTACGCTTTACTCCTATTATAACCACTTGTGGTGAAACTTGATTGAGTTAAACAATAGTGATAAAAATGAGAACAATAGAGGACATAAACGACAGAAGCAATCAACCTAAGTGGATACAATAGAAGCTTGAGAAGATAAACATTGCTCAGACTTTTATACTGGTCGTTTAGTGAGCATGTACATTCAAGACTCCAAGAAGGAGCATCATATAGAAACCTTAAACTCTATACTGAGTAGGATGCCCCTGAAGGGCTTTTCCTACATGCCAAGACCAAATTATCAGAGCCTTATTTTTGACAGATTTCCGCCCGTCGACGGCGCGGAAACGCAACTTTGAAGTGAATGTTTTATAACACAAAATCAAACACAAAGCTCAAATTGCAAAGACGCATCCACACCACACTACATCACACTTGAACCACACTAATGTTATTTTTACTCCCAGCCCACAATGAGGCTCGAATTGGAACTTAATATGGAGTATACATTGATAGCGGCGACGATCAAAAAAAAAAATCACAGTGTAATGTGTCAATGTGTGATAAGAGGGACGTTTATCTACGGAATTAGGCTTTTGTTGAAACAATGGAACAATAGAATATGAATCAACTTGGTTGATGATTCGTTCAGACGAACGGCACGAATGAAAAGGAGATAATGCATTCTTCATCAGAATATAAATATGCCCGTGGATCGTCGTTGCCATGCTTTTTTTTTTCCCAACAGTAGACCATCTATATTGATTATCACAGAGTAACTGTTCTATCAACTACATCAATAATCACTAATCAATAGATAATTTACATTCACAATTTAGAAAATGGTTGCTATTCAAGTTTTATTTAATATTGCACTTGCTACGGTTGCTTATGGTGCCGCCATTCCAAATGACATTAGCAAGAGAGCCGACGATGGCCAAGGATTTGTCGCTTTGGACTTTGACGTGTTGAGAAAACCATTGAATTTGACAAAGGCACTTCTTCACGAAAAGAGAAATTCCATTTCGTTATCTTTGATCAACGAAGGTCCATCTTACGCAGCTAAGGTTTCAGTTGGTTCAAACAAACAACAGCAAACAGTCATCATTGACACAGGTTCAAGTGATTTTTGGGTTGTTGACTCGAACGCCCAATGTGAGGACGACGTAGATTGCAAAAGCTCTGGTACTTTCAATCCTTCATCGTCATCCTCGTATAAGAGCTTAGGCTCGGAATTTGCTATTCAATACGGTGACGGAAGTACATCCGAGGGAACTTGGGGTAAAGATACGGTTACAATCAACGGAGTTTCCATTACTGGTCAACAATTGGCTGATGTTACTCAAACATCAGTTGAACAAGGTATCTTGGGTATTGGCTATGCTAGTAATGAAGCCGTTACTGATCAATACGGAAATCCAACCATTCAAAACTACGACAATGTCCCAGTGACTTTGAAAAAGCAAGGCAAGATCAATACCAATGCTTACTCATTATACTTGAACTCACCTACTGCAGAATCAGGTACAATCATTTTTGGTGGTGTTGATAATGCCAAATACTCGGGCAAGTTGATTTCTGAGCAGGTTACACAGTCCAACCAATTGACCATTTCACTTGCATCCATCAATGTGAAAGGCTCTTCGTATTCGTTTGGACAAGATGTATTATTGGACTCCGGAACTACCCTTACTTTCTTTCCCAGTGACTTTGCTGCAGAACTTGCTAATCAAGTTGGTGCTGAGCTTAGACAAGTAGGTGAAGGTAAAACATTATACTTTATCGATTGCAACACCGATACATCCGGATCAACAACCTTTAGCTTTGGAAACGGTGCAAGTATTTCGGTTCCAAACTCAGAGTATGTTTACCCAAACGGTGATGGAACCTGTATCTGGGGTATTCAGGCATCAAGAGATACTATTTTGGGTGACAACTTCTTGAGACATGCTTACCTCCTTTACAACTTGGACGCCAACACTATTTCCATTGCTCAAGTCAAATACACATCGTCTTCGAGTATTTCGGCAGTTTAAGAAAAAGTCATAGTTCTCGGGACTTAGATAGTCTGTTTATTTTGTTTTTTCGTTTAGTAGTTAGATTAGAGAGTACATACATTTTGTTAAATTCGGTTTGTTATCTTCAAGATGAATGAGAGTAGTGAGAGTAGTAAGTCTTGTATCTTTAAGCATTGTAGTCGTTTAAGATTAGATAGCCTTGGTTCATACATGAAGACGAGTTTAATCACTAAAGGGAGTTGAACAAGTGTCATGTCACTCGATAGTACAAATAAGCGCTTATCAAAACATATGACGGGAAGAAGACTACTCTCTAATTGATCATTTAAAACTCGTTTGGTTTGCTAACAAAGGATCACTTTAATTTAAAAAAAGGTATAAAAGAGTCACCAAAGACTAAGTAATGGATACAACTGCAGTTGATAATCCTCCGACGATGCAAGTCCGTGACTTTGCAAACAAAGACATACCACCACTTGAATTTCCACCTAAAAATACGTTGTACCTGTCATTCATTGTCTATCATGACGTCAGTGTGAAATTCCCAGAATATTCATCGTCCTGTGAATGTTTATGGCGAATAACTGAACCTTGAAGTTTTTGTCATAACCGGTAGCCAATTCTTGACAATGGTAGGCGGTACTTCGCTATGTGTATAACCGAAACCCATATATGACAACAGACATATGTATTTTTTTGTGTTATTTGCATCAGAAGGGGCTAAATTATAAGAAATATTCACAATCCACATATCTTCTCTTACAGTTGCTACTCTACATGTTTACAAGGTACAAGACTTGTTCTTTATAAAAGAAAATGCACGTTTTATTTTGTAAGAATGGGAAATGAAAAACAGGGCAAAGCAACATCAATCTATAACATATAACCCAAAGAGACCAACAATCCTGCAACAATATAACACCAAGACAAATTGTACATCGATAATCCACCATTCTTGTTTGATGAAGATGAAGATGAAGAAGAGCTCGATCCACCACTTGAGCCTATTCTAGTTGAATTTTGTCCTCCACCAGTTGAGACACTTCCATCAACAACTTCGATATCTTCATCGTCAGTATAATAAACTTGACCAATGTGGACTTCATACTCTTCCAAATCGTAGACAACATAAGCACTTCTCAAGACATTATCTCCAAACAAAATATATGACGAACTGGATGATTGTTCAAAAAGACCCAAGTAACAAGTTGATTGACTAGCTTGTAAGACCAAGTCCGACACGGGTACTTTAATTGTCTTGCCGCTGAATTGAATATCCAACGTTGAATTAGTTTTTAAAAACCGACAATCAACAATGTAAGCACCAGCACTACTAGAATAACTACCTTCAAGGGCCTCACCCACGGCTTTAATTTGGTCTGAATGCAAGTACGATAAAGTTGAACCCGAGTCTAAAACAGCTCCCACCGAATCAGTCATGACAGTAGCAGTAGTACCCTTGTTGTTATTAAGGGTGATGTTGTTGACTTCAACTTCAAATCTCACGGGGTAATCAATTTGGCTATAAGTCTTCAACATAGACACTGTTTCCAAACTACCCTCATATTTAGCGTGATCGATAGCACCAAACAAGATAGAACCAGAGTTGGCATCGGCTTCATTCAAGTACAACGAAAACAAAACTCTCTTAATGACGCCATCTGACTTCAACTTGATAGGTAAGTTTTCATACATGTATCCATACAGCGTAGTTGTTTCCAACCCAGGTAATCCAACTCCCAATACACCAATGTCACTCGAAGTTTCATTAGCAATGGCAAAACTTAAATCGGGTACAGATATATTGCCCATTCTCACAGTATCGTAACCCCAGATTCCCTTGGCATAAGAACCATCAGCGTATTCAATAGAAAATGAGTCAGTATCATTACGAACAAAGGAATCAGAATTTCCCGTATTGAATGAACCATATTCTGTACAAGAGTTGGAGTCAGAGCCGGACCCCGACCCACCCGAAGAGCTTGAGCCAGAGCCTATTCCACCACCTGGTGCTGGGTTGCTGGTGCCGTCTGGATATGATGAAAGGTAGACAGTGGTGTAGTAATAACTATCGGCACGTTTGTTTACGTCATCATCGTTATCAGCATCACCCCCAGCGTTTTCTGATTTTGTTGGAGTTTCTCTCTTTTGCTCCTCTTGTGTATCTGCAGTAGTATAATCTCTCAGCTGCTTTGCATTGTTGTCTTCAAATGGGAACTTGACCCCAGAGCCACTTGCGTAACCAAATATATTTTTAGGGTCTCTCTTTTTCTTACTGGAGCTGGATGATGATGATGATGATGATGATGAAGAGGAACTCAGACTGACACACTTGAGATCGTGTGACATCACCCAGAGATCTGAACTTCCAGTGTCAACAAGCACTTGGTTCTTGTCCTTGTTTGAACCAATAAGTAACTCAGCTAAATAGAAAGTTTGTTTATTGGTTAATTCCAATTCAAAAGATCCATCTTCATCAGCACGTTTAACAAACCTCGGTTTGGAGTCATCAGTAGGAGATAAATCTTCTTTCGATGAACCCCTCCTGACGTTAAAGTCGATTTTTAAATTTTGTATTGATGGAGAAGATGCTGATGTTTTGTCAACTGGATTGGCAGTTATAATGGGTATTAAAGATAGTAACGTGGCTGTGAGGGAGACATTGTTGATAAACTTCATCTTTTTTTTTTTTTCTTTTCTTTTCAAACTCCTGGTAGTATACTTAAAAGTGAATGTTTATAGCAATGAAGGTGAAGTTGTGGAGTAGTATGTGGCCAAAAGAGGAAACTTAATTGAGTCCTTGTTGTTGTTGTTGGTTGAAAGAAAATAGACTCGTTTAAATAAATATATATATATAGGTAGAGAGATATTTGTAAATTGTCAAAAAGAACAATAAACGTTTCTTTTTATTTATGAAGAGAGAGACAAGTTTTAGAGACGTTGAAGTTAAAAATAAAGAAATAAAGAAATAAAGAAATAAAAAATATAAAAATATAAATATTTTTTTTTTCTTATTTTGCTTCTTATTTTGCTTCTTCTCATTCTCATTCTTATTCTTATTCTTATTCTTCTTTTTTTCTTATTCTATTAATTGGGTTTTGTAAAAATGTTTTTTATTTTTATTTTTGGAAGTTTGTAAAATAATATACAGAAAAGTATCACAAAATCACCAACCTTATATATCGGATCGATCATCAAAAGTAGATCACTTCTTCCCTCACCCCCCCTACCTACCTACACATGGCTACTACCCCTTGAGATAGTCCGAAATAAAATGGGAGTGTTTAAATCAATTAATAAGCCTCTAAACCTTTAAACCTCTTTACTCTACTTCTGTTATTTTGTATTGAAAGTGGAGCAAGTGGATTACTTCATGGCTGTTCCCGATAGGTCATAGATTTCAGTTTTCTTGGCCCTATTCCAACTCAGATCATATGATTACTACTACTACTACTACCGCTACTGCTAATACTGCTTCTTCTTCTAAATGATATATGATATATGTACCTTATAACTCTCCAATGCCAATAAAACAAAAAAAAAAAGAAAAGAAAGTAGGCTCAGTCAATGATCATTCACTGTACATACAATAACCTTTGAAACAGACAAGAAAAAAATAAATATCTTTTATTTCCGAGTGTATTATAACCGAATCATTCCTCATGAATTTGACCTTCTCTACCCAGTTATAAAAGCTGCGCCTTTGTGTTTGATTGATCACTTTTCTTGTCTATCATTGGCTTCTTCTTCTTGTATTGGAGTTGAAACATAGAACATTGCAACCTTAAGCCACCCCCCCCTCTACACCTTATTCTTAGTCATGCAAACACCATATCTTTAACTTTGCGTATGTATGCATGCAACTTGCATTCTTTGGTTTCTGAGTAGGCTTATAGTTCCCATTTTGCCTCTGGTTAACCCAGATTCTAGTCTTTCTCAGCTTATTGATTACGACTGATCCAATGTTGGAGTGTCTTTAGCCAATGTCTGTTTCAAATGTATTTTTAGCCATTGGGTTGAGTTGCACGTGCTTCTGTGGTTGACACAAAACTTTTTAAGAACTTTGAAACAAGGACGTTGTCATGGAATCAAAAAAAGATTCTGCAACATTCACGCAGAAGACTCAATTATGCCATGTCATCCTCTACCATGACCAGCATGTATATTCTCTAACTACCCAGGCTGTTCTACAATTTCTCGTTTAGTTGAATTGTTCTGTGTCAAGCTGCCTCGCTTCGTACCTACGGAGCAAATTAACACTAATAAGCCACATGACCTTCAAAAGCTTTTGAAACGAGGATTCTGACCAGAACAGAATCAACCTATATCAAGTTATATCCACATCTAAGTGAAGAACCTTACTAATAATTGTTTGCTATCTAATTATGTGACTCGTTCTTGTTGAAACTTCCCAGGGTGTGTCTTCAATATTGGGGTTGCAAAAAATTCAAAAAATTCAAAAAATCAAAAAATCAAAAAATGAAAAAAATGGCAGCCACTTTCCCCTACCACCACCCACTTTAATCAATGCCTTCCACCAGCAGTCCTCATATTCACAACTTTACTTTAAAAAAGTACTCCAAGTTTACTCACAACACCTGGAGTCACCATCCATACCGCACTGACTTGTCGATAACATTCATTCAACCAGCCAAAGATGGTGGCGGCAGCAGCAACACAGACAAAGACATAGAAGTTGTTGTGCACTGGAAGGGAGTCCCCGTGGATAAATACACATTATTTGTGAATGATAGAGTGAGGACATCAATTTTAGTTAAGAGTCCAAACATTGGCATCAAACAATGTCATTTAACCAAAAGTGGTGATTTAATCTTTCGGTTTCAAATCAGTCTTGTTGACGATGCTGAGTTTGAAAAGTGTCACAGTTTTTTACGAAGTTGTCAATTCAAACACACAAACAGTTTGAATATGGCTGAGGCTGGTTTATATCAAGGTTCAGATGCATCAAGCCAGATTAGACAAGAAGTGGCTAGTTTGAATTTTCCCCATAGTCCCCCCACTGGAAACAATACCCAGAGTAGCTTAAGGCACGTATATTTGACTGATACATTGCCATATCTGCCGCCCAAATCAACTCAGTTTAAGGAAACAGATAAGGTGTCTGACCTATTGCAGCAAAACTTTTCGCAACATCTGGTCCAACTGCTTTGGCCACTGCAAATACAGGCATGCTTGCAACCGTCACGGGCTACACAGCTTGCCCTTGATTCACAAACCATTCAGTATGGTCAAGAGTTGACATCACAGTCAGTTGAACCAACACAAACTCAGTCATCCCTGCAGCAGCAATTACAACAGCAATTTCTACAGTGGCAACAAAATTATCAGCAACAATTAACCCCAAACTACTCGAAATTGCCACAGCCTCACCACTTTCAACAATTTGTGCCCCCAATTTCGGAAAAACCATTACCACAACCTCCTTCAATGTCACAACAACTGAACTTACAAAACTTCCAACCCCCTTCTGTAATACATGGATCCCAAGCAACAGAGAAAGCCTCGGAAACGTCTACAACTCTCATCGATTCCATTCCACTTATTTCGATAAATAATGTAGAGGATTTAAAATATTTGACTGACTCTGAGTTAAGTACACTCATAAAGAGACAATGTCAACTGAGTGAGTTTAGAAATCTTGTAAAGAGGCTAGACAATATTTTGGAGAAGAACAGTTGATCGCATATTTTTAAAGGTTGCAAAAACTGTCAATTTTGTTGAGAGAAAAATATGTTGTGTTTGAAGTGGCTTTTGTGTTACCAATACACATTCCCTTGCATCATACCCCGTGATCTGTTGAATTAACTAGTTGAGTCAGTTTCGTTATCAGATATAGCAGCTGGAGATATGTCCGTTTGAGGGTTACTTGCTGCCATTGAGAAGCAACGGTTCTTACAGTGAGAGCATGACTTTGGTGTAATGTCTCTGTTGGTATGAATAGTATGCGCATGTTAATACCTCTCTATATGACTAATTCTTATGCAGTAGTTTATAAAATTTAAAATAAAATTTAAAATAAAATTAAAAAAAAAATTTTTTTTCGTTTTTTTTTTTCCAGAAGTAATTTCCCCAATCGGAAAATCGGCGATCGGGACTTTACTGTTATGGGCAATCACCGTATGAGCTCAACACTATATCATTTTGTAGTACATTGACATTGTAGCTCACATAGACAATCCGAAGTGTGAGTAGTTATTCTCCCTATGACTATCGATGATGGTCCTGCTTCTCTTAAAATGTCTTCTATGAACGTGTTTAGTTTTGTGCATTCAAATTTTTTTATTTTATTTATTTTTTTTTTATTTTTCAAAATGAAAAAGAAAGTTATACGAGAAACACAATAATCAACTTTAATTTACAACAACACGTTGTTGGTTTCTTTGCATTTCTTTAGTTTTCCACAAATCACTTTTGCTTGATAGCATAGTACCTACAGAGTAACATTAACAAACGAGACTAGTTAATACTTTGCCATAAGAAGGCTAGCTACCACTATATCAACAGAATGAAGATCACAGACAAGCTCAACCAGGCTCATGTTGGCACATCCAACCCACCACCAGCAACCTTTTCATTCGAGTTCTTTGTCCCCAAGACTGCACAAGGTGTGCAGAACTTGTACGATAGAATGGATAGAATGTATGACTTGAACCCCATTTTCATTGACATCACCTGGAATGCTGGTGGTCGCTCATCCACGTTGACCAACGAAATGGTGTATACTGCACAGAGCACTTTGGGTTTGGAAACGTGCATGCACTTGACGTGTACAAACATGAAGGTTGAATTGATTGATGAAGCTTTAGACAAGGCTTATAAGTCAGGATGTCAAAATATTTTAGCATTAAGAGGCGATCCACCTTTGGATGGAAGTGAATCTACGGGTGATTTCAAGTATGCCAAGGATTTGGTTAGATATATTCGTAAAAAGTATGGCAACCATTTTAATATCGGTGTTGCTGCTTATCCTGAGGGGCAACCAGAAGAAGAAGATGAAACGAAAACATTGCACTATTTAAAAGAAAAATGCGACGAAGGAGCTGATTTCATCATTACGCAAATGTTTTATGACGTGGATAACTTTATCAACTGGTGTGGCAAATTGAGAGCCATTGGTGTCGAAGTCCCTATTATTCCTGGAATCATGCCAATTTCCACCTACGCTGCATTCATAAGGAGAGCCAACTGGTCACAAATCAAGATTCCGCAACATTTCCTTGACGAATTGGATCCAATCAAAGATGATGATTATTTAGTCAGAGAGAAAGGAACTGAGTTGGTTAGTGAAATGTGTACCAAACTTATTGGATCAGGTTATGTCAATCATTTACATTTCTATACAATGAATTTAGAGAAATCTACAGTTATGGCTTTAGAGAAACTCAACTTGATTGAAGCTATCAAGTCGCATGAAGTTGTTGGAGGCACCGAATTGCCCTGGAGAAAATCTTTGCACCCAGAAAGGTCCAAGGAATCGATTCGTCCTATTTTCTGGCAAAATAGAAAATATTCCTACATTTCGCGAACGGCAACATGGGATGAGTTTCCCAATGGTAGATGGGGTGATTCTCGTTCGCCAGCATTTGGTGACATTGATCTTTGCGCTTCGGAATTATTGAGACAATCACCCAAACGAGCATTGGAATTATGGGGCGTGCCTCAAGATTTAAAGCAAATGAGTGACTTGGTTGTCTCGTACTTGTCAGGGGACTTGAAATCATTGCCATGGTCAGATGGTGCCGTTGGTGAAGATACCAAGGTCATTGTTGACGATTTGATCAAATTGAACCAGCGTGGATTATTAACCATGAATTCACAACCAGCTTTGAATTCAGTCAAGTCATCGGAAAAAGTATTTGGTTGGGGACCCAAGAATGGATACGTTTACCAAAAACAGTACTTGGAGTTTATTTGTCATCGAGACATTGTTGATAAATTGTTGACTCGTATTCAAGAATTCAACAGGGCCCAAGGTGATTCATCAAGTTCAATAGTTTCTTTCTATGCCGTTGACTTGTCAGGGAATTTACAAACAAATTGTAAACCTGATGATATAAATGCCGTCACCTGGGGTGTTTTCCCAGGAGAAGAAATTTTGCAGCCAACAATTGTCGAACAAACGTCATTCTTGGCTTGGAAAGATGAAGTGTATCGATTGTTTGATGAATGGAATAAAGTCCTTTCGTCAAACTTGGTTGATATTGATGATGAATTGAAATTGAAAAACTTTGCGCAGTTGATGAATGGCATAGGACACGATTTCGTCTTGTGTAATTTGGTCAATAATGATTTCATCGACTCAAATTCAACCTTGTTTAACTTGATTTATGATTTGGATTTACCCGAGTTGTCATAGAGGCGAGATAAGCCCACTGCGGTAGATGAATAATCAATCAATTTTGGTATGGATTTGCAATTCTCATCACTCACCACTTATGCATCGCTTTAACACACACAACTTTTTTTTTAACAACACTGACAGTGGAGACGAGTAAACAAAGTATGATTCTTCAACAAGGTCAATTTTGGGTACTTTTTCAGAGAAAAGCAAACTTTCAACAGCAGTTTTCTTTTTTTTTTTTCCACTTTAGTCACTTACCTCACATACACAAACTCCCCCATATTTAACGAACAACTTAATGAATTTTCAACGGATTTATAATTATACGCAACAAACACCCAAAACTTATATGTTTATTTCAACATTGCATAAAACTCAACTTTATTATTACTATTTTTTTTCATTTCAACAATTGTTTACACTGTGCCAGGCTGGTTTTATTGTTACTCCTTATATTTTTTTATTTATTTTATCAGCTCACGATAAACTTCCTCAGTGGTTTTTCCCGACTGCCATGATTGTTAGCTGTCTATGTCTAACTCGGGTGGCTGAAGATACCGCAAGTGGGAATTATCTGCGACTTGCTTCATCCTCACTCTATTTTGGTTCCATTTTTTTTTATTTTTTATAGATCATTGTTAAAAGTAAGTAAATCTTCAACGATTTTAGAATATATCATTTACCTATTTTGCAAATTTCACTTCTGCGAGAAAGATAATGCTACGCAGTGGTAAGTCTCTAGATTGGTCATGAGAGATGAACTCAAGCCCGGCTTTTCTGAAGATGCTAGTATTGTCGTGATCTTCTTTTTTCGCAGTCAAAATATGCAAAGGTCGTGCACATCATCTCAATAAATGTGAACCAATGAAAAAAATGAAAATGTTAAGCGTCAAAACAGAGCCAGAAAGAAGAAGCACACACATACAGTTCGACTCTCCAACCACTAGGTCAACGAAACCGAAACACTATCTGTGTATATACATAACAACCAACAACTGAAAAATGCAACCATATTCACGATTTGGAGGAACGAGGAGATGTTTTTACGAATTCCAATTATTAGTTGATTGTCATACATCAGCCGACACCAAGTCGAAAAAACAATGTTTACCCAAATTCGAAGATTATAATGAATGTTTACATGGGTTGAAGGAAAGGGAGAAAGTTAGAACTTTGCTCAATCAACTTGATGAGAATGAAAAGAGTGGCAAGGGAGTCACTGCTAATGAGTTGTACAAGAAGGAAAATCAAGTTTATGAAAACTTAAACTTGATAAAGAAGGAGTGATCAGGGGGTGATCTGTTGTTCAAGAGAGGCGGAGCTTGAATAAGGTGGCGTATTTAATGATTTTCCTTGTATAGATTTGAGGCGTTCTAATAAAAGAATAAAAGGACCACAATCTTTGGCTAATGTTTGCCCTACCACAATAATGACGATGTCTATTTTTCAAATCTTTAATCTGATCAGTTGAAGTTCTTGTTCTCTGATTAGGTTCATATAGGATGTAGTTTTCATAAAGGACCCAAGCCGTAGCAAATCCCACCTCTATTGTTTGTACTGGCTTGTTACGTTTGAGTTTCAAATACTGTCACTGTTACTAGACGATGACCTTCAATTGACTGTTCGGTACTAGCTTCAAACATTTGCTTAAATAGCCTTACTGTTCTCTTCTATGTTCCCTATCATTTGGCTGCGAACCATTAAAGCTGTTCTTCGAAAAGAGTTATCGCGCGAAATATCGCATCTCGAATAGGTTATCAAATTCCAAACACGAAACACAGCACCATATTCACCCAAAACAAAATGGAGACTAAGCATCAGCTTATATTTGAGGACACTACAACCAAACTCTCACGGCCAAAACAGACTATTCAAGATTTAGATGAACTCTATCTTAACCAACAGACAAAGAGAAAGGAATTCGAACAACAGTTGAACAAGAATAGACTAAACTATGGCCAATGGCTACGGTACGCAAGATGGGAGCTTGACCACAATCATGATTTTGCAAGAGCCAGATCAATCATGGAAAGGGCGCTTGATGTGGATATCGAACATATACCATTCTGGACTCAATATATACAATTTGAGTTGATCCATAAAAACGTCAACCATGCTCGTAACTTGTTGGAAAGAGCCACTTCAGCATTGCCAAAGGTGAATAAACTATGGTTCTTGTATGTGCAAACGGAGGAAATGTTGAAGAATTATCAAATGGTGAGACAGATTTTCGAGAAATGGCTCACTTGGCACCCTGATGAAAGTGCATGGGATGCGTATATTTATTTTGAAACGAGATACGACGAGGTTGACAATGTAAGGGATATTTACCAACGCTATATACAGGAGTATTCTCAGGGTGAAGTGTGGCTAAAATGGATAAACTATGAGTTACAAAATAATGAAAAGGATATAGAGCATGTGAGGGCAGTATTTGAATCGGCTGTGGATTCGATATTGGAGAGAAATGATGAGAAATTTCCCGAGATAGTAGCACAATGGCTAAGTTGGGAGGTGAAATGCATGGAATATGATCGAGTGAAGATGATCAGGAAACTATTACTCGATGAAACACGATTCAGCCTCACAACAAAAATACAAAGTGCGTTGTATGATGCAATAAGTGAAATCGAGAGACAGGTTGGTGACAAGAATTCAATAGAAGAAAGTATAACTTTGCAAAGAAAGGCGAGGTATAAGCAGGACATTGAAGATGACAGTACAAATTATGACTCATGGTGGTCCTATATAGACATTGTGGAACAAAATCGTGAGAGAGATGCTGTACGGCAAGTGTTTAAAGATGCTTGTCGGAGTATACCACAGGATACATATAAAAGCAACAAGTGGCGAAAATTCGTCATGCTATGGATCAGGTATGCATTCTGGGAAGAATTTGACAATAACGATACAGAGGCTGCTAAGGTAGTATGGAATGAATGCTTGAGTGTTATTCCACATAAACAGTTTACGCTGGGCAAAGTATGGATAGGATTGGCTGAATTTGAGCTCAGAAATGACGTAGATGATGGATTGACAAAATTTCGTAAAGTGATGGGGAGAGCATTGGGTCAAATGAACAAGATTGGACCCAAGAAGAATATTTTAAACTATTACATTGCCACTGAAAAGAAGCTTGCTGAATGGGATAGAGTTCGTCAGATTTATCAAAAGTGGCTCGAGTGTGCCTTGATGTTTGAGCAATCCTGCAACGTCATTGTGAAGGAGTATTTGGAGTTTGAATCGCTGCTTGGAGAAACTGGCCGATGTGAATTTATATTCAAGATTGTAAACGAATTGATGAAAAATGAAGATGTATCTGGGGCTTGCTTTGACCAAAGGGAGATTTTCGATATGGCTGTTGCTTTTTACACTGATGAAATGAAATACGACGAGATTAGAAAGTTGTACCGTGATTTGGTGACTACAAACCCATCGGCCGACAATTGGGTATCATTTGCATTGTTTGAGTCGACAATTCCCACAGTTGACCAATTGGAAACCTTTTTGCAGTCGAATAAAGACACATTTGAGGTAGAGGTCGGCGATGAACAGATTGGAAAAACAAGAGATGTATTCAAAGAGGCCGAGTCGTATTTCAAAAAGTCCAATGATACTGATGGCAGAAAATTCATCTTAGAAGCTTGGAAGTTGTATGAACTAACAAATGGAGATGAGGAGAGTGTTGAAGTCGTTAATGGAAAACAACCGAAACGAGTGAAAAAGAGACGTACTGTGGATGGAATTGAAGAAGAGTATTTCGAGTGGGAATTTCCGGTTGACCCCACCGATCAGGAACCTCCTACACAGACAGCCCCATCAATTAATAAGTTTTTGGCAAACGCTAGAAAATGGGCCGAAAGCAATCACTGAGACACACTTTATGACATATCAAATCTGGATTAATATATACACATACACACGTAAATTTATCCTTTCGCCTCCAGCTTAAGCACCTCCTCTTAACGTCAAAACCAAATGCAAGGAAGCACCAGCCTGGATTCCAGATTCTTGAACGGTTTTGTCATCATCTAATTGTGACCCATTGAAGATTAATCGTTGCTGTGCTGGAGAAATACCTTCTTTCTCTTCCATCATCTCCTTGATTCTTATTATTTTATCTTGAGGTTCAATGTCAACAGGGATATCCCTGCCTGTCAATGTCTTCACTTTCACTTGCATTCTGTGTTGTGTACTGTGCTGTGATAGGTAGTTGGTGGATGAGAAAACTGTGTGACTTTGAATCGGATTTGATGTCAGTCTATTTCTACCCTTTTATTTTTTTTGTTTAGGCGACCATTACAAAGAGCCATAAAAACTTACATTCCTTGGATGTTGTCCACACCAATCACTAAAAATTTAGATTATGACAAGGTATACGAGCCGTCAGAGGATTCATTCTACTTGCTAGATTGTTTTGAGGAGGAAAAAGAGTATCTTGAAGCCAAGTTCAAGGACAGAGTGCCAGTTATCACAGAGATTGGAACGGGGTCAGGTATAGTAACCACATTTATACTACAAAACATAGTGCACGACGGTATTTACATATCGACGGATGTGAATCCCAATGCATGCAAGAGCGTTCTAGAAACGGTGCAATATAATTGTCCAACGGCAGCCCATCTAGTTGATTCGACTCAGATGGACTTGACGTCTGCTATTCGGCAACATACAATTGACTTGTTGGTATTCAATCCTCCCTATGTACCTGCTTCTGAAGTGCCAGAGATTCCAGCTTCCGATGAAGATGCTACGTGGCTAGACTTGGCATTGTTGGGAGGCGAAGATGGAATGATCGTTACGTGGAAAGTTTTGAATAATCTAGAGCACATACTAAGCTCTGATGGGGTCGCCTACATTCTATTTTGCGCTAGAAATAAACCCGATTCTGTGGCTGATTTGATGAGACAGAGGGGATGGAATGTTGATGTGATAATCAATAAGAAAGCTGGTTGGGAAGTGTTAAGTATATTGCGGTTTGTTAGACTGTGATTTTTTTGGCAGTAGAAGTAAGTCACACAGTATTTCTACTAGGAAGAGCGTGCTTAAAGAGCGGTCTTGGGGTTTGCCAAGTTGCATTTATAGAAGGACCTATTTTACTGTGTATATATAATAAATAGTTCAGAGTCATACTGTATTTGAGTTTGGAGTAAACAAGTTCCAAACAGTCTCTTATACTCTAAATTTCGACCTGTTAATTACAAAGAAGTCAACAAGATCTCATTGGGCTTTTAGATTCCTAATGCTTGATCATTATCCCCACTGTCGCAAATATCAAACTTTTGTGTGTGTGTCTCTTCACGCAAAGAAAAAAACCGGCATCGAAAGCTTCACCTCCTCTCACGACTACTCTTGGATAATTAAGCATACCTATGTCCAGTCGAGGCAGATCAGAATTGAGTCAAGAACAAAGGGAAACCAGATGGTCTGGTAAGCCGGCAAGAACGAAGGAATTCAGTCAGGTCAAATTAGAAACTGTTGTCACTGGCCATCTAACTCAAGAACAACTAGATGCTTACCAACAAGTGTTTCGAATCGAAGAAATCTCCGACATTTTAAGAAAATCACAGCAGCAACACAGACTGTTACTTGAATTCTTACCTTCGTCGCATGTGAAACAAGGATCCAACTATAAAAGAGACCCATCGCCACCACCAAAATACGATAAACAAGGTAATAGAATCAACACTAGAGAACAACGTATACGAGAGGAGTTGGAAAAGGAAAGACATGAGCTAGTGGAATTAGCTGCCTCAAACATCAAAAACTACATTGCTCCTTCTGATTACAGGAAGCCGGCAAAGACCTTTGAAAAACTATACATACCGGTCAAGGACTATCCTGATATCAATTTCGTTGGTTTCTTAATAGGACCAAGAGGGAGGACATTGAAACGTTTGCAAGATGAAAGTGGAGCACGGCTACAGATACGTGGTAAAGGTTCTGTTAAGGAAGGTAAATCGACACAAATGGCAATAGAGGATAATTCGTCAACCGGTGCAGACTCGGTTGAAGACGACTTGCATGTTTTGATTACATCCGACTCACAACAAAAGATTGCTAAAGCTGTAAAGCTAGCTAATGAAGTGATTGAAAAGTTGGTCTTCTCCCCCGTGGGCCAAAATGAGTTGAAGAGGGAACAATTGAAAGAATTGGCTGTTTTGAATGGTACTTTACGAGAAACGAAACCATTTGATCCAGAAGCCTATCAGAGGAGACAGCAACGATCATTCGATATTACAAAAATTGTCTGTAAAATATGTGGTAAAGTTGGTCACTATGCAAGAGATTGTAATCAAAAAACACCCAGTGCAGGAGATCATCCAAGACAGGGTATTGACTCTTATACTCCCAGCTCAAATTTAAATCAAGATATATCGGAACAGGCGTGGAAGAAGCACAAACCGGAGTTACCCTTACCCCCGTGGCAAGCATCCAGCTCTCATGGTGGGAATCCACCTGTACCTGTGCCACCACCATCAATTACACACCCTGGCCATCTTCCTCCACCTCCTTCAGTCCCTACTCCTGGCCATCTTCCTCCACCTCCAGCACTATCACAACCAGGATCAACTTTGCCGCCTATCCCCAACCAACCGACCGCTTCAAGTAGCAAGCCACCTCCACCATCAGCACAGAAGCCCGTGCCTCCACCACCTGCACCACCTACGAGTAAAAAACCACCGCCGCCACCTGCACCACCATCATCTCGACCACCACCGCCTCCTTCAAAATAAATTGCATTCCATGGCTTTGGTATGAGTAGTCACACCGTTTATAATCAAATAGTTACTAATTCTACCGTATATTACATCTATACATATGCCAACATTTCTCTTATACAATCCTTGACTTGGTAATACAATGGTCCTGCATTTCCATCAATGACAATGTCACCACTGTCATCACTTTCTAAGGAGCCGTAGGCTATTTTACGTATTGCCAAGGTATCATTAACTACCAAAGTCCCTTCTCCTTTAAATTCAACGTTTAGATTAAGGGACGCCAACTTCTTCTTCAAATCAGGTAATCGGATATTACCTATAGCCAATTTAGGTGCATTCGATATCATCATTAGCAATTTAGGATCATTGGTCTTTGCAAGTATGTTGTTCTCGGTATGCTTGCTCAACGCTTCACTCGATTCAACTGGCTTTAACGAAAATTGGGTATTTGAGTTGATGTAGTCCTGCAATGTCTTTGGCTTCTTTTGTAAAGGTTCTTCTGGAAGTCCTTGTTCATTCGTCAACTCCAATTCACCGTACAATTTTGCCACTTTATAATTATCGCCCACTGATTGCCATTTCAAGGTGGAAACGACTTCATCGTCCAAGTTTATTTCAAAGTTCCTTAACCCAATGACACCATTTTCAGCGTCTACACCAATCTTGACTGCTTCATTATCTTTAGCAACGAGAACGTTAAGCTTGCCGCTAGAAAACTGTGACATAGAACTAGATAACCCATCACGGATGGCAGCCAATGATAAATATCTTGATGAGTTTAACATTTGTTTCTTTGTATGCTCCATTTCTTGTTCATTCTGTTGCTGTTCAAAAAACTTTTCAACTTGTTCAAGTCCTGATTGGTCACTTACTCTCTCATCCGGTAAGAGTATCAAATTGTATGGTTTAACCGCCTGAACAATAATACCCAACGATCGCAAATCTACCAAACCCGACAAGTCAACAAAAGCTAAACCACACCTAACTCTCAACTGGGTGCTTGCTGATGATCTTTGTCTCAACTGAACCCTTTTCATTGGCCTCGATAATGTGTCTAGATATTTTTGCAACAACTGCTGGTTAACTTGTTCCTGTGGGGTTAATTTGCTCGCCTGTTGGTTCTTTTTTTTGTCTGTCTTATCATTCTTGTTCCATTTTTGTTTCTTTTCGTCAAATTTCTTTTTACCCTCCATTATAATCTTGTTGTGGGATACCTGGTCAGTTCTTTCAAAGTCCTTTGCATCAATAATTTGACCATAATCGTCAAATTTGGCTTTTGGTGGGAAGTAAGGAAACATGGCTTGACGAGGTTTTAATTTATGGTTTATTTTGATATCAATTGGCAAATGGCTCTCCATACTGTGCTTCACATTGTCCATAACAAAAGCTTCATGCTGGATTAATTCGTCAACTTCTTTTGTCGAAGGAACACGAGTCTTTTCCTTTTGTGCTTCTCCATCAAATATTTCCCCCACTTTCTTGTCATCCTCTATTTCGTCCTCATCATCATCTGATGAATCCTCAACATCAATCACATCGGTACTGAGCAAGTTTTGCCTCTTTTGGTCCCGTACCTTTGCCATTAGCTTTTCTTTTCTTTTTTGGGTAATCTTATTCATAAATACAATTGACTCAGGTCCATCAACTTCCTCTTCTTGCGACCAGCTGTCCAAATTTACAATCTTTTCCAATGGTACTGGAGTTCCATCAACAACTTTTCCAGTCCTTTCTTTAGACAACTTGACCCATTCTTGATACAAATCTCTACTTAAACCCAGGCCTTGTTCTACATTTGCTAATGATGGTTTTTCGGTTAATATAACAGTCGTTCTCTCATCATTACATAGGTACAGAAACACTTTACTTGAAAGGTCACCGTTTTTCAAATCCAAACCGGCACAAAAGATTATTTTAGCTCCAGGAATCTGCATCAACTCTGACGGGTCCAATAGCAAATCAACTTTACTTGGATTGAAAGGTAGTAGACTATTGTTCCCACTATCAGAATTCCAAGTTTTGTTAAAGCCCAGAGACATCCAATCCATCAAACTTGAGGCGTAGCTTAAAATTTTGGTTCCGGAATACGATAGAAAGTAAACTGGTATTGGCGCACCTTTCAAGTGTTCATCAACCAAATTGAAAACCTCCAAGAATCGGCCTGAGATGGACGTTGGTATTACAGCTGAGCCACCATTAGCCAAGGTGGCGTCCACCAATTGCAAGAACTTCTCACAACGCTTTTTATGTGACATTGGAGACCCCAAATCGGTAGCCGTGATAAAAACTGTTGGACGAAGTAATGCCAAATGGGGATTACCCAGCGTTGAGTTGATGAAGCTTGCACTATTCAAAAAGGCGTCCTTGGAGTGGTTCCAGCTGGGGGCATAAATGACACGATCAATTTTCTTCACCAACAACCAAAATGTCCCACCTAAGGAATGTCCTGAATTGTACGGCGTCATGGTTATCTTTCTGTCACAGATTGTTACATTTTGTTGGTACTTGACAATGATAAACTTGTCAAACCAATTATCAATATCATCCAACTCAACAAGGTTTGACAATAAAGGGCCAAGAACACCCTGGGATCTGTAATACTCCACAGTGGAGATTCTGCCCAATTGATTAACTGGTAACGTCGAGTAAACTGGTATATTGGACATTATACTTGGATATGTTATACATAGCAAAATGTACCCACTGATGAACTCATTTGTCGAATGCGAGATGATGATTGCATCCGTTTGTTGTAGATGGTGCTCCATAAATTGTACTGCATTAGGATCTATTCCGTTCCATGATGGATCCGCTAGTATTCGCATTTCATTGTCAAACGTCAAAAGCGACGCTTTAAAAGAGTGATCACCTTTCCCTGGGGTTAATAGAGAAAATGTGAACATTGGAGTTTATTCTGTTATTAAACAACAAATAGTGTAACTTTTGGGAAAACAGAATTTTCAGAAAAATAGAAAACAATCATCCGCCAGTGTCGAAAAAATTCTACAATGTCGCAAATCAAAAACATGAAAAGTGCATAATATTTATAAACTAAACAAACGACGAAAGAAAGAAACAAACGACGAAATCTCTATGATATCTAAGCAGCTGGGTTACGGTTCAAATTTATACTATTTCTAGTGTGATACGACAATAATGTTTCGGCTTGTGTCAAACCAGGGACTGCATGCGACGTGCTAATTCTTTCCAACGAATTTCTTGCAGTATTGTACTCACCAGTCTGAATCATCTGCAGCCTCAATTCATTGATTGAAATTGGCTTGTGGAACTGGTTATTGATAGTATTTCTTCTAAGTCTTTGGGAATTTTTGCGCGACCTTGAGCTACCTAGAGTGGTCTTCCTTTTAATGGACTTGAATGTTCGTTCCAATTTATTCTCGTGGTCAAACTTATCCTCTTCATATTCATGCTCCATTTTATCAAACAATTGGGGATCTTGTTTGATGATTTCTGTGAGTAATCTGTGTCTCTCGACGTCCTCTGCATCGGTTGGATCGTATCCTTCAGGGTAGTCATCGTACTTTCCTTGACGCACTTGTTCCCTAATGATATCAACATCGGTAGGTTTGAAATTTGTCCGTAAAAAGTCAAGTGTGAATCTGGGAAGCAAACACGCAATTATGGCTATAAAGATACAGCACCAGACAGCTAAAGTTCCCAAAGTCTGAGCACCGGCACGGTAAAATTCACCCGAATAATTTTTGTTGACACTCCAAACTCCAGTCCAAAAGAAGACAAGAAGAATCGATATAATATCAATCAAAAGTGAAAGCCAGTCCCAGCGATATTGACGCAACAACACATAGAGATCACATGCAGTGACTGAAATACATGCCGCAACAATACCAACGTAAAATCTATGATCTATGGTCATACCTTGTGGGTTCTGGAACGCTTTGTAAAACAACAAGTACGGGAAGTAGAATGAAATAACCGACTGGTATAGTCCATCCACCATGTACATCACGAACTTGTATTGCGACCAATCCTTACTCAAGATACCATTAATGTATAGCTGGGGTACCAATAATGAAACAGTATCAGACACGTCCTGATCCAATACTCCCAAGACAATAACTGGGAGTGAGGTAAAGGCCAAATTGTAAAACATAAGATAGGTATATTCATAAAGATATGACCCATCGTAATTATTGTAAATCCCATACCAAAAGAATGTAAACGAAAAGACAACATTCTTATAAAAGAAGCAGGGAACCATCTCTGCTAACCGCTTATATGACCATCGTCCATGGACTAGCAACAATCTAGTCAAAAACCTAAACTGACCGATGGCGTAGTCTGAGGAATTGGCTGCTTGACGACCCTCCTCACCAGCAATACCAACTCCCACGTTTGCTGCCTGGATCATAGCCACGTCATTAGCCCCATCACCTATTGCCAAAGTCATCACCTTCAACCTATTCTTGACTATTTTAACCACATCTGCCTTTTGGGCAGGAGATACACGACAGCATAAAACTGATTTACACTGCTTTCCCAACAACAAAAACTTGTCTCGGAGAAGCTTTACCTTTTCATCTGGAGCATCCTGATTTTGGAAAATTAAACCCAAAGCCGCTCCGTCAATTATCAATGCAAACTTAGAGCTTGGAGGCGCATGATCTTTTCTTGCCTCCTTAATCAATGAGTCTATCGCCTCCTGGCTCGACGTATCGATTTGAAAGTTTTCCGACAAATGGTTTGATATCAACTCATCAATGTATTCCACACTGGAAGAATTTTTTTCATCTGGTCGTACAACCAAAAGCTTCATACTGTTTTCCAATAAATCACACGAGAACCCAATGTTGATGGCAGTTTCAATTTTGTCTCCAGTAAGGACCCACAACTTTATTCCCGCTTGACCTAAAATGGCAATTGAATCTGGAACACCTGCTTGCAATCGGTCTTCAATGGCTGTTCCTCCCAATAAAATCAAATCTCTTTCAATAGCATCATTCAACTCGTCAATCATGACCTCCCTGTCATCTTCAATAGAAACAATAGCTTCGTGGTATCGCTGAGCCCACTCCTCATAATGCTTTGGATCAAGATTCCTTGAGGCAATACACAAAGTCCGTAAGCCTTCGTTAGCATAGTCTTCGAGATACAAAGCTGTTTTACTAACCATTTCATGCGGGTTATTGGCAGGGTCCAATCTTTGAAAAATAACATTATCAGCACCCTTGGTATACAACGTGATATCACCATTTGGAGCTTTCACGATACACGACATCCTCTTCCTAGCTGACGTAAATGGAATTATATTAAGCAATTGGAACTCTTCGTCCTTACCGTAAACCAGTAGTAACAAAGATTGCCTCAACTTTGTTTTAAAAACAATGCCCAAGTCTCTTGCAACAGAAACCAAAGCAGCCTCGTCAGGAGATTCCGCCTTGAAGTCACGTAACTGAGGATCATCTTTGTTTTGTTCAGTCACCACCGTGTGGCATAAAGCTAAAGCAAACATAAATTTTTCGTTAGCAATCCTTTGCGGGTCTTGTGCATTAGCCAAAAGGGTGTCTACAACGTAATTGTTGGACACAAATGTGGTATTTTCGTCACGTAGCTGATCGTTGTTTGACAATTTGTGTAAATTGTCCAACATGACTTGCTTATCATCGGCAATTCTTTGCTTCCACTTCACAGCCTTTTCAATTACATCCAACCCTTGTCTTTTATCCAACCCTTGTTTTGCTTCGGTATATGCCAAACCATATGATTTTCCATTTATCGTACACTTTCTAAACTCCATCACATTCTGAGTCAACGTTCCCGTCTTGTCACTGAAAACGTATTCAATCTGGCCCAAGTCGTCAGATATATTCCATGCCTTTGGAACACAAGGAAAATCCAACTTTTGGTAGTACATCTTGACATCGGAGTGAATAAAGAATGCCTGCAAAGTCTTGATAATCTCAATAGAAATATACAATGAGATTGGCACCAAGGATTGATAAATAATCAATGCGACAAAAAAAGCAATGACACCACGCGCAGCTGCCGTAGAACCGTATGGATGCCAGTCAAAATAAACTCGAGAGTTGTCCTGTATTCTGTAAAACAACCCGTTAACCAATCCCGAAATAAAACACAATATGAACAACAATATGAAATTGATGATAACAGACAAGTTTAGTTCTCGTGATATACGAGAAACCTTTGTGGGGGTTATACCAGCATTCAACATAATCTTTGTCTCACGACCAGTGTAGACACACAATCCTATGGCCCACTTCGTATTTCTCATTATACAACCTCTCAATAAGATATTCTCAGGAGTTATAACCTCTTTTTCGTCTGCATTGACCAAGTTACCTTGGCCATCAAAGTTTTCGTAATGGATGGTTCCTTTAAATGAGTATAAATCTGGATTGGGTGAGTCGCACTCGAGCCAAAACTTTGTGTCACTCAAATCATCTGAGTGTTTCAAGTTATTATTACCACCACATTTCAAAGCTGTTCTCGTTTTCAAGTTTGTCTCACCATCCAAATTCTTGGTTTCGACATAACAGTTCCCTTCAGCATCGGAAGTTGAAATGATCACAACATCAGCTGGCACTTCTTCGTCTGCTCTGATTCTAATCATATCTCCCACGTTGACGTCCTTCCAGTACCTGTTCTTAAAGGAAGCCCTATTCATATCTGGATGATGGACATTTTCCTCTTTCAAAACTGGATTAAGTAAGGAGTTGGGAAGAGCTTTGGTTGGTGGGTGCCTAGATTGAGTGGACTTTCTATTTCTCGATTGAGTACTCATCCTTGGGGAATGTACACTGTTTCGTTGCTGGGAATGGTACGAATAATCAGATACCACTGTACTAACTCTGTGTAAAGCCAAATCTTCTTCGTGGGCCTGTTCACGAATGAATTTTTGTTTTTGACGTTTGTTTCCAAACATACTTATGGAAGCCTTTTTAATGGCTTTAAAGGTCTTGATAGTACCTCGTGTGCAAGCCTTTTTAAATCTTCTCCATGGTCCAACAAAATCCTTTTCTACATTTGGATTATGAACACCACATAGCAAATGTATCGGACTATTGTTCAACTCTAAATCACTGACTACCCTTCGGTAATCCTCAAATGCATCTTTAGCTGCTGTAATACAGACTATAACAATCAAAGGAACAGCGGCTAACCCAGGGGATGGCACCCCGAATATTTGAAAAGCACTCAATATCACCATAATCAAAAAGTATGTATTGGCGACATTTGTAAACTGCAAAAGTAAATTCTTTGGCAAGAATGTAATGGGGGTGTATTTTGCAGTTCTTATTTTGTTTCTAGGGTATTCAATAATGGGATTACCCTTGTCGTCTTTCATATCAGCTGGCAACTCGTAATTAAAGAATATTGTCCGTGGGATATTGTCATAAATTTCTTGCATAAACTTGGGCCGTTCGCCTAATCCACGCAAAAAGAAGAACCTCTGTATCCTCTCTTTGAATGTTGGTGGGCGAGCAATGACTAGATCTTGTGCTGTGGCCCTTTTCGACTGTTTAATGTTTTCGCTGCCATCGTTTTGAGACCCCGAGGATGACTCAATCTCCTTGGATTCCTTCCCAGCTTCTTCCTTTAGAGAAAGGTTTGGTGATGTATCTTGAGGTTCAGGCATGACACTACGGTGGATGGCAAGTAGTATTACAGATAAACTGGGTATATGATATGCCGTTATTGGTAGTTCGGTTGAGTGGTTGTATCTTTTTGTTTATTGTAGTAGCAGTGGTAGTTTTTGTTGTTGTTATTGCTAAAATAAATTGTTTATTAATCCTGCGACATTTAAATTCTATTTTTTCTTTTGTTCCATTCGGCTCTCTTTTGTGCCCTTTAATTCCGTTTCCGTGCGTGTGTGTATCAGATCCCGTGGGAGGTAGATTTTGTATTACTAGAGATGTACTTTATTGACAGCATTTACTTATAGTTGGAGAGTTAGTGGCTTTGCTGAAGATTGGTACTTTAATGCCCTTCTGAAGCAACTAGTGATCGTATCTTGTAGAAATGTATATCTTATGCATCATTTTGCTTGTAATTCGCCCAGAAACATGGAAACAAAGAAATAAATGGTTAACTCTGAGGTGAATTACAGTCTTAACCAGAATCAATGTAATATAAAAGCAATATTCATGGCTTTACAAGGCTGAGTCCAAATGTGACACCCCTTACACTCGTCAAAAGAAGATACTCGACGGAAGAAATATGCGGGAATAAACTTAGTTCCGATTTGAACTTTCTTGATGGAGACATGGGACTTGTTTAGAGAGTCGCAATCATATCAGGAAGAGATGAGTAATGATATGAAGTAGTCTTACTTCAGTGGCTTGATATAGGTTTTCTTGATGCAGGGGAAAAGAAGCATCCACTTAGGCACTAAAACAACCAAACGGCGATAAACTGACTATTTGAATCACAAAATTGTTCTTTAAGAGCCGACAACGATTCTAGAAAAGGAAAATGAATGTTGCTGAAGAGAAACAAAAAATTAAAAGGAAAACTCATCAGAGTAAATGAACAGACCACTTGCCATTGCCCTTCAAAAAGGATACACGACAATAACAAGTTGATGCACCTGGATTTTATTGACGTACTGCTTACCAATTTGTATCAGCATAGCGCTACCAAATAAATTGCATATACAGAAGAGTTTTTTTTATATTTAAATTTTTAAGTTGGCCGAAAGTGTTTAAAAAAACTTTGATCATCTCATCGAAGAACGGAAATGCCAGTCACCAAATAGATTTGATGTACCAACTTCAATTCCCATAATAATGAAAGTTAGTTCAAACATAGGTACTACAATTAATGTAATTTGAAGCGTCCATATACCATCCTTGATATATGGACGCTATAATCCTTCTGTTTTGTTTAACTTGTCAGTCGGTCAACAGTCCACCCCAAATCAATTCCCTCCGAAAAGGTCTAAAGAAATGGGACCAAGATCATCGCTCCTCTACACTACCAAAAACTTCCTGAAAGGACATTGGCAATGATTGACGAGGCAAAATATATTGATGACTAGGCTATGAAAAGCCATAGTCAAGCAAAATTACTTCTCACTTTATGGACTGGTGACAAGACCTCATCATCCAAGTTGGATTCAGTGGCTCTTTTGAAGAGTCAAAGAGGGACGTCTACTATAGAAATGATCCTATGAAGTACGTCGACAAAGAAAAGAAAAAAAAAGGGTAAAAAATTGTAAAAAAAATTTGAAGGCTCGATGGGATTTATATACTGTTGCAAAAATTTTTGAAGTCGTGTGCAATGGGTCAAAGAAGAAGAAAAAGAAAGAAAGAATAGAAAGAAAAAATGAAATATTATCCCATGTACACTACCATAAAAAATTTTGTCGACAACAGAGAATAGGGAATAATTTTTCACCTATTAAAATAGAAAGTGTTACGCCATTCCAACAACTTATTTAACAACAATCCACATTCGCAATGTCAACCGAAGAAATTCCACAAGGTGCTGATGTCAACATCATCTCCAACAAAAATGAAAAGAAAGCCAGAGAATTGATCAAGAAATTGAACTTGAAGCAAATCAAAGGTATTTCCAGAGTCACTTTCAAACAAAGAGGTAACTTGATTTACGCAATTGACAGCCCAGACGTTTACAGATCTGCTGCTGGTACCTATGTTGTCTTTGGTGAAGCCAAGGTTGACGACATGAACCAAAGAATTGCTGAAGCCCAAGCTCAACAAGCTCAACAAGATGCTTTATCCAAAGCTGCTGCCCCAGATGCATCTGCTGCTACCGAAGACAAGTCACCAGAAGCTATCACTGCTGATTTGGAAAAGGCTAGCTTGGGTGAAAACAAGGTTGAAGAAGTTGAAGATGACGATGAAGAAGTTGACGAGTCTGAGTTTGATCCAAAGGATATTGCTTTGATTGTGGAGCAAACTCATGTATCTAGAGCCAAGGCAGTTAAGGCTTTGAAGAACCACAATGGTGATATGGTCAATGCCCTTATGGAGTTGTCTTAGTTACGGTGTATATATAAATAAATTTATATTAGGTGACTGTTTCATAAAGACTCTTATTTATTATATCTCTACATACATACTTATATACATACAATGCCCGAAGAATTAGCCATTAGCATTTGCCTCAACTAGTTACTCGCAAGCGACTCCCCAGTTGGTTCTTTAGAAACAGCAGCTTTGTTCTTTTCAGCAGGAGCTGCATCAAGTACTTTCGCTTCCTTAGCAGAAGCTGCGTCAGAATTAAGTGCTTCATTAGTTGGCGAGAACTCCTTTATGTCACCTACTGCGTTTGCAACTTCAGGCTTGGTTGAATTCTCCTCACGCGTATCTTCTCCTGCGATTGGCATCTTTTGCTGATCCTGATCTTGAGGGTGGCCAAATAACATCCCCTTCCCATTCAATGCACCACATTTCCAACACTGGTACTTAACCAACAGCGGATCTTCACAATGAGGAGGAGCCAACCCATTATGCGCAAAACAATGCGAGCAAATCAAAGCATATCGCTGTTCCACCGATTCTGAATTGTCTGATCCTACAAACAAATCCAATAAACGGTCTTGAAATGTGCGTGAATTCGATGGAGGTGGAGCTTGTGCTTGTGGCTGTTGTTGCTTTGATGCGTCAGTCGGCTTATTTGGAAGCGCTGCGTTCTCATTCGAGGTAAGGCGTTTATCATTCAAATGCAATTCCTTCAACGCTTGAACTCTCAAATCATCTTGCTTTTTATTTTTCATGCCAGGAATGGTTTTCTGAACTTGAGGAACATTCTGTGGCAATTTCTTTTCACCGTACTTGTTGATCAATTCATTTGTGGCGTTAAAGTTTGTAATTTTTTTCAATTCTTCCATTTTAGCTTTATGTTTAGCTTGCAATTTGGACAAGTACAGATCCTGACGTTTGATAAGGTAATTGAAAGCAAAATTTACAATTTTGATGACCAATATGGAAACCAATGGATACCCAATAAGCACGTATAAATTTTGCTTTGTTTGCCCCTTTATGAACTGCTGTATACGATTCGTTGCATGAACATCATTTGGAATGGAAAAGTAGCAGTACAGGAAGATGAGTATATAGCCAATTGATATGAATGCCTCTAGTTTTCCGTTTAGTCTCAGTTTGCGTTGGGTTAATCTTGTTAATTGTTGCTTGGTCTTGTTGATGTTTCCAGTTAGCTGACTAAATTCCTTCTCAAATCTAGTTGGATCAAAACCATGCTTGCTTCCAAAGATATCAAACACACCCATAACCTGATACACTGAGGTAGGCAAGATAATACACGTGTGTTGATGGGTAGGAGTGTATTTAGTTGATTCAACTTCGCCACGGAGTCCGAAACATTTATTTTGTTTTTAATTTGCGACAGCAATTGTCTGAGGTTTGCTGAATTTGGGACATTGATGTTGTAAATGTCGCGATGGCGATGAAGACCTAAAAAAATGTCGGACAGAAACAAAGAGCCAAGTAGTGGGCGGCAAAAGACATATCTTCAGGGGGAGAAATTAAGTTGTAAAGTTCAAAAGTTGCTGTCTTGTGAACGGGAGTCTTTAAGGGAGTTTCATTGAGTTTAGTAAAGATAAGGTAGTGCTTCTTCGTCTTCAAAACCTCGAATGTAATCAATGTGTGTACTTTAATGAGAGCGATCTCATCCTTTTGGTTTAGGATTTTTTTCTTCATTTTGGATAAAACCAATGACGACTTTGTCATAACTAATCCCATACTGACTCATAATTACTCGACATGCCGTATACCATAGGTAACCGAAGAATAAAATTGGTGCCCGATTTGTCAGAAGAAGACCAAGTTTTGCTACTCCAGAATTCAAAAGTGTTCAAGTACTGCTTAAACAAGGCACTTCTCAAGTACCTCATCAACTTGAAGACAATTGTACACTTGTACTCCGATGCATTAACGATTTATGCGACGTTGCTCAAGAAGATCCCCCATTATGAAGACATAACTTTTATGACCAATGACTGTAAAAACAAGATCCTACAGTTGGAAAATGACTTCAATGTCATATTTGGCAGAAACACTTTACAAGAGACGGATTTTGACAATGACGGCGATGATGTGTCAACGCCGATGGATTTTAGACACATTGAATTTCAGTCGTACGAGCAGAATATAAAGCCTTCGGCAAAGCTAATCTTACAGTCAACTTTGGAGGCATTTGAGTTTATCAACAAGACCCTTCACTGCATCGAGGTGTTCTTTAAGTCGTTTAGTAACTTGAAGAAGTTGTTGGTTCCGTTTCTAAAGCTGCAAACAACTGCAATTTTAAGATCATTCAGATATGTTGCAGAGCTACTCCAGACTCAATTAATTGTGGACGACATACCTCTGACTTTTGATCCTACGGTGTGGTTCCAGTTGAGAGAAATTGAAAGAATTACCAGCAATCTAGAGCGCGAGTCACTGACACTACTGCAGGCATTCAACACATTTGAAGGTTCTCTAGTTCATTATACTAATTTACTATTAGGAAAAGCCATTCTAAAACGCACCATTGAGGAAAGGGACTGCTTCTTGATAAGGCGAAGAGAGATTTGCTACCAGGCTTCGGAGCACGTAGTTAGTATTCCATTAACTGAGGAAAAAACCTCAAATGATAATCCAATAATGTCATTTGGCCAAGCCTTGACTTATATTGTCATGGTTTTGGTTGCTTTGGTTGCATTTGTTTTATATAGGTTGATTATAGTCATGATTGGGAGCTAGAGACATATATCTACATATAAAAAGAAAACCCTAATTGGAATCGTTCATAGACATTGCTAGTGAAGTAAAGCTGATTCTTCTCAGATTTTGATTCTCTTATCATGTTTTCTCCTCGTAGACAAGCAAATAGGAGCCATGTAAACCCACCATTCCGCATGGAGGACTGTGATCTTGTAATAACTAATTCCCAATTATATCTGCGTTATTTCTTCCTATCTATGGTCTCAAGGAACAAGACGAAGAAGAGAACGAGAAGGAAAATACAAAAGAAGAGAAAAATAGAAAAAAAAAAAACATCCAAAGTCTACACACACAATTTCACGTTCGTTACAAAATCTCATTATCAACATAATATAGCTAAATACAACATTGTCATTGAAATTGAAAGTATAATACACAATTCCAACTACCCGCAATATAATCATCATTACCATACACATACACACATACACACACATCAACTCTCAACAACATCAGTCTTACAAACTCAATCAGTCACGAATTTAACCAAGTTTGGCCTACGCTCCCGACACCCAACTTGCAAGATGTCAGACAATACACAAATATATTCAGCAACATATTCAAATGTCCCAGTGTTTGAGTATGTCACATCTGAAGGACCCATAATGCGACGTAAGGGCGACTCCTGGATTAATGCTACCCACATCTTGAAAATAGCAAAACTACCAAAGGCCAAGAGAACGAGAATACTCGAAAAAGATGTACAGACAGGAGTACACGAAAAGGTTCAAGGTGGATACGGTAAATACCAAGGAACTTATGTACCATTGAAATTGGGCGAAGTAATTGCTCGCAATTACGACGTTTACGACACTCTAAAGCCTATATTTGATTTTGAATACATCGAAGGTAAAACTGAATCACCACCACCGGCCCCCAAACACAACCACGCGAGTGCATTGAACATCGCTAAGCGGCAAGCGTCACTACAGAAGAAGGATTTACAAGCAAAGCAACCAAAGCAACCAAAGCCGCCAAAGCAGCCCAAGATTAAAAGGTTAGGGGAGGAGCCGAAGAAACGAGGAAGACCAAAGGGTTCGACATTGAGCTCGACTCCAAGCCTACAGCATTCAGATACTATACCCTTGGGAACTGGTGCTGGCGATTACAGTAGGAATAGTTCCTTTGCGGGTCCGATTCCTAGAATATCGCGACAAAATACTGAACAGGATGCCTTACATATGATGGCATCAAATATGAACTTGAGACAAGAGGATTTGGCATCTGTGGATACTGACGAAGACGAGGATGAAAGCTATCGGAAAAATGGTGGGGCATCCTTGAAAAGGAGCAAAAAGAATAATGGACTTTCGATGCATAATGGTGATTTTGAAACAAATGCTGACTTGTTAACAAGCAGAGAATTATTCGGTGTTTCAAGAAACACGTTTGAGAAAAATGCTCACAATTTTAATGGACCCCAAACGGACTTGATTACACCTTACCATCAGCCTAGCATCAACCTCTCCCAAGACAATCAAATTTATTCAGAGTATTTTGCTAACTTTGTGTCGTTCTTTTTAGACGACGAGGCCAACAAAGGCCAGCTAGATGCAGCACCAGAATCTGTTTTACCCGAAAAGCTTTTGCATCCACCTCAACCTGTATCCAAAATTCATATTAATCATCCAATTGATAATGAGGGCAATACCATTTTCCATTGGCTTTGTTCGTTGGGTTATATGACACTCATAAAGTTCTTGATAGACAAGTTTGACAGGGAGATAAGGCTCGATATACGAAATAATAATGGGGAAACTCCGTTGATGTTTTTGGTGAAGTTTAGTAACTGTTTTAGCTCAAACACTTTTGAAGAAGTGTTGAGTGTGCTTTTTGAATCGCTCATACTAGTTGATTCCAGTGGGAAAACTGTCTTGCATCACATAGTGGAGTATAAGAAGGAGAAGGTGGCTGCCTACTATTTAGAGGTTTTGTTGAAGCAGCTAGTGCATAGCAGAGAAAATGCTAACGATGATGAAGAGAACATAACAGACGAGCGATTTGAATTGATTACGAAATTCATCAACCACCAGGATTCTGATGGAAACACAGCATTTCACATAGCCGCATACAACTTGAGCAAAAAATTGATAAAGGTGTTTATTGATTATCACAAGTTTATCAATTTCAGTCTAAGGAATTTAGTAACATGTACAGTTGAGGATTACTTGGCGTCCCATAATTATGTTCTACGTCTAGACGTTGGCACCGATGGCGAAGACGATGCAAATGTCGAAAACATAGAGCTCATAAATAACCACAGACACGATATGATAGAAGAAGCGGACTCGCTTGGACAGTCATTTGATGCGCAACTTTACAACTCAAAATTGGCAATCAATTTGTACAACAACACTGCAAATAAACTAACGGAAAAAATGGCTGATTTGTCATATGTCATTAACCAAGAGTTGAAGGAAAAGGATGAAGTAGTATTGGGCTACTTTAAGACATTAGATAGAGTAAATGAGATCAAGCTAGCAACACAGCGAGCGATACTATCAATTTTTAAATTGGAGCATTTGATTGATGATTTAGACGAAGGACTGAAAAAGGAGAAATTGGACCCATCAAGCCAGGAGTCAAATGTGCTCGAAACCAACTACGATAACTTTCAAATGAATTTCAAACGAGATCAAATTGTCCAAGAGGAAATCTTTCGTTTAGTGAATGATTTGACCTATCAAATATTGCACAAACAAGAGGACTTGAAGAATGTGTTGCAAAAGTTTAAAAATTTCAAGGAGTTTGAAATTAGGAAACTGTTACAGAAAGTATCATATGATGAGAATGACTATCTGACCAACGAAGATCAGTTTAAACTTGCTAATCTCCTACAAGTTGAGATAATGAAAAAGAGACATTTGTTAAATATTATTGTTGACCATACTAAAGACGTTCCTGCGTTGCCCCATCCCATAACCACGTCAAAGCCTATTATTGAACAGTATGCATCGAATCCGGACAACAAATTGATCAAATACTGTAAGCTCATCTCGTTGAGTTGTGGAATGAGATTCGATGAAATTGAAAGCAATATTGATCTGATTGAACAAAGCTTGTTGAAGAATAGATGAAGTTTTGATCGATATTTGAGTTTGTCGTTTATTTTGTAAGACGCATGTATTCATCTGTAATGTACTTTGTATTACTACTAACTACTATCGTGCTTGCTCTGTTATAAAGCCGCCTCTTAAGCCTAATTGTGTGCGCAATCAGGTACGGCCCTTTTTTTTTTTTGTTTTAAAATTGATGCTGAAGAATTAAAAGATCTAACGGCTCAGCCACAAAGTCTCTTTTTATCAAATCACATATGGACATCCAGAAACTAGAGATATCCCAGCAGTACTCACTTACCAAAGCATAAAATTATCATCAGCAGTTTTATTTATCATTGCATTTGTTTTATTTTACTTTTTTTACTTTTTTATTTTCATTTTTTCCATTTTATTTGCATTAATATGTTGTCAGTTGGCAGACTACTGAACAAATTACGGCCATTCGTCATACGACTATTTTCATTCATCAGATGCTTGTATTATAGCAGCTTGAGCAGGAGACTAGCGAGATTGTTTGTCGTTTTTGGTCTTATTGCTGGATTTATTTACGTCATCCACGACTATCTATTCAACCCGTACAAGTCATTCCGAACATACCCCCAGGTCAGAAACTCTGTTGTGTTCCAAAATTGGAATCATGAAGAGTCCAAGCAAAATGGGGATCAAGAACCTTTTCCATTATCCAGTCAGTTTATCACCGGCAATGAATTCAGCCCTTTATCACTTAGGACATTCACCGATCCTCATCCCTTAATTGTGGGAAAATCAAAGAAACATGTATTTGAAGGTGACTTCATGTGTTCTGAATTGGAATTTGAAGACACGTTTGAAATTAGTAAGCAATCTTACCTCGATTCTGATTTCGAATACTTTATGACCAAGTTTAAACAAATTAAACAGTATGCAAAACTATTGGAAAAGGCAAAAGCTAAATTCAAGCCAGTGATACCGGAGCACAAGCAATGGTTCAGATTTGGGGGATCTAGTGTTTGGTTATCTCAGTTCAAAGTTCATTACATGGTGAGTCGAGTATTGTATTCTCCACTGGGTATTGCTAACAAGGCATACGTCTCATTCTTATATGTCCAATTATTTGATCAAGATTGGAATGAATTACCAAAGGGAACCAATTTAACTATACCGTTTGAACACCCCAATCCCACCAATTGGATAAATCTAGATGGGTCTGTAACCACAATGCAAGGTGATCTGCAGTTGCGGTATAGAAAAACAGAGTTTCCCCAAATTTTGCCCATTCCCATAGATTATTCCATGCAGACTGAAAATGAAAAGTATTATTATGGCCCCGAAGATCCACGGATTATATTAAGGGAGAATACATTGGGATTTGAAGAACCATTGATTGTTTTCAATATGAAAGAGTTGAACTTGATTAAGCGTATCATGTTTTTGTACTTGCCCTTTTCAAACAAGTTGAGCCTTTTGAAAAAGAGAGCCGCTAAATATGCCAAAATAGAAAAGAACTGGACTCCTTTCATGAGTCCTAATCAAAAGTTGCAGAATAAACTCAATTTCATTTATTCAATTGTACCTTTGGAAGTCTTGGTTTGTGAAATTGACACAGCTGTATGTGACTTTCTTCAAAAACCGAAAAAGAAGAATTTAAACTATGTCGGAGAATTAAGAGGAGGAACTCAATTAGTCCCATTACCTTTAAACAAATTCCCACCAGCTGTTCGCGAACTGCTTAATATTCCTGTCAATCGAAATGTGTTTTTGGGTTGGGCTAGAGCCCACCTTAACAAATGTGGTTGTGGTGAATCGATGTATAGGCCAAACATGTTACTACTAATTGAGGATTATAATGAAGAAACGGACAAGTATTTTTACAAGTTGGGTGATGTCTCGGGATATTTGGATTTTGGAGCTTTTGTTCCACCGTGGGTCTCGCCAAAAATCAATCCTCAACTGGGCCAATTAATTGAGATCAAACCAAAACCATGCGAAGGAAGAAATGTACTTATCCCCAACTCTATCGCATATTGGGAGATTGAAAGTATAGATCGAGATGGCAAGCGACGCAAAACCTTTGATCATTTGACATCACTCGACTCGGTGACAATAAATGATTACATGGGTGTTACTTTATCAGCAGCCGATCAAGATGTTTCTATTGTTCATTTACGCGGGTTGTTGAATTACGTGATTAAACTACCCAGCTTGTTTGATGAGTCAACGGTGGTGCATAACCGCGAGAAGTTTAACATTCGTGGATCTGATTGGAATTATAAATGTGCAATGAGAGCAAGCAAGGAGTATTGTAAAAACATTGCACACGAAAATGGTATTTTGGAAGAAGAGAAAGAGGACCCGATATCTGGCTAGATTTAAATCGATGCATAGTTTTTAATAGAGTTTTGTAGATTCAAGTTTAACTTTAGAATGTACCTACAATGTCACACAACCTTGATTCACTTTCTGTAGATTTTATAGGCGTAATTCTAATGTGCTCGAAGCCACTGCAAAATATCCCTTTTATTTTTGTATTGCAAATGTGATGGTATCATTTTCCGACACACGGCTGTGGAAAGCAAAAAAAACCCTTCAATAACCGTGAAATTGATTATGCAAAAATTACAATTAATCCGATGCCGAAAAGTGAAAGATGCAAGATTTCGGGAAATCTATTGTACATCATTGTACTGCATTGTACTGCATTGTTCTTTCTTCTTTTTCTTCTTCTTCCTTGTTTACCCTCCAATAACCGAGAATTTTATTTTTGACAGGAGGTGAGAAGAGAAAGAAAGCAAAACAAAAAAAAGCTTTTTTTAACTGCGAAAACATTTTGAAAATTTTGCAATAATATAATCTAGAACCCAATGGGAATCACAAAAGATAAAGCAAACAAATGGGTAACAAAACCCATGCCATTTGCTTGTGGTCTATGAAGGTTAAAGCTGTTGCTATTATATAAGTATAATGACATGTCCCAACTTTCGCCCCTCCCCCTCCCAAGCTAAAAGGAAACGTATTTTCTTGTCTTTATATTTTTTACCTTATTTGTTTTACTGAACAGTTAAAGTCTTGACTATCTTTTATAATGTCTGATAAGGAAAAGACCTCGTTTGAGATTGACCAACGTGACTTAAATGTTGCCTCAACAAACAGCACCGAAGCTTCATTTACTGAACCAGCTCTGTACTATCCAAATCAGGGTAAAGTCGACAACAATAATGAAGACAAGTCAAGGTCGCGATCAGGAAGTATCGCATCAATATCAAAGAAATCAATTGATCAAATACGGAAAAGTTTACATGGAGATCAATCGTATGACACCACGGGAGAGGAAGGCAAACAATATACAGTACATCAAATATATGGAGATTTAAATAGTGATGAAATTGAACTTCAACGTATTGCCACTAGGAAAAGTGTCTTGAGCGAAATTGAACACAAGATAGTTGATGAAGTGAGTGATGAAGAAATATTGAATGAAAAGGGGTTAGATGATGGGGTAATTGAAGATCAAGTATTACCTGTTACTCAACATGGTGAGGGCTTTATCAAAATTGATCCTGAACTAATCACTTGGAATGGTATCGATGATCCAGAGGATCCAAGAAATTGGTCTGCTTCGTTAAAAGTATTTCTTCTTGCATTTGTTTCCCTATATGCTTTAGTTGCACCAATGTCATCCAGTATATTATCACCAGCAATGAGTGAAATTAGTGTGGCTTTTGGCATAACTTCAGATGTTGTTCAAGCCATGGTTGTTTCGATCCAAATCTTAGCATGGGCTTTTGGTCCTTTATTCATTGCTCCGTTATCAGAGTATGACACCATTGGTAGAAAACTAGTATTGGATGTATCCTGTTGGATGTCATTGTTTTTCAACTTGGGTTGTGCATTTTCGCAAAACACGGCCCAAATGATGGTTTGTCGTTTTATTGGTGGATTATTTGGATGTGTTCCAATGAATGTATGTGCCGGAGTGATATCGGACTTGTTTGATGCAAATCTGAGAAATGCGGCATTGGCCGGTTATTCCTTAGTTCCATTGTTGGGACCAGTTATTGCGCCACTAATTGCTGGATTTATTGTTGATCACATGCAATGGAGATGGTGTTTCTATGTCTTGTGTATGTTCAATGGTGCTGTTGCAATTGCCGCCACTTTATTTTTCAAAGAGACTTATGTACCAACGTTGTTGAAACGCAAAGCGCAGAGATTGAGGAAAAGCACGGGCAATACCAATTTACACACAATTTATGAAATAACCAATCAAGGAGAATCAACATTGGGAAGATTGTGGTTGTGTATTGTTCGCCCAGTCAATTTACTCTTCACCCATCCCATGGTTATTGGATTGGGTTCGTTTATGGCTTTCACCTATGGGTTCATGTATCTTTTAATTGTGACATTTCCCCAGATTTTTGAAAAACAATACGGGTTTAGTAAAAGTGTTACTGGGTTGATGTATCTCCCCATGGGTTGTGGATTTGTATTGGGGGTTATTTTTTGGACGTTTATGGTTGGTAAGGTTTACAAAAAATTGACAATTGCCAATGATGGAGTGGCCAAGCCTGAATTTAGATTACCCTGTTTGATTGCTTGTGCTGTATTTATACCAGTGGGATTAATATGGTTTGGCTGGTCGGCACAAAAGGAACTTCATTGGATTATGCCAGGAATTGGATCAGCGATTTTTGCCTTTGGGTTAGTTTGTGTTTTCCAAACCATTCAAAACTACTTAATTGATATGAATGTTCGATTTGCTGCTAGCTCAGTTGCTGCAGCTGCATTGTTTCGTAGCTTGTTTGGATATGCATTCCCATTGTTTGCTAGAAAAATGTACAGTGCGTTGGGGTATGGATGGGCAAATACAATGTGTGCATTCATTGGCATCTTGTTGGGAATTCCGTTCCCTATATTCTGTTATTTGTACGGTGAAAAATTGAGAGAGTCGTTTAATAGAAAGTTTGAAATTAAACAACAAAAGAGAGATCAAAAAAATTTGGAAAGACTAAGGAGAAAGAATGGTGATGATGGTTGCATGGTTTGAAAAGGTGGAGAAGGTGTGGTTTTTGCATGAAAGTCTTTTTTTCTTATTTATTTATTTACTTTTCAATTCGGATTTTTATAGACACATTTTGAATCTTTTATTTAGCATATATTTTTAATAATGATAATAATACTGGCATCAAGGACGTATTTTTGGAGTTGTAGTTTCTGCCAAAGGAGTTTATGCAATTTGTCAAGTAAAGTTAAAATGGATTGGTAGCACCGCTTTATATTGGGCTGCTTTGTTGATTCTTAACAAAGTTGACGTTTGTTGATCAGAAACTTCTTGAAACATACAGTCATGATTTCGGAAACTTCCCAAGTAGCTCTACCCCAGCCTATTCAACGAATCACAATTGAGGAACTAAAGCCATTCCCTTTACCAAAACTGCTAGATTCTCTACCGAAAAGAACGTTTGAAGAATTCATCAACAACAAGGAACTAATCCAAGGATACATTCATCAACTTGAAGCTTACAAATCAAAACTCAATGAAGTACGTGAACATGCCACGCAAGTGTCATCATTACTTCAATCGGAGATCAACGACACTTTAATTCCACAGTATCAACAAGTAACAAACAAGATCAATCAACAAATTAAAACTCTTGCACAACTTCATAATGAGTTTTTGAATTTGGAAACCATACAGTATCAAACCATGTCATCCACTTTCAATGAAGAGCTTTTGAAGTTGAAGTTTAAGAAGTTGATTGAGAAGAATGATGAAGAGAGTAGAGATTTAGTGAAAAGTTTCAATTCAAATGAGTTCACTGATGATCAACTAGCTGATACTTTAGAAAAGTTTAAACAAAGTAGAAAGATGTACCATTTCAGAAAAGAGAAGCTCAATCGCTGGGAGGAGCAAAGGGTCAGTGGGTGAGAAGAATGTTACCATCCGCGTTATTATACCACGGGGCATTTGTTTTTTTTTTTTTTTGATTTTACCCTGAATGATAAAAGCAAAGACAGAGAGAGTTAATATATGTGTCTTGTCTTGTGCAGGGTAGAACATTTGTCTATATGTTGGTGCTTATATAGTCAAGAATACATTACTTCTCATCTAGCTGATTTCTTTAAATTTCTTTGTTAAGTAGGGGATGCACTATTGTTATTATTATTATTCTCCTCCTACAAACTACTCAAATGTGAATATATATATTACGACACTCTACAGATATGCAAGATGTAAAAATAACGCGGGATGAGTAAACAATGTAAAGCTAGTGGAGGGGTGTTTCTCTTCAGATCTTATACTTCATTTGGTTCTTATAACTGTTTTATAGCAATGTATATTCCGTATGCTCCTTGTATGCTCCTTGTATCCGAAAAGTTTCTCGGCTTTAAAAAGTCCGCAATCATTTAACAAAATTCTTCTTTCTTCCAATACAATTCTTCATTTTATCAATTTATTAAAATTTCTCCGAATTTCATATACTACTCTCTCACTATTCAGAATTTATATATATATATATATATCAAGCAATTATAACTTGTATCTTACTTTTGCCAATAGATCTCACATTATATCGGTTTCATCCATTGACTGATTAATTGGTTAACAAATTGTGTCTGTTGCATTGATTGGTTTACCAAAGTCATCACACATTGAAAATTTAGCCCATATTTATTCCAATCGTATCTCCACTTCCTTTTTTTTTTATTTTCATATTTGCAGGGTCAAGTTACTTCGTAAAAGAGTCAATTGATAGTTAGAAAAGAATAATCATACTTATAAAGAGGTGCACAACAGAAGTCATGTTTAGAGGAATCACCAATAGGAGGTTCTTATCCACCTCATTCAGATCATTGAACAAGATCAAGCCACCAAAAGCAACCAATGCCTCTTCATCAATTCCACCACGTAAGGTCGAAGTATTGCAAGCATCGTTTTTGGGAAAAGTGTTCAAATATACATTGGGAGCAACTGTACTTGGTGTTTTAGGAGGTGCCGGAGTCGTTGCTTACAAGATTTATGAAGAATCTACACCCGCTAAGCAACAAAAGCAAACACCTTTCTTTCCTAATGGACAAAAGAAAAAGACCTTGGTTATCTTGGGTTCTGGTTGGGGATCAATTCCATTATTGAAAAACTTAGATACTACTTTGTACAATGTTGTTATTGTTTCACCAAGAAATTATTTCTTGTTTACCCCCTTGTTACCAAGTGTTCCTACCGGTACTGTTGAATTGAGGTCTATTATTGAACCAGTGAGGTCCATCACTAGGAGATGTCCTGGTGAAGTGATCTACTTGGAAGCTGAAGCTACTGGAATTGATCCAACTAAGAATCAACTTTACTTGAAACAAAGTACCACTGTCCATTCAGGTCATTCCGGTAAAGACACTTCATCATCTAAATCTACCGTTTCTGAATATACTGGAGTTGAAGAAATTTCAACAACTTTGAACTATGATTATTTGGTGGTTGGAGTCGGTGCTCAACCATCAACGTTTGGAATTCCCGGTGTTGCTGAACACTCAACATTCTTGAAGGAAGTTAGCGATGCGTCAACCATTAGAAGACGGTTGATGGATGTGATTGAAGCCGCCAACATTTTACCAAAAAGTGATCCTGAACGTAAGAGATTGTTACAAATTGTTGTCTGTGGAGGTGGTCCAACTGGTGTTGAAGCTGCTGGTGAAATCCAAGATTACATTGATCAAGATTTGCACAAATGGGTTCCTGAATTAGAAGGTGAGTTGAAAGTTACTCTAGTGGAAGCATTACCTAATGTATTGAACAGTTTTAATAAGAAGTTGATTGATTACACAAAGGAAGTATTTAAAGACACCAACATCAACTTGATGACAAACACCATGATTAAGAAAGTTGGAGACAAGTTGCTTACCGCCTCACAAAAACAGCCAGATGGATCGACAAAGACTGTTGAAATTCCGTATGGTGTATTGATTTGGGCTACTGGTAATGCGGCTAGAGGTTTCACTCGTGATTTGATGTCCAAAATCGAAGAGCAAAAGAATGCCAAGCGTGGATTATTACTTGATGAGTATTTGAAAGTTGATGGTACTTCAAATATCTTTGCCTTGGGAGATTGTACATTCACCAAATACCCACCAACTGCACAAGTTGCTTTCCAGGAAGGTGAGTATTTAGCAAAGTATTTTGAAAAATTGCATCAAGTTGAAAGTCTTCAATATCAAATTGAACACCCAGCTCCAAAGCAAAGTGTTGACAACTTGGGTAAAAAATTGGCCAGAGCTGAGAAAAACTTGCCTAAATTCCAATACAACTATCAAGGTTCATTAGCTTATATTGGATCGGAAAAGGCTGTTGCTGATTTGGTTTGGGGTGATTGGTCAAACATTACCAGTGGTGGTAACTTCACCTTCTTGTTTTGGAGATCAGCTTATATCTACATGTGTCTTTCCGTAAAGAATCAATGTCTCGTTGTCTTGGACTGGATGAAGGTTGCCTTGTTTGGAAGAGACTGCTCAAAGGAATAGATTTAGCTGGAGATTATTTATATAGTTTTTGTAGCTTGAAATTTATCGATTTTTATTAGGTTTGAGATAACTGATTCCTAGTTTTTGCAGTCCCTAACGGGGTTTAAGCAGGGGAATTTACGGTTCTTACATTTGATTTACTTTGATCAAAACGCTTATTTCAAGAACAGTAGATAAATAAGGATATAAACAAAGAAACCAACAAGCAAATAATACAATTCAGAGGTAGACCAACCCCTAACCTGATGCACTCAATGGTGCAGCAGACGCATTCCCAGAAGCAAGAGGAGCATCTGCACTAGCAACATCTTTTTCTTTTCCCGAGCCACCACTGGCACCACCGCTAGTCTTTGGTTTATACAAATTAGGATAAGTATAAGTTGGATTACCACCAGCTTTAAATTCCTTCCATGCTTGTTCAACTTCATCAAATGCATTATACCCCCAAAGGAAATCTTGGAAAACGGGGTCAGCAAACCGGTTAGGACATCCCAATTGTGGCTCTTTATCATACAAATACGAGTCTCTAATTTGTTGCAACTCACCTTCGGGTAAATGATAAATATCTTGACATTGATGAGATCCCTTCACAACTTGAGAACTTCTCCATTTACGCAAGTTTTCCGTCATTTGCAAAATTGTTGGTATTTGATCACGCAGTTCAATTTTGGAGAATAAGCCTGCGAGGACAGCAGCATCTTCAACGGCTTGAGATGCACCGCTAGCTAAATAGGGCAATGTTGAATGAGATGCGTCACCTAGTATGATAAAGTTGCCAGTTTCGGAATTGATCCATGTTTTCAATTCACGCGAGTCTTGCAATCTCCATTTACTGATAGAAGTGATCAATTTGAAAACGGTGGTTAAATCTTGATCCCAATCTTTAACCAAATCCAACAACTCGTCTTGTGAAACATCTTGCCTTAATATTCCTTCAGGTAAGGTGTCAGGGCACAAGGCAACAACATTACAAATTTGACCTTCTTGTAAGAAGTACATGACAATATGCATTGTAGGGCCCCACCAGAAATTAATGTTGGGATTGACGTAAAATTTATCCAATCCAGGAACTTTCTTCATGTCTTCCACATTGATAAGGGCACGATAAGCCAAGTCGCCAGTGTCATAAGCCCCCGACGAATCTCCAGTCAATAATGCCCTAGTTTGAGATCTAACTCCATCGTAGCCAACAATGACATCACCAGTGTATTCTTTCCCAGTAGTGGTGGTAACTGTAGTCTTGCTAAAATCGATATCAACAACTCTTGAATTGGTATGAATCGTAACTCCCAACTCTTCAGCTCTATTTACTAAAACTTTGTGATAGTCAGCTCGATGAATATGTAAATATAACCCATTATACTTTTCCAGAACATAGGGAACTAAATTTTGCGTTGACAAAAGTTCACCCTTGTATTTCTTGATCAAGATATCACGAGGATGGATCGACACTTTTTCAATAGCATCTAATACGCCAATAGTTTTCAAGATCTTGGTTGAAGGTGGTGGAATTTGAATACCAGCTCCAACTTCACCCAATGCCGTGGCTGCTTCTAATAAAATGACCTTGTGTCCTGCTAATCTTAAGCAAATACTGGCAGCTAATCCGCCAAGACCTGCTCCTACCACAACAAATGTAAGTTGGATGGAAGCCTTTTGAAACCTGTAAGTAGTTGATGGTGCTTGAACTGCCATTTCTGAATATTATTATTGAATATGTATGTGGTTTAAAAGATGTATAGTAGTTGTAGTTTAGTATGTGTAACTAGAGCTAACTACAGAAAGAAGTGATCAACATCCTGATGAATATATGAAGGTATATATACACTTCGAGATTCCAAAATAAGCCCCGGCTAGCCACTTATCCATAAACGTATCGAAATCAAAATAATGTTATTTTTTTAAAAAAAAGGTTGCAGTAATTTTATTGTCATCGGAATTTATTATAAATGGAAAAAGACCACTTTTGGTCTGATTTCTTATGGGTTACTCCATATTTTTTTTATTTCTAGACATAAACTTAAAACTGTTAGCCTATCTCTCCTTTTGTTTTGCATCCCTCCCCACACTTTTCACTGTTCCTTCCAAATGATTTAACCCCCCCCCCCCCCCCAAAAGTAAGGATCAAGAAAAAGAAGAAAATGATGGAATTACCATTAAATGGATACTCCGAAAAGGTTACATGTCACACAAACAAGAAAACAAGAACAAAAAAAAGCCACTAATCATTGTAAAAGATTTTAGACTGTACAGTTGCTATTGGTTGGTACACGTTGTTACAGTATACCACCAGCAGAGGTGTGTCCCCCCTTTCATCATTCCTATTGTCCCAACCCTTGGCATAAATGATTTACTCCAGAAAAAAAAAATGGTTCCATATTTCTAACTAGGAGAAAGTTAAATAATGAAAAGATGACAAAACGGTAGCATTGGTTTGATTCCTTTCCTTCTGCCTATCTGTCTGTGTCTTTTCTTTTTTCTGTTTTTGTGGAGATTCCTGAAAATGATATCGGATAAAGCTTTAACCGCAAAGACAAAGAAAACAATGAGATCCTCCTCTTTTTTGTCACTTTTGATTTATCAAAGAGTTTACAAGAAAAAAGCATAGACCCCCAACACAATTGATACAGCTTGGTTGGGTGCGTCATATATATATATATATCGACTTACTACTGTTTGTAAAACAAGAAAAGACTTCACAGTTATTTAGGTATACTACAAAACTTGTAATCTTGTAAATCAATCCATTTGTAGGAGTTGATGGTCATGAATTCAAAGTACGACTGCCTCTTTTCAAATTTATGATAACTTTAAAAGGAGAACAGCGTACTGTAATATACCCATAGCACGAGTCTGTTGTAACTAACAATTCCCTATTCAAAATGGTGACAGCGTAGTCATACGTTTCAAACGTCAAACCATTTTCATTAATCTGTGGAAAAATAAATATCCGGGACGTATCTTTTTTTTCACTTTTATGAGAAGGCGGGGTGTCAAACTGACAGATATGGCTTAGCATTCCACTTTGCACCTCGGCCCCTATCTTTGGCAAAAGAAACCTTTTCAACTTCCGAAATAACTCTTGAATACTAATAACTGTACTTTAGACTATATAAAAATTAAATAAATGTTTTCTCTAACTTAGTTTTATTCATTCTATAGTGCCATACTACGTCTCCTCCCCTCCAGTAGCAAACATATTCCTTCAATAATTGCCAACCTTTTATGCCTCTCATCTAATGAAAAAGGCCAAAGATTAACCTTAAGTCTAGTTTGCACAACTTCTAATGTTGAAATACTTCATTCAACACTTCTTCCTCTTCGGCCAAATGCTTAGCCTTAGTACCAGCAGCAATCGATGCACTTGGATCTCTACCAGCATATCTCATCTTCAAATCTCCATACTTGTCGGTCTTTTCAAGCATAACACCAACTCTTGGTTCAGCAAATGCCCAACCACCCATATTCAATGGCTCTTCTTGGGCCCATACTAAATCTTCAATGTTTGGATATGAGTTGAATGCATCACGCAATTGAGCAAATGGGAATGGATTCAATTCTTCAATCTTGATAAATGCAGTTGAGTTATCCTTGGTTTGTTCTCTTCTCTTGTGCATAGCAGCGTGAATTTGTCCCGTACACAATACAAGTCTCTTGACTTCTGACTTGTCGCCCAAAACGTCTTCAATGATCCATTGGAATCCAGACTCGCCAGTGAAATCCGATAAATTGGATCTGGCTAATGGATGACGCAATAATGACTTGGAAAAGAATAAAATCAATGGCTTTCTAAATTGTCTATGCATTTGACGACGCAACAAGTGGAAGACATTTGCTGGTGTAGTTGGGTATGCAACTTGCATGTTACAGTCTTGATGTTGACGTTCTAACTTCTCTGGCGATGGGAAGTAACGAGGATCTTCGTTACATAATTGCAAATATCTTTCAATTCTACCAGAAGAATGTTCTGGACCTTGACCATCGTAACCATGAGGTAACGACAAAACAACACCAGATCTTTGCATCCATTTCGATTCAGCACCAGAAACGAATTGATCAATAATGACTTGAGCAGTGTTGGCAAAATCACCAAATTGTGCTTCCCATTCAACAAGGGCATCAGGCGAGGTCAATGAATAACCGTATTCAAAACCCAAGACACCATATTCGGACAAGGATGAGTTAGATATACTAAACACTCCTTGATCTTCACTTAAATGAGATAATGGAGTCCAAGTCTTTTCTGATTTTTGATCGTGCAAGACGGCATGTCTTTGTGAAAAAGTACCTCTTTCAACATCTTGACCAGAAACTCTGACGTGGTATCCTTCCAAGGCCAACGAACCATAAGCCAATGCTTCACCAGTAGAGTAGTCGATACCTTCACCAGTTTCAACAGCCTTCTTCCTCTGATTCAAGATACGTTTCAAGTTTCTATGAATTTCAAATCCTTCAGGAGCTTCAGAAATGGCATTACCAATCTTTTTCAAAGTATCTTCGTCAACACCAGTTGGGAAGTGAGGTAAAACTTCTGTAGCCAACTCCCTTGGTGACTTAAAGTTTTCCCATGGAGTGGTTAACCATTCTCTTGAAGTTGGTTGATAGTCCTTAGCTTTCGAGAATGATTCTTCCAACAAGTTCCATACCCATTTCTTGTGTTCATCAATATCTTCGGTAGTAAAGGTACCTTCATCAACCAACTGTTTAGTGTAGATGTCAATAACTGACTTCTTCTTGGCAATTTGTTGATACATAAGAGGTTGAGTGAATGATGGCTGGTCAGTTTCATTGTGACCGTGCTTTCTGTAACCAACAAGATCAATGATACAGTCAGTGTGGTATGTAGCTCTCCACTCAGCTGCCAAGTTGAATACAAAAGTACATGCTTCAACATCATCGGCATTCACATGGAAGATTGGGGCATTGATACTCTTGGCAATATCAGATGGGTATAAGGTAGATCTAGCAAATCTTGGATCAGTAGTAAAACCGATTTGGTTATTGACAATGATATGAATAGTACCACCAGTTGAGTAAGCTGGCAAGTTGGCAAATCCCATGGTTTCGTAAACAACACCTTGAGCAGCAAATGCAGCATCACCATGCAACAAGATTGACATTGCTTTTTTAAACTCACCAACATCATTCTTGTATTGTTGGATAGCACGGGTTTTACCAAGAACCACACCATCTTCAGATTCCAAGTGCGATGGGTTAGCCACCAACGACAAGTTAACGTGTTTACCAGATGTGGTTGGTCTCTGGTAGTTCATACCCAAATGGTACTTGACATCACCCGAACCTTCATCGAATTCTCTTGATCCGGTAAATTCGGAAAAGATAGATTCATTTGGCTTACGAACAACGTTTGACAACATGTTCAATCTACCTCTATGTGGCATACCAATAACAATATCTTCAATTCCTTCTTCAACAGAGGTATCAATCATGGCCTTCATTGCAGGCACAACTGATTCAGCACCTTCTAAACCGAATCTCTTGTCATTGGGGAATTTGGTCGACAAGAATGTTTCAAATGAAGTAGCCCAAATCAAACGATCCAAAATTTGTCTCTTTTGATCTTGCGAGTACTTGAATGGTTGGGGAATCTCAATTCTTTCTCTCAACCAATCACATTGTTCCTTGGAAGGAATGTGGACATATTCAACACCATATGAGGAACAGTACAATTCTTCACATGTTTTGATGATTTCTCTTAAAGTCATGGACTTTCTACCACCAACAGCAAATCTTGGCAAGATACCAGGTCCCAATGTAATCTCTTTATCTAAATCCTTCTCAGAAAATTGATAATACTCCAAAGTCAATTCTTTTGGAACCTTGGCATGACTACCAAATGTAATTCCTAATGGGTCAATTTGTGCCTTTTGATGTCCTCTAACTTGATAGGCTCTAACCAACAATTGAACCTTCAAGTGAACAACAACATCGTCATTAATGCTTGCGTTTGAATGCTGTGGATAGATACCAGCAGCACCACCAGACACGGTTGGAACTAGCGTAGGTGGAGCTTGGAAAGCCTTTGATGGTGAAACGCCATCTTTTTCGATGTTGGTGAAATAAGCATTCCAGGATGGATGCACACTAGCTGGATCTTGTCTCCATTGTTGATACATTTCGTCGACATAGTTTGCGTCATTGCCTTGTAAGAAAGTGTCAGTGGCTGTAGCAAAACATCTTGCTTGGATCTTGGCAAAATTATACCTCAATGTAGGAACATTGCTTCTAAGGATTTGTGTACGTGGCGGAATAGCACGTTTTAAAGCTCTAAGCATGGTTGATGATTTCTAAAAAACGTGTATAGATTGATCTTTATGCGAAGATGAATATATAAATACTGGTAGGTTTGGGTTAATTCGTTACAACACACCTGTCCTTCGTTTATTCTAATATTTTCTCTCCTATTTAAAATCTTTGAACGGTTTCAAAAAAGGACCAATCGATGGTTATATTTTTTTTTCTTTCTATTTTTGCTATTTAAAATGGGACAACGAAATTTCAGTGGAGAAAGTAAAAAAAAAATTATTATTACATTTATTATTACACTTATTATTTGTTAAGTGTGTGTAGATGGGCAAAAAAAATTTGTAACCGAATCAAACACAATCACGTTTTACTCCGGGATGGCAGGTAAATTCACCACTTTAAATACAACTTTTACAAAACAAAAAGGATATCTACCTCAGAATTGTCTATATCGCTTGTGCTCGTCTATTTACCTATCATTCATAGCGTTGTACTGTGGTTAGATTGTGTGTGTGTAGTCCCTCTTCCCCCTACTCACTGGCTTTTCGGAACTAATTTGACTCGGAGGAGAAAAAAACAAAAAAATGTCTTGATGAAGCAAAATACACTAAATTGAAACTCCGTGATCACCGGGTATATAATATGTCTGGTCTCGGACTTTGAAGGATTTACAACTGACAGGTTGAGGTACATTCCGCTTAATGATTAGAAGGTCATGACTATAAGTAAGACTCAGGGGTAAGGGTGGTTAAGCATGTATGACCTACTCTTTTGTAATTACACTTCCCGGAGTAGGGTGCCAACCGTGCTTTGTTTACTAAATCTTCTCCAAGGTTGTATTGTTGCACGTTTTTTCTTTTCCGAGGGTATACTGTTTTTTTTTTTGACGAATTTGGATGCAAAATTGTTTCCAAGTGCAAGACTAAGCTTTATGACAGCTGAAGTTGTACATAAACACACAAAAAGGGGGACGTCAATTCGATTTAAAGTTTCAATAAATCGTACTAGGGGAGCCCACAGGATCCTGTTTTACAAGCTTTAGAGATTAGGGATTGACAGGAGAGAAAGCGGCGCATAAGAGCAGCTATTGAATAAACATATTTTCTATGTGTTTATTCAACCTGCAAAATACTCACGTGTATAGCAAAATAATACAATCAAGCACTTGAGTCAACACAGTTACATCCACCACAGAGAAAGGAGTTGCCTCTATGGCATTGATTTCACTTTTTTTTAAAGTCTACTTCAACCACTTACAACTGCAATATCCCCATTTTTCTCACTATATACAACAAACCCTATCAATCAAATAAACTCCTTTGCTTTTCTTCTGAAAGCGTTACAGTCTCTCAACCATTGTCTATAGTCTTTCAAAGAGTAAATCCTTTCTCCATAATAATCTGGGATAGGGTTTGAGAAACTTTGACTTGAAGGATCAGGCCTTTTGATCTTCAACTTTGACAAAAATTGACTATTTCTGATTTCAAATGCTTTCAATTTTGATCTGTTTAATGTTTTAAACACAACTTGTCCCACGATTGGTCCTAGCAAATATCCAAGAAGTCCACCAGCAATAACACCACCTCCCATAACCATAAGTGGATCAAACCCGAACAATGGCTTTTCAAGATCAATTTCAATGTTTCCCAAATAGGTTAGAGTCAACATTGCTCCCCCAAAACCTGTAAAGACTCCACTGACGGCATTGATTCTATTATTTTGCTTCTTCAATTGGAAGTATTCTACCCATGACAATCCATTCGTGGTTGCTGAAGTGGAGTTGAATCTAACTCTTGGTATGCTTCTAGTAAATGCTCTTCTATAAAGTCCTAGGGTGAACATATCTTTATGGAGTTTGTTTAAAGAAGATGTGGTGTGTGAATGAATAATTAAAAGGCTTTAGCCACTCTGTCTGAATTTGGCAAATCATTTCATCATTTTTTTTTCCATTTTTTCTCTCGCTCTCTGTCTGCTTCTCCTTTGTCGGACCAATGCTGCCACGACAAATAATCTTTGCAGAGTCTACGTTGCAGTGAGGAACTGTAGCGACAATTGAAACATCGCTACTCTGGAGTATGTAAAACAAACAATAAGTAAGTAAGTAAGCGGTGAATTGAACTATTCTTTCAAGGGTAATATACCACATCAAAAATCTTTGCAACCTTTACGTTATGCACCTTGCCATAGAATCAGGCAAACACCTTTTGAGACCCTCTTCATTTCTTCAAATAACGTACAGTTAGGTCGTATCCTAGTGATTGGTTTCGATTCTACTAACTACTCAATGTTTGATGATTGAAACTGCACTTGGTTGCAAACATTTTCTATGGGGGGGGGGTCGTGTAATATCCACTAATTGTATCTATGCGACTGAAAACATAAGAGGAAAAAAAAATTCCTTAGAGTTGAAGTTTTGTTGTTGTTCTCTTCACAAACAAAAGTAATCAGATTGACAGAAAGACTGTTGAAAGAAAAACTTAACCAGTTTAGGTATTATTTCCATCAATCAGTCAAAAAAATTATCAGTAGTATCCAACTACAAAATATATAGGAAATTGAAAGTGGTCCTATTACGCAGGAGCCATTGATAGAAGTAATAGTTTCCATTTCCTAAATTTGACATTGAATATTGGGACAATCAGTCTTTGGAAATCAATATACATTCATCAATAGTTGAAAAAAAATCAAATTCACAGCCAGAGAGGATCTACTATCTGTTGGTAAAGGATTTTACACAGAAACACCCTATAGTCATCATTTGAAGTAAAAGGAAAAAGAACAATGGATAAAGGCGTTACTACAGCCGGTGTTAACAGAAATGGCGACTACCAACATAACGCCCCATCTCAAGGGGAACCAGATATAATTGAAACTGAAGTAAACAGATACCAGATCCCCAAGTCCAAGGAAGACTTGAATAGCATTTTGACACTGTACTACAAATTATTGGTTGGTACTAAAGAATGGAATGGGGACTATTTGAAGGGTGATGTTGAAGGACAGCCAGATGATCCATATGGCCCCGAAAAGGCTGAAATAGAATCTATTTTATCCAAAATTGATAAACAACAAAAACGATTTGAAGACGAGGAGTCAGAGTTTATGAATGAGTTACTGAATATCGAGTTGAACCAACAAGGGGAACTAGACTTGGAGTTATTAGGCAAACAAGTGGCTGGATTTTCGTTATTGTCAAGGGACTATGACCTTCCCGAGAGTTTACAACGACAGTTTGTCAAGGACGTTCCACGCAAAGAAACCCAGTCTTTTGTCGACAAGGCTGTTGCCGAACTAACAAATATAAGTGTGGATTTCGAAACCAGAGCGAAAGAATCGGGAATCGAGGCAAAGTCACCGTTGACGGCCCCAGACCCAAAGCATGCACCATTAGGTAATCTTTACGTTGAAAAGATAATAACAACTAAAATCGCGCAAAGATTGAAGGAACTCGAAAATCTTCCAGCCAACATTGGTACATTTGATGGTGACACACTCGATGATGTAAAAATCAAAGCTTTGATAGAGTTGAAAGGGCTTCGATTGTTGAATAAGCAGAAACAGCTCAAGCATGCCATTATTTCTCATGAATCTCAACAGGTCAAGTATGTCCATCCTCATCTCAAAAACCTTCCAATCTGCTTGCTGGAAAAGAGGTCATTTAGTCTAAGGTCTAAGATTGAGCAGCAAAACCCCCAATTATTAGCAGTACAGTTGGAGCAATTGAAGAAAGAGGAAGCCAAGGAGTTGAAACGGCAATTACATATTGCCAAAGTTGACCAGATTCTAGAGAGCTCTCTTGAAAAGAGTAATGAAAAATTGGTTGTTAGCAACTATAGAAGTTACCATTTGCCAAAGCAGATTAACAACTTCCATCAGATAACTGAAAAGGAAGAGAGCAAGAAACTTGAAAAGAATGCCAAACTGAGATTACAAGCTTTGAAAGCCAACGATGAGGAAGCTTACCTCAAGTTGTTGGATGAAACAAAGGACCACAGAATTACACATCTTTTGAAGCAAACCAACCAGTTCTTAGACTCATTAACCGAGCAAGTGCGAGCCCAACAAGATGAAGCAGACGGGAATTTGGGAACACCAAGAAGCGCTAGTCCAGAAGTTATGGCAACTACCGCTGCGATAACTGAAGATGGTTCAGGCGGTGTACTTGTTAATAGTAAAGATGAATTGCGTGAAAAGACGGATTATTATGAAGTTGCTCATAAAGTTAAGGAAAAAATTGTCGAACAGCCTACCATATTAGTTGGTGGTAAGCTAAAAGAATACCAGATTAAAGGGTTGGAGTGGATGGTTTCGCTTTACAATAATCACCTTAATGGTATTTTGGCCGATGAGATGGGTTTGGGCAAAACAATCCAATCGATATCTTTGATAACCTATCTTATTGAAAAGAAACACGAGTCTAAGTTCTTGGTTATTGTACCACTTTCAACAATAACAAATTGGACATTGGAATTTGAGAAATGGGCTCCATCAGTTAAAATTATCGTTTACAAGGGTTCACAGCAACAACGAAGGTCGTTGCAATCAGACGTAAGGTATGGGAATTTCCAAGTAATGCTTACAACTTATGAATATGTTATACGTGAACGTCCGTTGCTCGCTAAATTCCATTACTCCCATATGATTATTGATGAAGGGCATAGGATGAAGAATGCAAACTCCAAGCTTTCTCAAACGTTAAGACAGTATTATAAGACGAAGAACAGATTAATTTTGACTGGTACGCCATTGCAAAACAATTTACCCGAATTATGGGCATTGCTAAACTTTGTGTTGCCCAAAATTTTCAACTCGGTCAAGTCCTTTGATGAGTGGTTCAACACCCCATTTGCAAACACTGGAGCCCAGGAAAAGATTGAGTTGACGGAAGAAGAGTCATTGTTGGTTATTCGAAGATTGCACAAAGTTTTAAGACCATTCCTTTTGAGAAGATTAAAGAAGGATGTTGAAAAGGATTTGCCCGATAAGGTTGAAAAAGTGTTGAAGTGTAACTTATCGGGATTGCAATATGTTCTCTACCAACAAATGTTGAAACACAATGCATTGTTTGTGGGGGCTGAAGTAGGAGGTGCCAAGAGCGGTATCAAAGGTTTGAACAACAAGATTATGCAATTGAGAAAAATTTGTAACCATCCATTTGTGTTTGAGGAAGTGGAAACAGTATTAGATTCGCTGAAATTGACCAACGACTTAATTTGGCGAACAAGTGGTAAATTCGAATTATTGGATCGTATCTTGCCCAAGTTTAAAAAGAGTGGGCATCGTGTTTTAATGTTTTTCCAAATGACGCAGATCATGGATATCATGGAGGATTTTCTTCGATTCAGAGACTTGAAATATTTGAGATTAGATGGTTCTACCAAGGCTGATGAGCGTCAAGATATGTTGAAGGTGTTTAATGCACCAGATTCCGATTATTTCTGCTTTCTTTTGTCAACACGTGCTGGTGGTTTGGGCTTGAACTTGCAAACTGCTGATACTGTGGTCATTTTCGATACTGATTGGAATCCTCACCAGGATTTACAGGCCCAGGATCGTGCCCATAGAATAGGTCAAAAGAATGAGGTCCGTATTTTGAGATTGATCACCAATGATTCAGTTGAGGAAGTGATTTTGGAAAGAGCACATCAGAAATTGGATATTGACGGTAAGGTTATTCAAGCAGGTAAGTTTGACAACAAGTCCACTGCTGAAGAGCAAGAGGAGTTTTTGAAACGTTTGCTAGAAGCAGATGCAACTGGCGGTGACAATGACGAAAACGATTCGCTTGATGATGAGGAGTTGAATGAAATTTTGGCAAGATCAGAGCAAGAAAGGGAATTGTTTACGAAATTAGATGAAGAGAGAAAACAGCATGATCAATATGGTCAACATAGGTTGATTGAAAAGGATGAGTTGCCAAAGATCTTTACCGAAGACATTTCCCATCATTTTGAGAAAAACACTGAGGAACTTGGTCGGATGAGAGAAAAGAAAAGAGTCATGTACGATGATGGATTGAGTGAAGCCCAGTGGTTGAAGGCGATGGATGATGATAATGATAGTGTTGAGGATGCCATCAAGCGCCGTATGTCTCGCATCAATGCAAGAAAAAGAAACAAGGCAAGCAGAGAAGGACTTTTGGTTGAGGATATAAATGATGATGAAGTCGGTGAGGAGGACGATGAAGATTTTGAAGCTGTCGCCCAGCCAAGGAAGAGACAACGTCGTTCAAAAACTCCGGTTGCCAGCTCCACCAAGGATGAACAAGACAAATCCGAAGGTTCAGAATTTGAGGGCGATGTTACGAACGAGGTTGCAACCAATGGAAGCGGTGCATCTGACGACTTAGAAGCACAGTGTCTTGCCGTCTTGGATGAAATTATGGAGTTAACCGATGAGTCGGATGGCCATAAACTAAGTGAATTGTTTGTGAAATTGCCGTCAAGGAAATTGTACCCCGATTACTATTCCGTCATAAAGTATCCAATTTCCCTCAATCAAATGAGAAAGAAGATCCAAAATGAAGTATATGGTTCATTTGATGAATTCGTTGTCGATGTAAAACAAATGTGCTTGAATGCAAAGACATTCAACCAAGAAGGGTCTTTTGTGCACGCTGACGCTATAGTGATAGAGGACTTGATAGATTCAAAAGTGAATCGTGGGTGAGTAGCACTGTAAAGAGTCTTTATATTTAATCATATAATCTTTCAATTCAATCTATTATCAGATTACGGAGTATGCGTCCAAGCAGGTTCCAGATCTTTACACTGTTCTTTCATCTTCGAATATGGTCTACCAAACTTACGCACTTGTTTCCTTTTTCCTCTTTTGTGTGCCGCGCAGTATAATCCAATCAAATTATTTTTAAATTTGATTACCTGTCTTTGGGTGCTTATATGCAGGTATATAACTGCGAAAACTCCCACAACCAGTTTTCTTTTCTCTTCTGTTCTTTATTCTTTGGTTTTTGTGAAATCACGTTGTTGGTTAGACTGCCAGCTGGTCAAGATCACAGAAGGAAGGTTCTTTGAAAGGGAGGCGGAAAATGGAGTTGACGAGTTGTTGACCTGCAGTGTTGCTCGTCTAGTTCTATATTTGACTTTCCTCCTTCCACTAAGATAGCTATCTAACGGGAGATGTTGACGTGTCACTTGCTGCTATATGAACACCCATTGAACAGTCAAGCCATTTGCCAAACAAGTGGCGTGTTCTTCTTCCACAGTACGTCTTTTGTTCTCCACTGCACGTTTTTATGTGCAAATAGAACAATATGGAAGGTTTTAACGTCAATTTTAGATAACCCATTTTTGAGAACAATAAGAGTCGCCATACTTACACTAAAACAAAAAAAAGCAAGAAGCAAAAAAGGAATCCACACAATGAAACACATTACATAATCGTCTTGCCTTGCATTTGGCCCTTTCTATGTTGTATCTCTTCGACAGTCTCTTTTTTTATATAATTAGGCTAAGTTTTCCCACATTCGACTTTTGTCCCGCGAAGAAGAACTTTTATCCATATACCAAGTTTACTACCAAAGAAGAAGAAAATCATGACTTCAGTTGCTTCGTCTGCGGGTAAGTTCCTTCGCTTAAAACCTCTCAAGATAAGGTTTCCATACAAACCACTTCTTGGACTAACCGGTAATGTCTATTTTTCAATTGCTGTGTTTTGTTTTAACATCTTGAGAATGCCTGTACTAACCGATTAATTAAAGTGAATAATAACAATAGCAATGTCACTGATGCCAAGAGGCACAAGAGTTCCTCGACTGCAAATGCGGCCTTTGGCGCCGGTGCAGGATTGAACATAAAGACAGCAGAGATCCCTGAAGGCAAGACAGTTGAAGATTACCAACGTGTTTACAACGAGATTGCCACCAAGATTTCTGAACATTTGGACTATGATCACGGCGATGGGTATTTCGGACAATTGGTTAGAAATGCGTGGCACGCGTCGGGAACATATGCCGTTGCTGACAACTCGGGTGGATCGTATTACGGATCTATGATCTTTGAACCAGAAGAGTTTGATTTCCAAAACAAAGGTACATCAATTGCTAGAAGTTTCTTGACATCGATTCACGTACAGAACCCATGGATTTCAAGAGGTGATTTGTGGACATTAGGTGGAGTTGCTGGTGTGCAAGAGTGTAATGGCCCCAAGATCAAATGGAGACCAGGGAGAGTTGACGACAACACTGGTACAAAAGCAGCACCATCAGGTAGAATACCCGACGGTGAAGGAGATGCTAGATATGTTAGAGACTTTTTCTCAAGAATGGGGTTCAACGATAGGGAAACTGTAGCCTTGATTGGTGCTCATGTGTTGGGAAGATGCCACACACACGTCTCCGGGTATGATGGTCCATGGGGTGACGATTCAAATAACTTTACTAATGACTTCTATGAAAGATTGGTGGGCAAATGGCATCTCAAAAATTGGGATGGAAGAAAGCAGTACGAAGATGACGACACAAACTTGTACATGATGTTGCCATCGGATATGGCCTTGAAGGAGGACAGCAATTTCTACAAATATGTCCAAGAATATGCAAAGGATGTTGATTTGTGGTTTAAGGATTTTGCTGATGCGTACTCAAAGTTGTTGGAGAAAGGAATAGAGTTCCCTGAAGATAACAAGCCAATAGAGTTTAAGACATTGCATGAGCAGACAGTGCCAAGCTAGTGTGTACAGGAAGGAGTGTATTTATCTTATAAAAAATAGAATTTAGTGATTTTGCAAAGCTGTTGATGTATTTTGCAGCTGGTTTTGGTTATTAGGGTTGTAGACCTATTATAAAAATGTCGCTACCAGTTTTGTGTTTTGTCGCTCTGCACAAAAACATTTTTGCAAAATTGGTCTTGGTAGCTCTTTACCGGAACAAGGTAAAGTCTCAAAACCTTTTTTCAAAAAATTTTCAGTTGTTTTTCCACCTTCTCTTCTTTTTCTTAGTATCCATCACCAACACAATGAAGTACATCCAAACTGATCAAATCTTAGATGTCCCAGAAGGTGTCACAGTTGACATTAAGGCTAGAATTGTCAAAGTTACCGGTCCAAGAGGTGAATTGACCAAGGACTTGAAACATATTGACGTTACTTTCAACAAGATCTCCAACAGAGCCATCAAGATCACTGTCCACAATGGTGACAGAAAACATGTTGCTGCATTGAGAACTGTCAAGTCATTGGTTGCTAACTTGATCACTGGTGTCACCAAGGGTTACAAGTACAAGATGAGATTTGTCTATGCGCATTTCCCAATCAATGTCAACATTGTTGAACAAGATGGTGCTAAATTTGTTGAAATCAGAAACTTCTTGGGTGAAAAGAGAGTCAGAAACATCAAGATTCAAGAAGGTGTTACCATGGAATTGTCATCCACCCAAAAGGATGAATTGGTTGTTACCGGTAACTCATTGGAAGCTGTCTCACAAAACTGTGCTGATATCCAACAAATCTGTCGTGTCAGAAACAAGGATATCCGTAAGTTCTTGGATGGTATCTATGTTTCCGAAAGAGGTACCATTGTTGAAGATATCTAAACTTAGCTAAACACATTTTACAGGTTTGAGAGATTCACAAAGACACGCCGCCACCATTTTTTGTATCATTAATGATTGTTTTGTATAGCGCATTTATTTGCTTCATGGGTTTTATTTGTTAGAGTTTGTTTTTAACAGGGTTCAAAATTAATTACTGGTACACCACCAACACAATAGATCAACAACTGGTCATCGTGGATCGTTACAGAGCTTAATGAAATAAAGAGCCACTTACGATCACACACTTTGCTTCTCTATTTCTCATGCGTTTCAATCTCTTTGCTTCTTTTTTCGTTTCTTTGTTCTTTGACCTAGTCAGATAGTTCAAAATGAATTGTGCATTGGGTTAATGACGATTTGGATTGGATCATCTGTCTTTGGAAATTGAATTTTGGCATGTTTCGTAAATGACCAAAGAGAGGGATAGCTGACACAATACCGAAATTTTTCAATGTTTTTTTTTTTTTTGACAATTTTTCATGATAGATTTGATCATCCACTGAACATGACTATCAAAGTGGCATTCTTAGGTCCCGAAGGTACCTACACTCATCAAGTATGTTTAATGTCAGGCTAATATAGAGCTGCAATTGACTAACTCTTTGTACTTAGGCTGTTTTACAGCAATTTGGCACTAATGAGATTGAAATATCCCCACAAGCATCGATTGGAGAATGCTTTCAAGCAATCAACTCTCATCTGGTTGACTTTGCTGTTGTTCCCTTTGAAAACTCGACTAATGGGCAAGTTGTCTTCACTTATGACTTACTTCGAGATTGGTTTCTCAAAGGAGAGCCAAAGTGCAACTTCAAAATCGTTGGTGAACAATTTGTATCTATACATCATAATTTATTAAGTAATGGGTCTTTAGAGGATATTGAAACCGTATATTCTCATCCACAAGTGTGGACCCAAGTTGGAGGATATATATCTACATTGCCTAGTGGCATTACCAAGATCGATGTCGGCTCAACTTCGAAAGCAGCTGAATTGGTCAGCCAAGATAAGACAAACAAATCAGCTGCCATTTCGTCACTTATGAGCTCAAAGCTATATAACTTACCCATTCTCAAAGCAAATATAGAGGATAATGTGAGCAATACTACTCGGTTCTTGATCTTGGGGTATACTGAACCGCCAGTAGATGAAACGAATCACAAGAATCATCAAAAAGTCACATCGATAATGTTTACACTTCCACATACTGACCCGGGTGCACTATGTGACGTACTTGTACAATTTAAAGAAAACGGAATTAATTTATCATCAATCAGTTCGCGACCTGCCAACTTACAACTTTGGCAGTATGCATTTTTTGTCGAAACAGTGGGTAAAATAACCACCGACGTTCTCAAGAGCATTCAAAAGTCATGTCGTGATGTTGCAATACTAGGCGAATTTAATCGAAACTGGAGGTATAACAAAACAACAATGAATTAAAGAAACAGACACTAGTATACATTAAAAAAAATTAACAAAACCCTGTATATAAATTCACACATAACTCTACTTCCCAAATTTTTGATATACCCACTCGGTATTATCCAACGGACATGCATTTCTGGTTTTTAGCCATCTCTTTATGCAATGTAAATGAAAGGCATGATTACACATTCCCCAAGCAGCAATACATTCTTCGCCGCCATTTGCCAATGAGTTGGGTTGGCATTCAATGCATGGTTCCATCAAATGATTCCTGCAGATGGCACAATTTTCAATCTGTATATCTAAATAATGAAGTTAGTAAAGCCGTCCTTAGCCAAATCCGCGGTAATAGTTAGTACATACCCCATGACCAGAAGGCAACGGCCGTCCATTTCTTTACCTCAAACTTGGGTTTGCTTGTTTTTGTCACTTCAGTGGTTGATTCAGAATCTGGTTTAAAATTGTTAGTATCGTATTCATCAACTATCCTTTGGCCTAAGCACATACCATCTATATCCATTCGGTCCTCTTCTGCCATCGTTGCTGTTGTTGTATATGTATTTGTATTGTGTGTCCTTTTTAGAAAAGATCAGAATTGAGATTTATAATTGAAAGGCGAGGGTAAACTATAAAGGTTTTTTACGTGTCGCTGATTTTTGAGTGTCGCGTGTGAACATATTCTGACATTTTTATTTTACTGCCTGGCCGTTCATCAAACTAAAGAGAGCTCAATCCAGCAGCACTTAATCCAAGTAGCTTCTACTGAAGAAAAAAAAAGCTCATTTCGTCAATCAACTCCAACAATGTCAGCTTCAAACAGCGAGGACCTAATATCATCCTTGTATCCCCCGCCACCACCATTTGTGAAATTTTTCACTGCCGAAAACTTGGATAAATTAGAGGAAACTCGCAAAGCAAACTCAAGTAAAGTAAAAGAAGGTGATAACAATGACACCGAGGAGGATCTACAAGGGGAACTCAAATTCTTGGTACCTCCAAAGATGCCATCAGGATCTCAGTATAGAGGTTACGGAAATATATGGTCATTCAAGGACAAACTACCGAATTTAAAAGATACTCAATGGGAGCAGCTTTATGACGATGCCAATTTGACATCAGAGACAAAGATTAGTGAATTGCACAAGATTATGGACTCGTTGTTGCTTAATTTTATTGAGTTGATTAGTATTTTAAGTGTTGATCCTCAACAATTTGAACCAAAAGTGAAGGACATGAGTTTGTTGTTGATAAATTTCAATCATTTGTTAAATACCTACAGACCACACCAAAGTAGAGAGAGTTTGATAATGATGTTGAAGAGACAAATACAGGCGAAAAGGGCTGAAATTGAAAACATTGAATCTGTGTGCAAAAACGTAAAATCTAAAATAATGAGCATAGCTGAAGACGACGTTGATATGAATGAGAACGAAAGTGATGAAAAGGTGGTGAGTGATTACGATGGAAATGTAGAGAAAGATAAAATAGTGAATCAACTTCTACAAAATGTATAATCTTTAAAATATGGGGGCGTACCTTTAAAACAAGTCCAACAAATCGTTATTTACTCCTTTGTTCTCCTTTGTAGGCGTCGAACTAACATGCAAATTCTCAACGCCATTGACAATGGAGTTAGTATTGTGCTGTGGAGCAGAATTGAATAGTTCAAGGATATCATTATTGGTTGAACTTGTTTGTTGTTGGCTTCTGTTGGATGTAGGGGTAAATAAATCGTTTAATTCACTGAGAAGGTCGCCTACGCCACTCTCTTTATTGTCTCCACTAGAACCAGAGAAGCCATTTTCTTCCTCATCATCGTCAAAATTCAAAAGATCCTCGTTACGTGAATTGTCAATGATTTCTTGCTTGGCCAAATTTTTCAAATCCTCGACATTGTCCTCGCTAGACCCAATAGGAACTCTTGAGTATGCAGATGGATCAATAAAAGTCTTGGCCGGTTTGTGGTAAACGGAACTAAGGGTCGATAACTCCTTGAGCAATTGTTCCAACAAATGAGGACTAAAAGTAGGAATGGTGGATTCAATCGGTGGTAATTTGGCCAATATTATCTTCTTTTGCAATGAGTCGCTAGTAGATGACGACAATAATCTCCAATAGATATATGCTTTGTCCCGTACATCGGCATTCTCACATTCCTTAGTGGCGAGTTCTAAGATCTGTTGAAGCAAAGACGAATACTTCTTGTTGCCTGGGATCACAGCGTTGATTTTAACCACTGTAGTCAAAATGTTCAATTGCAAGAGGGTTTCACTTTCCAAGAAACCGTTTATCAAAGACTCGAGTTTTTCATGCAAGTTTGAAAAGTACTTTGGGTATTCACCCAAAATCCACACATAATCAGCCAACGCCTCAGGCTTGTCCAATTCGGCTGTGTGGTTTGAAATGATCGGTATAATTAAAGATGCAAGATCACTCTTGCCTGGATACCTTCTTAGTATGTTGGTCAATACTATGGCTGATTCATTAACTATTAAATCACCACCTCTTTGATCGATTATATCGTTCAAAAGGTTCACTGCTTTAACCACTGATTCACTCAATTGAATAGCGACAGCGCCAATTGATTTGATTGCTTTTGTCACCAAAGCCGGTTCAAACTCCATAGCATATTCTCTCAACTCCCCCAATAACAAATCAGAGTTGCTTTCATTTGCCAATCTGATCATAATATCTAACTTTTCTAACTTCAAATACAAAGGATCTGAGTACTTGATAAAAAATACTCTCAACTCTTTGGACAATATGGAGGGGTATTTTTCCAAAATTATTCTGATATTTTTCAATCCCACGTATTGGGCTTCGGGTATAGATGAGCTAACCAATGAGACTAAAGGAGCCGATAGTTTTTTCAAAATTGATTGTCTCTGGGCTGTGACAGGTATGGTCTCAACGTGACAGAGGATTGCTTTAATTGAGCTCAAGACTACCGACGGATTGGCATGCTGTAATTGTGGTATAACTCTTTCAATTATGTGGTTCGCTTCCTCCAACTTGCCATGTGTGTTGTATTCGGTTAGCGTCGTCAAAATAGTAATTCTACCCCATTCTGTGCACTCATTCAAGCACAACAACAAATTTCTAATCACTTCGCCATTGATTTCCAAGACCTTCAAGGTTGGATCTTCGTTCATGTCTCTTATCTCGTACAATGCATTGATCGAGTTGGCAACAACCATGGGGTTGGAATCCTTAAGTAGGTTTTGCAAGTCGTCCAAGAATCCCAACTCAACGCAGACACTAGGGTTTAAATCAAACAACTTTGCCACGCAAATGGCAGCGGTCTTTCTAACATAGGGATTTTCGTCTTTCAAAGTTCTGGTCAATGGTATCTCCATGTAATCAACCATTTTTGCAACCCTTACACAACCCATTGTCCTAATAGCTAAAGCTCTAATTAACGGATTTGGATCTTCCGTATCTTGCACGAATGTATTGACAGCTAAGATGCACAACTCGGGGTTGGTCTTGGCATAATTCATTAGATACAAGTACACCAACTTCTTTTGTTCCAAGTCGTACGTGGCAATGTTCTTCAAAACGTCAGGAAACAATGCAGACACATCCTTGCCTACTGTCATTGCTTGGATCACTCGTTGAATGGCATCCTTACGTTCGTGCTTGTACTGCGACACTAATCCATTCCGAAGTTCAAATGTTTCTCCCTTCTTTGGACCCAGCAAGAACTTTCTTAAACGGCGTTCAACAACACTATTAAGTTTGATTAAATTTTTATTGATTGTTTTCTTGTTGATATTCATATTTGGTTCACTGATGGGGCAAAGTTAATTGCGACGTGTTGTAGCGTACTTCTAGTACTCTGGTTTAATTTCGTAAAATGTGAGAAGCCAGAAAAAGTCAGAAGGTTTAGAGACTCTCCAACAGGTGAAACTTGTGTCAAGGATGTTATCAAAGATCAGAAATCTGTGGATTTGGTCTGCTAAGTGTGTTTTGTCCAGCCAGTGAATGAAGAAAAAAAATCCGCCCTGGCTTTGACAACAACAACAAAGAAAATCAAAACAACATTTCAAAAGATGCGACACTTTTATTAATTGTCGCGTCACTGCCTCATGTGAATACGAACAAGTAAAGAACCGCCTCTATTAAGGACATATATATGGTGCAACGTGAAAAGCATTTATCAAACTTAGAAGAAAGAGCTCGTTTTTAACTCATTTTTGACAAACTTTTGATTTTTTCAATATTGCAGTACTGAACTCTCGTTTAGCTACTAATTTGATTAATTTGCATCTAATTTGAACAAATATTCTTTACAAAAAATAGTACTCTAATAATCTTTTTGAAATTTAATGCCTTACACTCTGGGTACTTGATTGAAATTCCTCTTCAATGATAGATATAGTTTCCCTACTCGCTTTCAAATCAGGCATCTGTTCTTACAGTCTACAACTCAAACAGAAGCAGAAGTCTTCCATGATTAGCACAGTATTGTCTAAATCCCTTCATGAGAGAGAAACTCGTAATAATGGACTAGCTGCCTGCAGCTATTGAACCATATTTAGGTGTTAGGACTATATGCAGGAATCATCATGCGATTCAGCGACAGCGACAGAGAGCAGAAAAAAATTGTATCACCAAAAATTGAACCAATGAAAAAATGTATTATTGTGAACTAAGAGGGAATATCCAAAACTGAATTACCAAGATATATTCAACCACCAAAGATGTATGTATTATCAATTGAATCAAAGCTGAAGCATATAATATCATTGTACTAACGCTCATGCAGGAACCCACAAAGAATTATTGAACTTCAAAAGAGATATCAAACTACTCCAAAACCATTGCACTTGAGAGGATCTAGATCAGCATTGTTGGTTTACCCATTCTATGCACTTTTTGCTGTCAGTACTGCCATCCCATTGTTTTACGCTGGAAGAGCTATTTGTGGTATTAAAGAGAAGAACTAATGATTGAATCAGGTTGGTGCTTTTTTACCTATACAAGAAAACATATGAAATGCGTGATGAGTAGTGTTATGGAACTCACCATAAGAGTTTAGTTTAATAAACGATATTGACTTGCCTTGATTTTGTTTTGAAATATTATGGGCCATATTGCTTCTGTTCAAAGGAGGTTTTTGAGAGGTGGATGAGAGCTCTACCAACAAAAAGTGTCCAGCAGTAGCTTTGTAGATCAAACTAAACTATCTACTGTTGAAGACGGTTTAGAACTGGAAAGTTACGCCTCCCACGAATGTCGCAATGCAACTGTAGAAGTTTCTCTGGACAAGCAGTCACTTGAACTACAAGAATATTACGATCACAGGGTTTACTCGTTAAATTCACCTTTCCTTTTACATCGGTGCTACATTGTACGTTTGAGCACACACTTCTAAAATCGATTTCTAATGTACTATTGACAAAAACTACCAACATATTGACACGCTCGTAAACTGAGTTCCTATCAAGCCTTCTCCACCACCGGTTACCAATTGCTGTCAGATACTTGCTCATCATCATAATCGTTATAATGGCCATATGAGTCGTCTTCATAATCATTTTGGTCATCATTGTCGTTGTCGTTATCGTCATCAACATCATCATCGTCATCGTCATCGTCAACATCATACTCATCATAGTACTCTTCAGGACCCGAGTTATCTATATTGACAGCATCATTGTCACCATAATGGTCGCCGTCAGCATCATCATCATCATCATCATCGTATTCATTTTCATGGCCCTCATGTAGACTACGGAATTCGTCACCTTCTTCGTCTTCGCTAATACCGTGCTGAAATTCGGCTAGTGCATCAATCAACTCCGCATCGTTTTCCTCATCATCGGCATCGAGATCTATTATGACATTCCCTCCAGGGCCTCCCCCGTAGTGCATATGCTGCGGGCTGTCATCGTCAGAATCGCTATAGATTCGAGGGTTGTACTCGAATTCGCTGTCAGTATCACTTATATATATCACATGCAGTCTTGGGTTGTTTCCTGACATCCAATTGCGAAACGCATGGGTTCCATCTTCTGATGACAAATTTTCTTCCGAAGGTGAAGCATTCTGTTGTACATCGCTGTCCTCTTGTCTGTTATCATGCATTTCCCCAAGAATCTCCTCAGCAGTCCGCGAGTCAATAAAACTGTCATCGGAGTCATACTGGTCCTCCTCTTGTGGCACGTCTTGATAGAATTCATCCTCATCCTCATCCTCATCATCGTCATCAGCACTTCGTATTAAATCAGCGTTTCTAAATCTGGAGCCGCAGTGCAAACATACCGTGCCATGAGCTTCCCAAAGACAGTTTCCGCACCTTGGTACTCCATCCGAATTGTCTATTAATGTTAGGGAATACCCACAAAAGAGTTCACCAAACACTCTCTTCTTCTTAGCATGCGATTCGTAGTTCGAGATAGCCTCCTTCTTACGCAGCACGAATGAATCCACATTAGGATCCAATTTGGCATCAATTATAAGTTCGGTCAAGTTCTTTGAAATCTCATTTAGCTTCATATTCAATGCGGGCTTTGTTTGAATTTCGTGCCGACATGTGGGGCAATTGATCTTATTTTTGAACCATTGATGTAGACATTCATAGCAAAACGAGTGGCCGCATTCTGTCGTCATTGGGGCCAACATAACCTCTGAACATATTGAACATTCCAAGCTGTTTGTAATTTTTGATAATAAGTTTGATGTTAGTGCTGAGTCCTATTTTATGTTAGTACACATTCATCAAAACCGATCAAGTCATTTCAAACTGAAAGTGCAATACATACAACTTTGTCCCATGCAATTTCCAGAGCATGATCTCCCATATTTATATTGTATATTCCAAAGGTTAACCAGGTTTAAAGCTCTAGTGTTATCCACCTCCTCAAAGGATTGTTTTGATACATGCAGCGAGGAGTTTGTTATTTTTTTTTTGATCCTGGGCACCAGCCGCACAAGTAGAAACGTTTTTGCGTAAACGGTGGTATATTCGTTACTTATTTCCTTATTTACAAGATTCTATTTCTGGTATTATTGTTTCTCCAATCATCCAATATTCGTATTGTTTTCTCAACCAAATGAGGAACCTCTTCTTCATCTCTTTTCAAAACCTGCTTAGCGTCACCGATGAAGCCCCTCAATTTCCGTAAACATGCGTTTAAACTCTCCAATTGCTCCTTCGGCAAGGATGTTCGTGATCTCTGCATGTTTGCCAACAGGCTTTCAAGGTAAAGAGACTGCATCAACAAATAAGGACTGGGGTATATTTGAGCTAACGAGAACTTATCCAAAACTGACACCATTTGATCAAATTGTTTTCGTTTCGAGCACAACCGCATTTCCAAAATAAATTTCGTCATTTTATTTTTATCATTCAAGCTCAATGAGTCAATCAAGGCCAAAAGGTAGTCTGCCTCTTTAAGTAAGCCAAAATTCAACAACATTCTTACAAAATAGAATTTTTGACTATCATTCAAGCAGTTCTTGTTTGAGCGAAAATACCTCGATAAATCCTCTCTTGTCAAAGAAAAATGCTTCAATGATCTCAACTCTAGTGTTTTTTGATTCTTCAAATTGTATTGTCTCGTCTTTGTTAGGACGCTTTTCAAGTACAATCTATCGTCCAAATCGCCCATTCTAAATGTATCTAAAACCTCCTTGAAATCAGGCGCCAAGCCTCGTTCGAGCAAATCAGGAAATCCGTATTCGACTCTAAATCGGACCTGCTGCTTGTTATGCCTCTCGTTGCCTTTGAATTTAAGTGCCGACCATCCTTTGTACTTTCTATAGTTGAATGGTTCCACTAAATGATATGGATAAAATTGCGAGGCAACTTTGTGCAATTGAAAGTGGTGAGGATCGCCCATCCATCGATTAATAGCATCTACCATCATGGGTGAAAACCGTGAATATGAATACACGAATGTTTTGACGATAGTAGTCAAGTACTCATCCTTATAGGGTATTGACGATTTGCCTCTCTCTATGAACTTGATCAACGAGTCGAACTGGTCATTTCTCTCGTAGTATTCCATTAACAACGCAAAATACCGTGGTGGGATGTCCTGCCCTGTTTTTTCTCTGTACAATTTGATGATACGGTTGGCTCCATCCATGTTGGAAAATCTAATCAAAAACGATAACCACGAGTAACAGAACTCTTCCATTTCCTCTGTCGGAACAAGTGATTCAATTAGCGCATAATCTTCATCAGTTATCGTCTTCTTAAAAGACAAGTACTCTCTATTGATAATCTCATTTTGCAAAACGATGCTCTGAACCAAATAGTGCGATCCGTACTTTTTGTTGATCATGCGTTTAAACTCTTTAATTTCCGGCGTTGTTCCAAACTTGTAAAATTGACCAAGGATTAAACTCACCAGTTTAGGTGTCGGATCTTCGCATTTAGGTGAGTTTACCCACACTTGGTAACAATAAAATAAGTTTTCAAACAAAAAGTACCTTGGAATCAACTGCTCAACCAAAAGTTCGAATAGCCGGGAGGATAGTTTGATGGTGCTGCTGATGACTTGCTTGGAGAAGTGGACTTTGAACGTCTCCATTTCGTAGTTTACAATGAAGGAATTGAGGAAATACGCTATGGTCTTTTCATCAGGGTGGGCTATCGAGGTAAAAGCTTCCGTTATTTTATCCAATTGATTAGTATGGTAGTAGATGTAAACCATTTGAGAACCCAATTTATCCGAAACTGCTGTTGTATCCTGCACAAATTGTTGTAATAGGGGGAAAATGCGGACGATCGAATCCCAATGCGGAGGCTTTGGGTCTAAATTTCGATAAAACTCATACGGTAGAGAATCACAGATATTGTTGCCACAGGAAAATGGCGCAATTAGTTGTTCAATAACGTAACTTATTTCTTGTAAACTCATTGTATCTCTCAACTCAATGATTTTTGTATAATTACCCTCTTCGATGAGTTTATCTAGTCGTTGAATTTGTCTTTTACTCAATGAATCAAGTTCATCATGTCCCAGAATGGTTTGGTTGTGATTAAGGAGTTGTTTGACAGGGTTGAGAACCCAATTAAGGTACGATAGTGAAGATGATGTGCGCAATGTGACATGCGACTGGATTTGAAAATTGCCACTGCTCCATCGTATTCTTTCAGTGATTTTGCCAAATAGCCTTCGTCGGCTGCTATTTACCAAACAGCTTTTGATCATAGTACTAACAGGGTGTCAATATGAAATGATTCTGCCATCCAAGTAGAATCGCATGTTTTACATAGGTACACCAAAATTTTCAAAAAAAAAATAATTCATTCCATAGACACTTTCTCATGGTAGCACAGACTCGAAATCTCAAGACATACGTTACAACTATAAACTAATCTATTCAAAATCTCTCTAATCTACTCAATATCAAATAAGCTTTAAAGATCATCCTCTCCATCTTGATCAATGTAGATTTTGTTTAAGGCGCTTGTTTCAGGTGCTAGCTCAGTAACCCCACTTCCAGCAACACTTTCTTTTGCAGGCGGTATTGTTCGCACATTCAAGCAGTCCACCATAACGTCATTGCCAAATTCCTCAAAAGTTTCTGCATTGTACTGGTAAGTAGCGAATTCCACATTTTCGTAGTTAATCAAGTTCAAATATGGTGCACAAGTTTCAATCTCAGCTTGTGCGAGAGGATTCTTCGGCCCAGTCAGGGCAATCAACTCTCTCTCTTTGAAGGACCCGGGGTTGGAAAACTCCACAGTTGGCGTATTGGGGATTTTGTACTCATAATAGTGTTGCCCATTTGTAGGGTCGATCATCTTTAACGACCCAGCTCTTGTTAAAACACCAATCTGGCTGTCTAGCACGTTCAAGAATTTATCACCATCAAACGCAGAAAGAGTCCAATAATTCTTCTGCTGCTTCTCTCGTGATTTCTTTGATCCTTTTAGTTTCTTACTGGTTTTGCTAGTCTTTTCTTCTCCCAATATGCTATTCAAATTATACCAGTGAGCTGACCCTGTTGCTTTAGAAATACAACCAAATCCGGAATGGGTATCACGACTGTCATCTTCAGTGTTGAACCAGGATATATTTTTAACCACGGCGGAGGTTGTACCCCTAATAAACTTGCCAACTAAAGAAATCTCAATCGGCAAGCGATACAAGTCCCAAATATAAAGCAGATCCCCTCTCAAATTCGATGTGGCTAATTGCAAGTCATACGGTGAAAATGAAACTTGGGAAACCCCACCCAGAGGCTTAAATGTTGCAAGTGACCGGTCATTACGTAAGTCGATAATGGTAAGAATTTGGTTATCGTTTGGTTTTAAAAATTCTGAACCCTTTTGGATGTTTGAATATAAGCTTTTACCTATCGATTTTCCCAACTTGTTCAACTCTAGCTTACTCTCCATGTACTCTTTGTACTTTGCCGACGACAACTCTGAGACTTTGAATATTCCATCCAAGGTCGTCTTCGATAACGACGACATCAACTTATTGTACAAGGGTGTAGACCTAGGCAATTTCACAGGAGTGAATAGGCTAAATTTCTTCTTGTTTTCAGAATAGTTGATAAAATTGGTGATCACTGGGTCTAGATAATCGAGTGTTTCATCTCTTAGCAGAGGACCCCCTCTTCTGCAGTTATCATCTGTCTTTGCTTTCTTCAAATATGCATACTCTGCTCTTTTTGGGCAGTATACAAGCCAGTCTTCAATAATGTCATAAATAGCCATTCTGTCATTACAACTTGTTTGTAGTATAACATTTTCATCTCCTAAATCTAAACTGTCATTGTTTCCAGGAATGGTGCAGCAAGATCTCCTTGTATTTGCTAATGCTGAATCAGTGTTGGCACATTTTAAAAGCATATTGTTCTGGTCAAAACGGAAAACATGTACGGCCCCACTGTCTGTCCCTACACAAACAAAGGAGTTACTTGCTTTAATGGAATAGTTTTCTGATTTGAATGGGAGTGCTATCCTACTTGGGATCTTTATGGAAGTGGAAGTGATATGTAAAATGTCCACGTTGTCAGTCTCGTTCTCCAACACGACGGCTACTGCAATGTACAGTTCCTTTTGCTGCGCTACAACCCTGAATGATTGAATATTGAAAGAGCTTCTGGCTTGGATTCGTGATTGCAAGTAAAGCGTATCTCTTTCAGCTCTAGGAGCAGGAACTTCCCAATCCCAAACTTCGAGGACTTTCTCCTTCAAATAAAATATAAATAATTCACCACGAGGACCATTTTCGATAAGGTACAACTCTGAGCCAGCGACTTGAGAATCATCCAGCTCAAAATTATTGTCAACGTCGGCTTGAATACCGTTTGAAGGTGCCTTGTTGACCGATTTGAGTCTCTTCCACGTAGCTAGCGCTGAATTAAACTTATGACCACTCTTTGAACTCGCATGTCTAAACAAGTTAGTAGCGGGACATGGGATAGTAAGAATCTAGCGAGGGGGGGGGGGTGTAAACGTACAACCTGTTTATCTTTACAGTTTTATTTGTTGTGCTGATGTTAGTCATAGCAACCACAATCAGGGTAGCGTAATATGAGTGGCGGAATTGACGTGTATTCCGAATACAGGAATTGCTAAAGAGTTGATCCCTCTGAGTATGCTTTAGATCGTGGTATATGGGAGTACCTTGTAGCGTTCAATTAGATTGTTGTTGCACTGGTTCACTTGTTCACGTTGGCTGTTGTTGTATGAGGTGTGTCTTGTTTGTTTTGTTTGTTTTGTTTGTTTTCTGGATTTTTTTTGTTTTATCTTATCGGCGGGGCAAGTAGTGGTGTTCTGTCTCTTATTCTTAATGTTTTTGTGTCCACTTTATTATCAAAACTGCGAGGAAGGTTTACAAAGATCACGTACACCCCTCTCACTGAAAAAGGAATTTAAAGACTAACTTTATAAATAAAGTGGGTGGGGAGACCTTCAAAAAGAGTTGCGCGCTATTTTATATCCCCAGACTCAACACCAGTTTGAATATAGTTACACTCACTAGACACTATTCAAGATCCCCTATCCGCCAAATCTCCAAACCTCGTATGTTAAACAGTCCATATTTTGACACGGGAGATTCATTTTGACACAATATTTCGTTGCCAAATGTTTCACACGGATAGCTGACTCCTTTGCATAAAGATTTGTCAATGTAGAGACCATTCTGGCCCTGTGACGACCCAATGGCTATAAAGTCGTGGTTGGAGTATATTATATTATCGTTTATGCCGGTGTACATAAAAGCCTTGAATCTGAACGCAGACTTTGATTTCAGCGAAGACGAGTTCTTGTTGTGAGTCAATTTTGTAGGATCATACTTTTCACATTTCCACAAGAAACACTCCCCATTACCGTAGTATCTTTTGTGATCTATTGGCTTCAAATTTTCATTTAAAAAGGCACCAAATCTTGACAGATGTTTGTCTTTCACCACCAACACATATCCCTGTGGACGTCTTTGTGGGGTATTGTAGATATTTCCAGGAGTATTACTCACCATCATTCTGTTGACAACCGATTCAGCAAAGCCCTTTTCTGCTTTCTTTCGTTTATTGTACTCTATTAATTGGTGCTCAGGCTTTGAATTTCTGTACAACGAATTTAAGGATATGCCATGCTGTTCCAGGGAGTACACCAAGTACCAGGTATCAAAAAGTTGGAGCCTCGCAGGTATCAAGTTCCGTATATCGCCTGCCAATTCGGTATCCATTAATTTGTGCCTAACTGTTGGGCCATACCCAGATAACTCAATCGGGGGAAGTGGGGGTAATGCACTATTTAAACTTGAGTTGCTTGAAGTTGCTGAGGCCAAAGATGAGGAGGAATTGTTTCTACTTGAGTTCCCCACCAAAGATTTAAGAAATGTCGTTCGTGACTTTCTGGGTTTCTTCTCCGATCCAGATAGCTTTTCATTACTTAATTCCGTCTCTGGGCTGGCATCCTGTGAATCCCCTTCAACGCTTGGTTCATTTGCTGCCAGTTCATTTTCCACCTTGTCTGCATCATTGGTTGAAACGGATCTCCTGAATATAAATGACATGCTGATAATAGAGTCTCGTAAAAGCAACTCCGGCTTGGGGAGATCTGTACTTTTTTTTCTTTCTGGTTTTTGCGTGGGATTTTTTCGTTTGCTGTTAAAAGAAAAAAAAAACAACAGAATTTACGGGGAAAAGAAGTCAATGTTAGTCTTGTTCTGCGCGTTAAATGTGGCAAAGAGTTACGTACTAGACGTAGTAGTAAATAATTAATTGGATCGTAATATGTATTCTAAGTTAATCTTCCCCTGGCTCATCCCCCCTATACATTATCAACTAACCAGAGGAAAAAGCTCTTCTCTATAGTTGGTGTTTGGACTATATTTGTCCTTTGTGTAGCTCAGATGAAAAACAGTCACACAGCACATATTTTGTGGAACCATTAGTAAGGTGTTAGGCCTACTCCTACGCTGGTAAATAGGAAATCTACTGTGCCGCTCATATTCTGAACTTATATTAGGAACCACTATTCAGTTACGCAAAGTTACTACGTCCAAGCTACTTAGAAAATCTGATGAGCCCTATCAAGAGCTCCAATGCAATTTCAACACTGTCGATGAAGAATACTCCAGGGAAATCAGCACCTAATTTGGAATTGAGACCTGCCATACCAGCACATCCCAACAAAACACAATCAATGTTGTCTGTCTTGTATTGGTGCCCCAATATGAACCTAACTTTCTCCCTGATTTTACCGTATTCTTCCTCGTTTGCAAGGTTAGTAACTGCAATATCCAAGCCGATCGTTTTCTGAAATTTTTTGGCAGGAAACCCATCAACGCCCAAGAAGTCTATGATACCCTGGTCAAGAAGCGGTTCCCATCCACTAGTACTTGTGAGGATAAACAGCTTCTGAATGTTAGGATTCAGAAGAGCATACAAAAGGGTTGCTTGCATGATTCCCATGACAGGCTTATTGCTCAAAGCTGCCAAGCTTTTAATCAACGGGTGGTCCGAGTAGCAGCATACTATAAACCCATCGTACTCTTCTGCAATACGACGGTTCTTTATATCCTCTAACACGACGGTTTCTGATTGTTTGGATGTTTCAATACCAGTGATTTCACGAGGAGACGAATCTGGCGCAGTATAAGTGTCCAAGTTTACACTCTCTGGTGGAGATAGCACATTTCTCATGTTACGAGAGACCTTCTCCGAGCTGTTAGGGTTAACAAGCAATATCTTCATTGTTGAGTGGATGAATAAGATAAGCGATTTATGGGAAAAGCAAAAAAACAAAAAAATTAAAATAGTATCAGAACGCTACAAACAAGGGTCTGTTGGAATGGAATGGGATTTGAAGCACAGATCGACTCATTTAAACACAAGCAGATATGGTGCAAATCTATATCAGCATTGTCTTCTATCTCAGAAGCTATTAATTTCACAATAAAGCAGGATGAATTGTCTTTATCATCGGTAAATGTTAGTCGCACATCACTTGGAGAGATTATATTCAAAAAGTCATTCTTTAGCCTGTACGTGGTTGGCTTTGGTGGTATAGTTTCAGAGGGCTTTACAGAGGGTGATTATACTTCAGAACTGTCTTATTCCTTCATGATCAATTCAAAACACCTCTCCGCCTTATTTCGAAACTTTGACTCGAGCAACATGAAATATGTCAAATTGAGAATTCACTGGTCCGAAAAAGCAGCAGCTAACCTAAAATATAAGCTACTCATTGAGATACTTAACAAGAAGTTGATAATGAAAAAGTACCAAGCGGGATACCTACCAACTACGAGAAAAGGTGTTCAAATTGCAAAGGAATACAAAGACTCTTTTTATGAACAAGAGAACAACAACAACAAAGATGTCAGGCGAAAAACTCATCATATAATGATCGATTTGGTGATTCCAAAAGAGTTTCTCGAAATGGTACCCTCAGGAGCCGAAGACTTTAAAATTGATATCAAGAATGAAAAAGTTCTGTTTGGAGGATACACTAAAGAGGTGATCAAAGACCGGGATTATATCAAACAGCCAATGGCAGTGACAGTTACAATAAGTCTCGACGAGCTAGCCGATAGCAATCTTATAAATCCTGATGAGCCACCCATGCGAATGTTGCTCAATTTTGGAATGCGAGACTTTAAAAACTTTTTAAATTTGGCGGGCGTTTTCGCAACTGCGTCTGCTGCACAACAATTTGATGAAGAGTACGCAAACATAGGCAACAGCAATGACTATTTCCATATTTACTTTAGAAATCCTGGAGATCCTATTTTGTTTGATTTGCAAAACAGCCAACATGTCGACGTGCAATTCATTCAAATTACCGCCTGTGACGATAAGCCAGTTGAAAACGAAATCGAGGTTGATGCACGGGCCTTGCGGCGAAAGCTTTTATTGGAGAAGCCTGTTGTGCATTCCCTTGTAGAAAATTCCGTTGAATACAACGAGGAAAAAGACCAGCACCAACTGATCTCATCACCAGAACCATCCATGCGGTTTGCTTTTGGAAAACTACCACAAAGGCAAAAGGATAAGCTAGAGATATCCAATTTGACACAGCAACAACAGAGACGGGGCCATATGCCATCAGAAGTGTTTGAAGATGTGATTACTTACAATCAAGGTTCGCTAGAGCCAGCATCAAGGAATGACGACACAGAATACAGCGATTCAGAGGAAGAAGCCAACGAGCCACCGCTAAAAAGAAGATTGATTGAAGATGAGGAGCTAGGGCCCACACAGGTTGAAAAACCAAAATCCATCTTCTAGGTCACTGAAACAAATACGGATCGAAGTGAATTCAACTCGGTAAATTATACGTATTGCCCTTGGTATCACGCAATTTTCCGTACGAAACATGTCCACTCCAAGGCTTTTCGTCTTTGGAATATGCAGTAGGTGCAAGTTTGAATGGCATTCGAACATATGATACTGCATCTTCGGAACCCTTGTCCTTGAGATAGCTTGCTTTCATTGTTGTTCCTGTTTTTGGCACAACGAGGACACCTAGCTCGTAACTACTCACCTCATACTGACTAGGGTCATCGTCTACAAATTTGTTACCTTTTCTGCTACCCCAAGCTTGTTTGGATAGATTATGACTTCCCATATAGCACCATTTTAGAGACCCCCATTCATCACCATTATCGCACATGTATAGTTTCACGTGTGGCATAACACGCTCCCTCCCTGTAAGTAGATTACCCTCGCCCGAATTCCATTTTCTCAAATATGGCTTAATCGCTTGCTCGTAATAATTCTTATGAACAAACGACCGAGAATAGTCCAAATGGATGGCCTGGCCGGCCATGAAGCCAACATTACTGGCAGCCACATCACCAACCGTCGGAAAAACAATAGAGGGTGTGTAATTATGATTCGATTGATGATTGCGCAAACTCTCCTTTCCTGGTGCTAATAATTTGAACTCTTCGTCCTTTGAGAAGAGCATTGGACAAAGCAAATGAGTAAAAACTCCAGCTGTAGCCCATTTTTCAACGGCAAAAGGATATGAAATTGCCGAAGTCTGCGCCAAAACGTTATAATGGCGAACCTTATCCTTATTATCTATCAATAGATTGTTCCGTTTCAATGCATCGAATAGACTTCCATATCCATAGTGAGAACAGTCCTGGTTCAAGTTGTAACGACCAGGTGATGATGCAATCAACTCAACATCGATTCCCAGAAAACTGTACAGTTCCAATGACCTAGCAAGGCTGTCTACCTGTGGCTTTGAATACGTGCGCAAATATGCAATTAGATCCATTTTAAACCTTGAGCTTCTGGTCCTTGTAGTTTCCCCCGTGAGTAATCGTCCTGATCGCCATATCATTTGTGTCAAACCACCAAAATCGAGCCTTGTCAAGTTACAAGACATAATGACCACCTCCACTGAGTTGTCCTTGTAAAAATTAATCATCATCTTAGTATGATGGGTTCCAAACCTGTTTGGTAAGGTCGCATGGACTTCCAGTATATTATAGTTTGTCTTTATTGAATTCGCCTCCTCGTTACTGGGATCCAACAATTTGTTCCCGGTGATAAAGACTATTTTCTTCTTTTCAGTTTTGAAGCTCGGGTGCAAGAACGATAGAAAGAACGGGAGATCAACGCAGAAGTTGAATTGAAACGTTTCTGTTATATCCGCTGATCCAATTAAATCGGCAACTCTAACTGTATCCTGGTTCACTTTGGGAAGGTCCTCCTGGGGATAACTGGGGTTATACAAAAGCTTAATCTGAGAAGGGATGTTATTGGTAGGTTTTGGAGCAACTTCATCTCGCCTGATGCTACTTCCTGTGGTGATATCTCTCTCAGCATGGGCCGCCTCATTTTTGAAGCGTTTGACCCAATGGTTAGATGCCGCTGTGAAAGCTTCTGACTTTCTCTTTTCACCCATTGGTTAAAATTACACACTCAAGTCGGTGTCTAAAGTTATCGTCGAATGGTTAGAATCAGAATACTTTATGCAGCATTAACTGGTAAGAAACCTTCGCCGCGTTTGTTTATCCAAAATTATAAGCCAGAAAAGTTCTGTTCGCGCAATAGGCTGCAAAGTTGTATGTCCCCGCTACCTTCCCCGACCCTGTAGACAGAATTCTGATGGAATCTGAGGCAGTATATTTGGGAAACTATTAGGAATAGTATTTAAGGACGAGAGTGAAAAGCTTTACTGGGGGATGTTGTAAGGGGATTAAGAGAAGAGACTGGAAGAATAGCACCTGAGTAAGGTGCATGATTAACTAACTAAATACCTAATAACAAATACATAAACATTAACTTGAAGTCTTGAAGACAAGTCACTACACTCTATCTCTTATATTGAAAGACATATTCTCACACTATGTCTCGGTTATCCGCTGGCAGCTTCTTTTCTCATCAAATTCAAAGAATCCTGCCCCACTTCAAGTGTATTTAATGATACTAAGCTAGCACTAAGGAAGAGAAAAATTAGCATATAACCCTTAGCCCTCAGCAAGTGTAACACGTACTAAGACAAACAATATGTAGACAACACTTTGGAACGAGCGCATACAGTTTCAGAATCGCACAATTCTTGCATATTTGATTGTGACGTTAGCAATGAAAAATATAAAACCAGAAAAAAAAAATCCAGAGTTGTACAAATTCAGCCACTACCTGTATTTGCAAGAGCACTCTTAACTACAATGACCATACTGTTTAGCTACAGGGACAACGAAATTGTTTCGTCGCCTGCTGTGATTGTGAGCGGATCGACCTCCTCAGGGATTCAGCACGGAATTGTTTGCTTCACCAACAATGAGAACAAAGTATTCCCCCCACAATACTTTGAGGTTAACAACGGACAATTTAAGGCTTTCGTGCATGTGTCCCCAGGAGAAAGTAACCAATTTCATGTTGAGGTAATGGACAATGGGTTTCTTTCGAGTTTTGGCTTTCCTGAGTATAGGAACGGTAGACCAAACGTGGTTGACAAGGGTCGATTGGCTCTTGCTTTTAACCCATTACCCCAAAACAAGCCAGTGCATTTGTGTCTAATTCGTGGTAGGGACTCACCAAATACGTACGATATGCCACACTATCGATTGTCACGAGGGGAACAACCTAATTTGGAAAATGCAATTAAAAAATTGAAAGTTGCAGGCCGAATGATGCAAGCCTATACTCAAGATGAAATGAGAGCCGTTGGTTTCAGCAATAGATCTTTCCAATTTGTTGAAGAGACTACGCTGGACCAGACTATATTCGGGTACAAAGTTCAATCACCAACGCCTCACCAGGAGATTAAGGTTCATGTTTTAACCAGTCCAAAGAGTGTAGCCGAGTTGAGAAGTCCGGACTTGGCCCAACAAAATCCTAATGCAAAAGATTCTGGTGGTCTATTCAGCCATGCAATTGAGTTGATCAAAAACTCGGACATATATGATCCTAAAAGTGGCACTGCCGTCCAGTGTGCCGTCATGTATCTCGACTCTACCTACGACAAAAAGAATAATTTGATCTTGACACATGCGGCACTTGGAGGGGGGACTAATGAAGTTAAGTTGGCTATATTTGGATCGCATGGGCTACACTCGTACCCGCAAAACTTCCCCTTGCTAACACCTTCCTTCTTGGATAGCACAAGACTAAGCACTAATGAGGTAGCCAATGATTGTAATGAGTGTGGCACCAGTTGGGAGTGTTTGAATATTTGCCTTGGAGCTTTTATGCACGAAATCGGCCATCTTTTGGGCTGTCCACATCAAATTGATGGAGTTATGTTGAGAGATTACGTGTGGTGGAATCGATCATTCCTCACCAGAGAACTTGAGTGTTTGCGAACACATTCTTCAGGTGAGCTTATTCAACGCAATGGCCAATGGTCCAGGGTATGTCATTGGAATGTACTAGACTTGATAAGGTTCTTGTACCACGACCTGTTTGCATTGCCTGTTGATAGGTTTGAAAAAGTATACACCACAACTAGGAAACCCGACTCTCTGTATCCAAATCTGGCAGTTCCGCTGCTGTATGCACTGCCTGGAAATGGGTCGGTTATGATGTCGGATGCAGGTATCTTTATGGTGGAGATTGTCGATGGAGATTTGACCCGATATCATGAACCATACTTGCCACAGGGGTATGGCGGTAATGGTGTAGTACATCAGTGTGTCATCAATTATGCTGAATATCTTGCCAAATTGCGGTCAGCCAAGAGGGATGCAGGGGAAGGCTACAAGGTTAGAGTCATGTCTTTGGCTGGTGACCTATTCATTGATGACTTCAAAAAACATTGCTCTCCACTGCAGCAGGACTTGGTGAAGAGTGATTTTGGACTTGGACGTGGCGAATTGACAGGGTACAAGAGTGAGCTTTTGGGATCTGCCAAGGGTGAGATGCGAGTAGCTACATTTAATTTGAAGACGGTTTATAAAGTTCGAGTATACTCAGGCCGTGCATTGGATGGTGTAAGATTTTATTTCAGAACCAGTACAGGAACTCAGGGAGGCGCGCCAAAAGTGCCACCTAGGAATTACCTAAAGAAGCTAATTGGACATCATGAATTGCATCATGAAACACACAGCCAAGTCAACGGCGTGGCAAAGGAAGTCTCCTCACTAGTAGGAAAGGAAACAGGGTCATATTCAGATTTTGAATTGCAACATGGTGAAGAAATAGTCAGGTTTAATATCAGAAACGGTGCATGGGTTGACGGCATACAAGTTGTGACCAACAGTAATAGAAGTTCACCTATGTTGGGAAATGCACAAGGAGGTCACTTGTCATCTTTAGTCAAACCGACAGAGGATGCTCAGATAGTGGGTATGTACTTTTATTTGGGAGGTTGGCTAGATGGACTAGGGTTGATCTACACATATAGATAGTTAAATTTAGAATATTTTTATCTCATTCTTGCACTCGCTCTAGCACTTTGTCTCTTGCTTGGAAGTACTCCACCGGATATTCCTCAATAACACCGCTCTTCTGGGTCTTTATCAAGGATGTCGGAAATGAACTTCGACCGCCATATTTTAACTTCAGCAACCGTTTTTCAATAATACTTATCTCACTTCGTAGCTTCTCTGCTCTACTTACCTTTGAACCATCTTTTGTACCGAAGTAGGAATCACATAATGCTTGAACTGTACTAACTTTTGCCCGCAAAAGGTTTGTCTTTTCTACCAACTTCTGGTTTTCGTTGTTCAAGTTTCCACTAATCTGCGCTTCAAGAACCAAGGACTTGTCAACATCACTGGAATCTAAGGACAGTACTATGGAATTGGTAAAATACTTTGCGTGATTGCTCAAGCTACTTGGATTGTGAAATTGGGCATCAAGGTGATTGTTCTTTGATATGTGTGTACTTGAATTGTCTTGATCACTCAGTAGGTACTCGTCATCCGAAGACAGCTCATTGTTACCGGTAATTTCCATATCCTCAGGACTTTGCTCCAGCGCAGTCTTGCGCCCTTCCCATTGTTGAGGTGCATTTGTCTCTTCTTGATTCATGAGCAGTATAAAAGGTTAAAAACAGATTGCAAAGCTTTTTGAAAAGTGTCATCCTGTCCTGTATGCAACAGAGAAAACCCACTTTCACTGTGCTACAAAATTTTGTCGCGTTAACAAAATCATACCTCTACCACCAAGAGTTGCATCCTGAGTATGTCGTCCTTCCAGCTACAGAATTCAGAAGTCTTGGCGAGGCTCAAGCCATTTGGAATTCTGTTTGAGAAGTCTCTCAATGATTTAATCAAGGGGATCAGAGCGCACTCGAAAGATTCGCCCGAGAGCTTAGCAAGATTTTTAGACTCGGCCATTCAGGAATGCAAAACGGAACTCTACAGCACAGATCTCGAGACTAAGGCAATGGCAGTTTTGAAGCTCTCGTATTTGGAAATGTATGGCTTTGATATGTCATGGTGTAACTTTCAAATACTCGAGGTGATGTCGTCAAGCAAGTTTCAGCAAAAGCGTATAGGCTACCTAGCCGCAATTCAGAGTTTTAAAAACGAGCAGGATTTGTTAATACTTGCTACGAACCAGTTTAAAAAAGACCTCAATTCGTCACTGCATGTTGAAGTCGGGTTGGCCTTGAGCGGAATCGCTACAATAGTAACTCCCAGCTTGTCCAAGGATATTAATGACGATGTGTTGATGAAGTTGAATCACTCAAAGCCGTACATAAGGAAAAAGGCCATTCTCGCAATGTACAAAATCTTTTTGCAGTACCCAGATAGTTTGAGAGTAAACTTTCACAGGGTGATTGAAAAATTGGACGATACCGACGTATCAGTTGTTAGCGCTACTGTCAATGTAATTTGCGAGTTGTCGAAAAAGAATCCAAAATTGTTTCTCAACTACCTACCGAAGTTGTTTTCCATCTTGGAGGAGACCAAGAACAATTGGTTGATTATTAGGATTCTAAAATTGTTCCAAAGCTTGTCAAAAATAGAACCGAGAATGAAGAAGAAGATATTGCCCGCGATAATGGACCTCATGCTTAGAACGCAAGCGTCATCTTTGATTTATGAATGCATAAATTGTGCAGTTAACGGGCAGATGTTGTCAGAAGAGTCTTATAAAGATAAGCAAACGGCCAAATTATGCATCCAGCAATTGATGACTTTTTTCAAAACCAAAGATTCCAACTTGAAGTTTGTTGGATTGATCGCTTTGATCAACATATTGAAAGTATTTCCAGTTTTTATGCACAGTGTGGATGGTGTGTCAGAAGTGATCATGGACTGCTTGAACGACCCGGATTTGATAATCAAGAAAAAAGCCCTTGAGGTCTCAAGTTATTTGGTGAATGACGACAATATCGTTGACGTTGTTAAAGTGATGTTGCTACAATTGATCCCCGACAGAACCACTGTTGACGACTCGCTAAAGTTGGAGGTGACATGCAACATCTTAAAGATAGCCTCGAAAGACAATTACAATAACATTCCCAACTTCAAGTGGTATGTGGCTGTTTTGAAAGATATATTGAACTTAACATTGCTACCCGTTGTTCCCGGATCTACGGGATCGGTATCGGCAACAACATCGAAAAAGATAGCTGCTCAAATAGGAAATGAAATTAGAGTTCTTGCAACAAAGGTTCCTTCTATTCGGCCAGTGTTGTTAGAAAAAATTGTGGTTGAAGCAGTGTTGGATGAAAACGTAATCACAGCATGTCCGCTCATTTTGGAAGACGTCTACTGGGTTCTAGGCGAGTATATTGATGAATTTAAAACCAGAATCGATGATGACGACGAGGTCGAAGTTGAAAATGAGGACTTGGTTGTCAACCTCGACAAGAAGTTGTGCATTTTCAATACGTTAGTAAATTGCAAAGTGGATGAAAAATTGGGACTTGGCACGGCAGGTAATTTCAAAATATCATCGATGTTGCTAAATTTGCAGGAACCTCAAGTCTTGTCTATTTTGATCCAAGCTTTGGTTAAACTTTACAATGGTATTGTCCACGACTACACCCGTGTGTACTCGAGCAATGGTGAGTTTTCCGAAACAAAGTATAATGAGTTGAGCTACCATCTTTATCGGTTAATCGGATTTTTGACTTATTGGGAGAAACATTACAACTATGAGGTCCAAGAGCGGGCTTTGTCGTGGTTGGAATTCTTAAGATTATGCCAGGAAGCAATGATTGGTGACGATTTGTCAGGGGTAAAGAAACTTGAACTCAAGGATTTTGAGCTTTATGGCGAAAGGGTTAAAAGTGGTGGTGCTAATGTGGAGGACAGTTCAGAAAGCGAAGTGGAAGACAATTCAGACTCATATGATAGTTCCAGTAGTGACGAGTACGAAAACTTGGTTTTCTCGGATGACGAAAAATCACCAAAGCCAAACGCTCTGCCTGACTTTGAGCCTAATCCATTTGCAGAACAGGATTCAGAAGTAAATGCCTCCTCGAAACGACTTCCTGGGTTATTAAGCCACATTCTACCATCCTTTTTCAAAGCTTATATGCTAAAACCTGTCGCAAAAAATGCTCAATTCAATATCGGTTTGCCAGAGGCGTTAGACTTGGACCTGGAAATTAATGAATTACCCAAAGGGGCTGACACAGTTGGTGCTAATGATGCATATGAACTTTTCTTGTCAGACTCAGAGAATTACGAGGAGAACTTAATCCAATTGACTAGTGCTGAAACAGAAACCAATAGACGAGTTAACATGGAGGAACGCGCACTTCGTTTGAAGGATGACCCATTTTACCTAGAGCCCGGGAAGAAAAGCAAGACAGTAAACAAGCCACATGAAATATCGGATGAAGGACGCTCAGAGTCGTCGCGGGCACCCAGTTTGTCATCCAAGCAAGAGGAACCAACGAAAACCAAAAAGAAAAAGTCATCAAAAATGAGAAAGGAGAAAGTACTCATACTTGATGAAGAATCGGTAGAAGGTGTAGCTAGTCCCAATGAGGTACAAAATTCCGAGGTTGAGAAAAAGCGCAAGGGAAAGAAAAATACTATAAAGATTGATTCATCGAAGTTGGATAATTTCGATCTTCTTTCAGTAGAGCCGGAAAGAACCTCAAATGAGGAGTACGATATTGATTTAGATGCTTTGCGAGCTAAATTGTCGCAAACTTCGATTGACAAACCAAAGAAGAAAAAGAAAGCCAAAAAGACAGAAAGAGAAAATGTGATCGAAGGAACTGGCATTAGCGAAGTAATTGATAAAGAAAGCAGCCAGAAGCTCGAGCAAACTAGGCCAAAAACAAAGGATGATGCATCTACAACCGATTCTTCTGTAATCACTGTAAAGCCAATGAAAAAGAAAAATAAGAAAAAGGCAGTGATTATTGAGGGATGATGTGTTGTAATATATTTTTATAGATTGTTGCCTCTACTTTATGATAATTTAACTAATCTCCTGAAATTAATGGTGTATCTTCACTGATAACTTCGACCTCAGTGTCTGTTTCGACTTCTTCCTCTGGTGGTTGAAACTCCTCGTCTGGTTTGACGCCAGGGACAGTTGAGTACCCCACTCTTTGCAAAGTTTTGATCATATCATTTCTTACCTTTTCACAGCATTTGGTGACATCCTCGTTTGTTTCCAAATCATTTGTGGGTACAGGCGGCAAAACTTCAATGTGAATCTCTCCAGTATTGAACAACTTTCTTTTTGCATTAAAAATAGTGGAAGTATTCGAGACAACTACTGGTATTATTGGGATACCAGCTTGTTTAGCCAAATGGAAAGCACCTTTCTTAAAGGGTAGCATATTCAAACTCTCCAATCCGGATCTAGTACCTTCAGGGAACATGAATAACGCACGATGCTGTTGTTTCAATGATTGTAATGCTCCCTCCAATACCTTCTTGGCCTTGCTCGATCTTGCCCTATCCAAGAAAAAAGTACCGCTGAGAGCCATAAACCATCCTAAAAACGGCACATATGCCAATGATTTCTTACTGGTTACAGTATAACCCGGTTGAAATATTTTTCCCAATATATGAATATCCAATGCAGACTGATGGTTTGAAACAACAATTGCAGGCAAGTCTTTCAAATAGTGTTCATTCTTAATCTTTATGTTAACCCCAAGGAGTAACCTGAATGAGTAAAAGAATGCTCTGGCCACTGTGTACTGGGCATAATCAACCTTGCCTACAAGTCTCAATGCGATCGATGCAATCACTCCATACAAAGCACACCCTACAAGGACGCCACCGAAAACAACTGACTTCAAGTAAAACTTTACGGTCTGATAAAGTGAGCTTGCCATTGGGACCTGGTGAAGTTTGGGAGGAAAACGGATTTGGAAGATGATAGGTAAAGACGAATTTTTGATTGGGTATATTTTCTTTTTTTCTCCTTTTTCCGTTCCCAGTAATTTGATTTAAAGTTAATTTAAAAAAGACTTTTGTTGGCTTTTTGGATTTTTTGTGTCATTGTGTTTTTTTTAATGCAAGAAGCTTCACAGGCAAGAGTAGAAGATTGGGTTCAGGGATCTGCCAAGGAAGTCATGGACGGTATCGCCGTCGTTAGTTAAGCACGAGCGAAGGTATCGTTCCCTAGAACTAATATGTTTCGAAATCAATATCTTACAAAATCAATGACTAAATAGACTACTTAGATTTATGGCGGCGCTTAGTGTCTTTTTGTTCCCCTGCAGCAGGTACCCAAATTTCATCTTCTTTTGCACCTTCTGGCACGTGTAAATTTCTGAAAGTTTCCTTTCTCCATTCTTGTAGATGTCTCTTCTTGGCGTACTTACGTTTGTCCTTGAGACGTAGTTCCTTTGGTCGGTAAGGTGCGAATTTCTTGATTCCAATAAAGCTGTTTAGTTGTTTGTCGTCGGCAAGTAAAATTTCTCTAGTAGACAAGCCAAAGGTCTCAGGGGAAACTTCTCTATATTTGAATTTCAATTCGCCCTCATCTTTCTTGCGACCCCTTTCTTCTTCTTCTTCTTCAACCTCTTCTTGCAATCTGATCGTGTTTGCTTCAATAATCTCTTGTGCCTTACTCCTCAAGGACTCTTTTTCTTTCTTCAACGACTTCTTCTCCATCAAGATCTCTTTCTTTGCCTTCTTTTGTGGAGGTGCTTCTACAGCGTCATCCTCACCCTCATCCTCATCCTGTTTGACTTGCTCCTCCAGGTCGGTGCTCTCGTCCATACCCTCCATTAGATCATCGTCCCAAGTTGGTTTTTCAACTTCTGTTCCGTAATACTGCTCGTTGAATATTTCCGCCATTTTGTTGTCCCAGTCAGCATCATCAAAATCTTCGTTTAACAAAGAGTCACCAAACACCTTTTGAATAACTTCGTCGCTAACCTCATCTCCAACAGCTTCTTTTATTTTCGCAAATCGATCAACAACCTGGTTCAACTTTGCAGTCTTCTTTTTCCTCAACAATTCAGCCTTTTGCTCCTCTGCTTTGCGCTTCTCCTCATGTGCTTTCTCTCTAGCCCTTTTACGTGAATTTGTGTTGGACCTTCGTAAAGTGGCTTGATTTCTTGCGTAGGAAATAATCTCCGTTGAATTAGCATCTTCATATCTAAAGTTGTAAGCTTTCTCAAAATCTTCTACTGCGTTATCAAAATCTTCTTCATCGTTTCTATCTATTTGATCAAGATCAATCACTTTGTCTCCCTTTTTAGGTATCCACGCCTTCTGGTCTAAAAAGGCCGAAAGAAACGCATTTTGATCCTTCTCGGGGTCAGGTAACTTCTGGGTGCTTCCCTGTTCTTCTTCCTCTTTCTCTTTCTTTTTCATGAAACCATCATCTTCATCATCTTCGTCCTCTTCTACATCGAAAGCACTGTTTATGTCATTAAGCAATTTATTCCTTTCTTCCCTTTGCTCAGTTGCAAATGATTTCACACCATCTACAGTTTCATTCTCATCAAACTCCTTGTACGACCCATCAATCAAGTTTTGACGATGGTAATCTTTCAAAAACATTGGCTTTTCCCCTTGCTTTTTGACAAGTATATCATCGGATTCCGGGTCCTTGAAAAACTTGACATTCGGGTCAAGGAGTGATTTTGGGTCTGATCTTATCTTTGATAATACCTTGCTGATACCCTGTTCTACTTCATCGGTAATCAAGTCTCCATATTCGTCCTCCTCTTCCTCTTCCTCTTCCTCTGAGGAAGTGGGTTCTGATTCCGATTCTGAAACTGGATCTTGAGCTGCCGCTAGAGTTTTCTCTCTTGCGACAGCCACTGAGTGAATATCTTCCTTAGTGTGCTTTAATGCTTCTTCTTTGGCCCTCTTGGTAGCCGACTTCTTTCTGGGCATGTTTGGTGGGTTTAGAAATGCTTTACAATGAGATGAGCAGATCATCTGAAAATCACACTAAAAATCGCACTGAAAAATGTAAATGTAAAAGCGCTACCGATGTTAATCAATTGACTGAAGAACACCTTCTATAAATGATAAATCCGACTGTTTAATATCAAACCAATTGATTTTTTCATAACGCTGAAACGATGCCTCCCCTACAACTTCGAAAAGTATGTTTTCGCTGACAAAGGCTCTAAGCTCGGCGGAGGGGTGATTTTTCAAAATCCATAAGAACCTGTCGTATATCCTTGGTCTCAATTTTGTGCATCTCTGCGATATGTGGAGCAAAATTTGCAATACTGTCATGACTCGTGTTAAATTCTTGGTGTTAATATGTAAATTGTAACACTTTACAAATAGGTCTTGGTAATTGAGATCGTGCTTGATTTGATAATTTGAATCAAACAATTTAAGAATCATTTGTAACACCATGGATACAAGCTTCACTTCTCGTTTGTTTCTTACGTCAGGTTGTTTCAAAAACGTGAGCCAAATTTCAAAATCTTCGGCCTTAGGTCCATGCCTTAATAATTCAACGAACGACTCGTTAATGATTTTTGTATTTCCGATAAACGATCCGCAGGTAAATGCAACACCACGCCAAAATTCAACTTTAAATTGATACACCTCCATTGATTGGTAATACAGGAATAGATGACTCCAAGTGAAGTCTTTTCCTGTTAGTGCCTTGAAAGAGAGATGTCGAATTTTGTCCATCAACTCGCCGCTTAATCGTGCCATTTTTAGTCTGACAGTATTGTCAACAAAATTGTTCTTCACCACTAGTTTGATCGCCGCTATTCTAATTCTGGACCCAACGTCCCCCTGATCAGTGGTTGTGTAATCGTCAAAGAGGGTGTATATATCGTGTACCTTGAAAAACGGCGGTATGTTAGCAGCAAGGTTGTCTATCAAATTTGCGCGTACAACGACATCAACACGGAAATCTTTGATTACATTCACAAAACGATCGTACTGGTGTTGCTCAAGATTGGGAAAGTTGAATAGAGTGCACGAGAGATTGCGATCGTGGGGCAAGTGATATAGTACATCTTCGATGGGTAGATCCTCTTGGACGGCAACCACTTGTCTCATCTCCTCAACTAGATTACTGTGCTGCAGAATTTTTAGTAAATTCTGCCAATCCAACCCATTCAATTGCTTATATTTCAAGGCAAAAAGGTATCCTTTAATCATGTCGAGTTTCGACTCATCAAACACAAAATTGTCAAATGCATGATGGCCTTCTTGAAACTCATCCAATTGAAATAAAATGTGCCATTTGTGTGCTTGTTTCAACTTGCTCACAATTTGATTGAAATCAGTTGTACATTTCGGTACCAATTCTAGGGTAACGGGTTGTTTGAGTAACTTGTTTAAATAGTGTCCGCCATCAACATCGTCATTGCATATCATCTCAACCAAGGGCCAAATAAGAAAAGACAAATCAATATCACCATAGAACAGGTCAATAAATTGGTAGCAAATGTGCTGGTCTAGCCGTAGACTGTCTAGTTTTGAGACAAAATTTACTATGAACTCTCCCTTGTAAGTAGTATTCACAAGTTCTTTGCCCAATCTGCCCAAAATCTCCTGCATAACTGCAACACTGCACTTTTTCAATAGCAACTCATCAAACACCAACACCTTTAATAAGTCCACAAATGTATTGACTAGGTTGGAAGAAGAGTGCTTCATATTGCGAACAACTGACCAGATCAAAAAGCAAGCCGAATCTCTTATTTGGCTTCCTATAAGAACTGTGCCCTTTGGAACTTTAAAGAATAAGCATCTCGACGCGAGAGCGATGCAATCCATTTCATACATGGCTGGCAAGTTTTTGGACAAGGAGATGTAGCCCAAGCTTAACAAAATGGTGTGGAGCTTTGGCACATTTGTTTCTTCTCTATCTATGAGATCGGGAATGAATCTGATTAACTGGTTTTGGTAATTGACAGCTGTAAAGGATAACTGTTCCACAATGGTAGACATTGCCTTCGCTATAGCATATCTTAGGTTTGTTTCAAATGTTATGTCACTTAGTAGTATATCATTTATCAAGTTATTGATAACTTCAGCCACACCCTGAAACTGTGCTCTTTTGATGTAATTTACCGCCAATTTGCTCAAAATTTTGATGGAATAAACCAAACTCATATTTGAGTTCTTGGACTCTAAAATGTCACCCATAATACAGGAATATAATCCTGTTATTTCCAAGGGACTAAGCTCAACTCGTTTAAGAAGTTTATTCACTGTCAAAAACGTTCCCAACTTCTGGCTCGCATCTGCACTGGACCAAGAGTTTACCATTTGCTCTAAAAATAAATGGAGCATATCCTGGCAATCAGGTCTAGAAAGTAGTCTTGAATACAATATCAGGGCAACAACTTGTGTCTTGGACAAATTAACAAACCTCCGTAATGAAATTTTGGCAGTTTCTGCCAATCTTTCACGCAAACCAGCTCCCACGGTTTTTATGGGAAAAGGAACAAGTACTAAATTGCAAAGCCATAGTAAACAAACAAACTTGACCGCCTCGCTTGAATCTCGGCACCTATCGATCAAACTGTCAAGAAGGTAGACATCACTCGAAAAGAACAATGCCGTTGTTTTAAAAGTGCACACCTTTGCTAAAGCGTATACGACATTACCAATGAATTCACCAATCAGTACATCCTCGATAAATAAAGAACTCAATTCATTGACATAGGAAGCAAGCTGCTTTTCAAGCAACTTTGGCTGAAGCTCAAACTCGTTGATGATGGCAACTAATTTAGTCGTTACAGACCGATAAATGATGCATTTGTCTATTTCCAGTAAGGCCAAAGCTCTCCTAAGATCAGCTATTAGAGCTCCTATCTCCACATGTAGCTGAGGACTTTTTTTGGTGACTTGATTGCTCAAGTCGTCCATAATGGAGCACAGTTGTATTGACACGACCCACACTACCGAAAAGGGTCGCGACTGTAGGTAAACAGAAAGAAGAAAGGAAGAAAAAATTTCATGTCAACCCAAGAGTACAGGCATCTGTCACTAAAATCATTAAGCATGTCATCAGCTAGGCAACTATATTATAAAGTCACACAAATACGTTCGTCCATAGGGATGCCTCCAACGACACGACGCACTTTAGAGGCATTGGGGTTGAAAAGAAGGAATCAGACAGTATATACAAAGTGCGATGTATCATCTGCCCATTCGCTAGCAAAAGTAAAGGAACTAGTAAAGATTGAAGTTACCAATGAGAAGAAGACAAGGGAAGAGATTAACCAAGAAAGAAAATGGAAAAGTGGATTTGAAGTAATCTCGGAAGGCACGAGGAAGGTATATGAATAATTTTGTGTAAATAGTTGATTGACCATAATAAAAGTCAAGTTCGGGACAATCGTACTGGGCCCATCACTAAATATAGGAACTATCTACAACGTAGATCGACTTTTCTCATGTCTGTACACCACATGGTGGCATTCTTTATACCCTCTCACTCTATTTTCATCGGCGCGATTATGATTGGTTACAATTAAGTGTTTTCCTGCATATAACCATGTAATGTATTATTTTGAAAAACTTTAAAAAACAAAAGTTGTAACCAATTGATGGAAAACACCTGATATAAAGGAAGTACTTCGTTCAACTTATAGCACATAACTAGAACCTGGAGTAATTGAGAAGCTTTCCTCCACTGCGTTACATATATTCAAACAATACACTGTCTTCCCTACTTGAGGCTGACCAAAAATATAATTAGAACAGATCATACATCGCACGCTGGTAATACGCACAATTCAATTAAAATATCACCCTTCGAGGACTTCAACATAATCGCTAATAACTCGTGGAAAAACTTAGAATGTTTACATATATAAAAGCAAGCCAGCGAACTAGGCTAACACAGTCACTTTTTACGACTACTTTTGGTATCTGTTTTTTGCTAGTTGGCGCAAATTCAATCATACCATGCCCGGTAGATAGTCGTTATGATAGTGAAACGAATGAAAGGCTACAGAAGCAAGAGGAGTATGTAAATAGGTCAAAACAATAAAGGTACGGTTTGGAAATAAATTCATGTATGTTTTTTACCTCTTTCTCTGGCATCTCTCTATCTCGTTTTTAGTGATTCAGAAGTGTCAGTGAGTGTCAAGGTAATTGAAGGATCACTAGCGACAAAGTAATTAGTCTCTATTGAGCCTGGCCTAGATTAATCTGTCGCCACGTGCGTCATTGAAACCCTTCGGTTGTACTCGAAACGGCGTTAGCTGAAATAAAGAATTAAAACTGACCCTTCGAGAAGTCTTGACAACGCAAGTGTAGTGGTAAGAAAAGATACTGACTCTAATCAGCATTCGGCGTGAGTACTCAAGTTACCTTTTTGGAAGTAACTCAAGATCGAATATAAACATTGCAAGAGGTGAACCTGTTCAGTCACCTGCCAAAGTAACTAGGAGAGTATGTGTCCAAGATGACTCATTTATTGGTTAATGATATTTTGTTATAAGCATTGAAGTTCTCTTCTGAGTCTTTTCTAAGATAAATGATGTATACACCTCGTGATGAATTGAGATAACTGTACATATACTTTGATCTAAAATTTTTGCTAAATTTGAACAATTTTGTCATGTACATATTAGAGACTACTGCTATGTAGTATTTGCAAGGCTTAAATTACCTATCAATCAATAATCAACAGAGAATAATGTTTGATGTTTTTAGAGATTCAACTATAACCTCATCGCTTCTAGATTTACAGGTTGCAAAAAAGAAGAAAAAAATAAAGGACGCAAATACATATTTTCCCAATAAAGACAAAAGATAAATAGAACTATCAAACTATAAATGCAAATTTTATCAAACCTTTGAAATAGTCAATTTACTTCACTTTCTCAACTTTCTCAAACAACGCCAAAAATGAGACCATTGAGCAATATACAAAACGAGCTGCCTAAGAAACATCCTCGCTATGGCAAAGCTTCAATTGAAACGGAAACAACGTATAATTACAACGACGAGCCTGTGGGAAAAGTATTTACCGATAAGAAGTTTCTGAATCCGTTGCATAATCTTTTGGTCAAAAATCGACAAACACTATCCAGTATTAGGATTGAGATCCCACGTGAGGGCTTGAGCAATGTAAAACAACCATGCATCAAAAGTAAGGTTGATTTCCCCATTTTTGAAGATGTACAAAAATCCTCGGCGGCCATTACTTCAAAGACAATGTCGAGCGCACAGGAACATAACTCATCCAGCCGTAAACATGAAGAAGCAACGGATAATCTTGCCTGTCATGCAAACAACATTCTTCGCATGGCCATTGATTCAACAATGATGAGCTCGATGAATTCCATCACATTGCAAAACATCAACAGCGACTCATTTGATGAAAATATCTACACGAAAGAAAGGGAAGACAACGCCACATTTGGAATTAATGAAGAGGAGATACGAGCAGCAATCAATGGATAAAAAGATAGAATTTTACAACTAAGATATAGGGAAAATTGTTTCTAATTTGGCCAAGTCCTTCAAGTCATAAGCTTCGTAGTACTTGCTGGGATGAACAGGGCCAGCTTTTGAGAAAATGTCGTCTTCACTCACATCAAATAGATGATTTAAATCCAAGCTCTTATGGCCTAGTAAGTGGTGCTTCAATTTACCGAGTTTGCCATTGTCAGGCAAATCTTTAACAGTTTGGATCATTGGACCGATCAAAGAGTCATGGTCTTGATAGTACAGCTTTAGGAAATATATCACTGACAGTTCGTAGTGACCACGTAGGGTACAATTAAGCATCCATGAATACATTTGCGGCGAAGGTTTGATTCCGATGCTTTTCAAGTATTTAAGGTAGTGCAATGCACAGCGCTTTGAAGAAGATTTAGATAGGGAGTATAGAATCAGGTCGAAATCCAACTCATTTAGTTCAGTAATAGTAGCAGGACATGTATACTGCAATGCAGATAGTGTTTGTACAATACTGCTGTGATTCAAGTATGTGGCCGCATAGTTCAATAAACAATCAGTGAATATACCTCTTGTTTTTGGATGTAGACGTTGAACATACTCCATAGTTTGGACAACAAAATCATGTAGAACAGATGTCCTTGCTAAGGAAAGATTATCCTTTTCATCTTTCGGTATCACAACCTCTGCATCAGAGGATTCAGCGCCACTTATTGTATTGTAATCAGCAAATTTCAGATTCATTGCTTGAAACAAATCAGCAGACACTATACCCCCACTCACGTCCTTTTGGGCAAAGACATCAATTAGGTCAAGAATGTTCTCAAAACTTTCGTGGTCACTGTCAGCATTGTAGCAATGACTTTCGATAATTTTGACACAAAATTCTTTATTCAAAGCAGTGCCCCCAGCAACTATTTTGTGGAAAAAATGGCTCTCAATCAAATCTATTGTCAATGTTGTATCTCCATGCGTTGCAAAAACTTGAAGAACCTGCATCAAGAGGGAATTGGTCATTGAGTCAAACACCTTGTTTGTCGCCGGCATCAATGAAAGAACGGCTTCTTCGAGGGTGATTTTTCCGCCTGAAAAGCCTTCCATAATGTACCGTTTATACACTTCCTTCACTATTGTATAGTTATTAGTTTCAAGACCAAGCTGCAAGATTTGTGTCCATAGTTCATTTGGAAGGTCGATTGGTTTATTCAGCAATAGATCAAAAACAGTTTCCAACCGTACGGGATCATTTGCCCTGGTGAGGATCATGAAAACTATAGATAATGGTATCTCTGACTCCTTGAGAAATAGCATCGCGTACTGACAAGCAAGTTCCATTTGGTTGGTATTTAATAACCAGCAAACATAGCTCAGATTGTACACTGACACCATCTCTTTGTCGTATATTTTTCTCCACTGAGAATTGAAATTTAAAATGCCTACTTGAGATTGGTTGAATCGAAACTGGTAAATATACGCCCAGTCAATACGCTTCATTTCCACACTATTCTTTTGCATTTTCCGAAACAGCAACCATAGATTATTCGAGATATTAAAGTTGTGACTGATGCATTCTCCCAAGAACGTGGTGAATGGAGAAATGGGAAGTTTCCGAATCTGCGCAATCAACTGGTCTTTGTCATAAATTTCAGACAAGGATCTGAGGGTCTTGGAATTGGTGATATAGTCCTTGTAAGAACATGTATATAGCCTTGAACGCGGTTTAGAAACAGGTTGTGCCTTATTGTGATGATGCCCCACATTACTAAATCTCCTCAAATGGGTGATTTGTATAGCATTGTGAAAATCGAGACCACAGTTAAATGGAGCTAGTAAGCGCATATGATACAGGACTTGGTGTTTGTCAAAGGGGAGGGAGTGAATGACCTGGTGTTTCCATCGGGTACATTTGCTAGACATAAAGTGTTTAAACAGTGCTGCAACTACTAATTTTTCTTTAAATTTTTTTCCTTTTCAAACCAGTAATCTTTAAAGGCAAGCATTACTAGTCTATACCCATGACGTCCATTTCGAGGTCATTTGCAACCGCAGCTAAAGCCAAGCCCCAATTCAACGTATTTGATAGATCAACCAAGCTTTTGCAGAGATCGAGAACACCAAAGATCAACCCCGAGCTATCACGAAAGAAAGAATACTTGAGAGATGAAGTTGCTGTGAAGACAATTGAACGATTGGCCTTTATTACTAGACCGTTTGACAAAGCGCTAGATTTTGGCAGCCATAGCGGTAACTTGCTAAAACAGCTTTGTACAAAGAGCCATGTTCCACAGCAATTGCAAGGCGATGAGATTGAAGAGAAGATTATTGAGCAGTTGAACAATGATAAAAAAACGGTACGCGAGAAGATCAAGGATCTTGTGTTATTTGATTCATCAAAGGAGATATTGGAGCGGGATGCAGATCAAAAGTTTGACTCTCAGTTCCCCGGAAATATTGAAAGAGTTGTTGGAGATGAGGAAAAATTTGACCATGAGGTTCTTCAAGAGTCAAACACTTACGACTTGGTGGTATCTAATCTAAGTTTACATTGGATAAATGATTTACCTCAATGTCTTGCAAACATTAACAGGATACTAAAACCAGATGGCTTATTTATGGGTACGCTCTTTGGAGGAGATACCTTGTATGAACTACGTACTTCTTTGCAATTGGCAGAACTTGAAAGGAAAGGAGGGATTTCTCCTCGCGTTTCGCCATTGGTTCGTTTGAATGACGTTGGATCCCTTTTGAACAAGGCAGGCTTTAGCTTGTTAACTATTGATTCAGAAGACATCGTGGTTGGAGGGTTCCCTGATATAGTTGCTGTATGCGAGGATTTACAGGCCATGGGGGAACAAAACGCTGTCTTGTCTAGAGCACATAACTTGCCCAAGGATGTATTGTTGGCGGCCAATGAAATATACAAGAGTTTACATGGAGAGGTTCAGCCTGATGGGGAAGTGCTCCTTCCTGCCACATTTAATGTCATCTTTATGATTGGGTGGAAAAAGAGCGAATCGCAACCACAGCCTTTGCAGAGAGGATCAGCAGAAGTAAACTTGAAGGATGTATTGCAATGAGAAGTATCGTGTCTGGATCCTAAGGAAGAATATATTGCTGAAGAATATTGGGGTGTATATTTAGTAAAGTTAATGCACTTTTAGGCTTGGCGGAGCTGATCCAACATTGCATATACTTGAGTTTGTAAAACATTGATTGTAGTAAAGAATCTGATCCAGATACGAGAAGGAAATGCATAAATCCGGCTCCAGCAGATTACCTTATCTCGCTTACGGATTAAAGTCAAAAGTAAAATAGAACATTGAAAATTGTTTTTCAGTTGATGATTACCCGTTCCGAAATATCAATGGAAAAATAAAGTTTTTGATTTTTGTGAAATATGACGGGAAACAGGCACGGCTAAAGAAGGAACCTTGTTCCGTTTTTACAAAGTGCAGTTGGTATATGTCACCAACGGAATATTATCCATTCCATTTAACCGATGGATGTTGGTCCCCTGTAATGGAAATTTTAAAGGCAACTTCATCGGCTTTCTAGAACGATGGAAACACATGGCTAATACGTTTTTCTGTACAAATTGGTTACACAAAAGTAGTACCTTATTGCCTGTTTCGGATATAACAATATTCTTTTGCTTTAAACCCTTCTAGAACAATGTAATATAAGCGCGTATTTGTTTACAATAATTTGTAAGCACTAAAAGACAGCAATCTATGACCAGCAGGGGAGAAACCATTTAAATATTCTCCACATCTTCCTTTTGTCACTGAAAAAATCTTTTTTTAATCTCTTTAATTTACCTAAAACTAATCCCTCGACATGGTCAAAGTATTGCTTGCCATCAGTTCTTACCACGGAAAGTTCTACCCAGAAGGCTCCCGCACTGGTGTTTATCTCACTGAGGTTTTGGAACCATATTTAGAGTTTACTAAAAAAGGTTATGAAGTAACTATTGCTTCAGAAACTGGAACATTTGGCTGGGACAGTCACAGTGTGCTTCTTGAAGGTTTAACGCTCCACCTTGGAAACATTTACACTGCCTTTTTCAACAAAAACTCGGCATTCAACAAAGCAATGAAGAATGTGAAAAAGGCATCTGATGTCGAAGATGAGAAGTTTGACATATTTTTCGCTAGTGCTGGACACGCAACTTTATTTGATTACCCCAAAGCAAAATCATTACAGAAAATTGCTGCTACAACATATGATAATGGTGGTGTCGTCGCTGCTGTTTGTCATGGACCCGCTATTTTTGAAAACCTTATTGACCCAGCAACGGGTGAACCATTGATTAAAGGCAAAAAGATTACTGGTTTCACAGATAGCGCAGAGAAAACGTTACATCTTACAAACACAATCAAGAAGCATAACTTGGTCACAATGGAGGGTGTTGCCAAAAAGGAAGGAGCTACTTATGTTGCTCCACCAGGTGATTGGACCCCGTTTACTGTAATTGATGGTAGAATCGTGACTGGTCTTAATCCACAGTCTGCTACCAAGGGTGCCAAAGATACCATTGCCACTTATGAAAAGACGAGGAACCAAACGACCAAATAAATCTTTACTTCTTTACATTCTTTAGTATACACTTGATTAATCTAATTTAAAAATCGTCTATAGTCCTAAAGACTACCGGCTTATTCTCTCCTGGTATTTGCTCCACCTTGAAAAAATCGGGGCCCAATTCAATCAACCCAGTCTCGGCAGCGTAGACTGCCCAATGGTCGGTTAATTCTTTCAACACCTCTGGCTTTTTCTCAGAAAGATCCTCGGTTTCACCAGGGTCTTCAATAATATTGAACAATTGCCACTTTTCAGGGCCAAACGGCTTAGGAATATACAATGCCTTGTATTGACCCTTTCTTATCGCTTGTTGTCCAAACAATTCCCAACCGGTTACTGTGTTTTCATCATGTACGTATGGTGCTTTTCCTGATATGTAGTTGGACCACGACTTGCCTCGTGGAAGGGCAACTTGTCTTCCTCTATATGTAGATCCTGGATGTGGAACTTTGGCAAGATCTAAAACGGTAGGCAAGATATCCATGACTGTGGTGAACTCTTTCAAGATCCTGCCCTCTTGGTTCTTCAATAACGGTGGATAATGGATGATTAAGGGACATACAATCGCACCTTCAGTAGACCACATTTTGTACATTGAATGTGGCGCCGTTGCTGCTTGAGCCCACTGGTCGCCATAGAAAGTGAAGGAGTTGTAGTTTCCAATATTCTCGAGAGAATTATCGTAGTACTTTTCAACAAACGATTGTATTCTCTTGTTTGTTAATGGTAACGCCTCCATCAACATACCTTCAGCTCCATTGTCGGACATAAACAAGATGAATGTATTGTCCAACTCATTCTTTTTGTTCAAATGGTCAATCAATCTTCCAATTTGCTCGTCCAAAATCTCAACCATGGCAGCATAAGTCTGAACAATTTTAGTTTCCACGGCTTTCTCCTCCTCAGTCAAATCTTTCCAATCTTTACGTATAGTCGTAATTGGATGCGGCTTGATATCTTTTTCGATAATGCCCAACTCTAAAGCCTTGGCCAATCTCTTTCTACGCAACTCTTCAGGACCGGAGTCGTAAACACCTTTGTACTTGGCGATTCTATCTTGTGGAGCTTGGTATGGCCAATGTGGAGCAGTATAAGTGACAAACCCAAAAAAGGGTTCGTCTTCTGGCGTTTCGTCAATAAACTCAATCGCCTTGTTGGTGAAGTTGGTTGTTGAGTAAAAATCATCAGGCAAATCTTTTTCAGGGTTCAATTCCTTGTGATCGGAAACGTAGTAGTTGGGCAAGAATGGCGCTTGTTCTCCGGTTTCATCCCGTGTAATATATTTATAATGGTTACCTGCTCCTGGTAACAAAGTCCATGATCGCTTAAATCCTCTCTTGATGGGCCAGTAAGGCTCCTTCAAACCTAAATGCCACTTGCCTGAGATAAATGTATGGTAGCCGTGATCTTGCAAGATCTCGGGTAATGCAACCACCCTATCATTCAAGTACCCTTCGTAACCAGGTTTATTTTTAAATGTGTCACCTTGACGTGAAGCAAACTCTGCCATCTGTCCTAATCCTGCGATATGGTTGTCTGTACCACTCAACAACATCGATCTAGTAGGTGAACAAGCAGCAGCAGTGTGGAAATCAGTTAACCTGACACCATTTTCGGTGGCTAATTTGTGTAAGTTGGGTGTGTGAATTTCACCTCCAAATGGTGACAAGTCAGTGAATCCTAAATCATCAGCAACAATAATCAAGAAATTTGGTCTCTTTTTCTCAATGGTCATGGTTGTGTATAGCTATTAGACTGAGGTAGTGGAAACTTCATTTTGCCAGGAAGTCGTTACCTATTTTATAGTGGCAGAGGGACAACGAATTCCTAAGCCAGCGCCACAGTTTCGTGATATCCAATTTATTTTATTTTTTTTCACAACAAAAGCAAACGTAATAATGAAGGAGAATGGTGATTATCAAGTGTCATAAAATAGTGACAATTGAAAGATCAAATAAGCTGATGTGGCTAGGTCTACTCCGGAACAACGCTTTGTTGACTATGGCTTCTATTAATAAAGCGTTGTTTCATGGAAAAATCGCCTCCACAAAGATTACATAATGATTGGACTGTGTATTACGTAATATCGTAGTAACAGTGAAAAAAATTTCAACCCGATCGGAATAATAAATTGTAATTGCGTGATTTTTCTATAGATTAGAGTAAAAAGTAGTTGATTATTTCAAAATATCAAGTAGGTACAAACAAACTTGGAAAATCTTATAGACAGGTAGTAATTCGCCTTGCCAATATGCCAAGGTAAATTAAAAAATCAAAGCGGATATAAGGCATGTGGAGTTGCCCTTAAACATCTGATTTGTGGTTTGTTCAAAATTCTAAAGCTGGCTCCTATGGGCTACTTTCTTGTTAAAACAAACTTGCCTTCTTCATGAAGTTAAAGTCTAAATACACTTGGTGCTCTCATATAGTAGCCTAACCAATTTCAATGAAATTACAAGTTCAAATTATTTCCACATGCCAAAATAAATAAAACGCCTCTTCTCAATCAAAATAACACAAAAAATCAGTTTATTTTAAAAATAGTTTTTTTTTTTTCTTCTTCTTTTTATAAATCCGATTGTTGAAGTGGAGAGGGAGAACCGTTGAGCTCAAATGAAGTTTCGCGGAGTATACAACATCCAGTGAGATACTATTCACTACGTGAGATTCCGTTGCTGATACTTTATAGCATTTGGTTGCTGCTTCCTGATGTCCGGAAAAGTCGCCCCTCCTTTTTGCTTTTTAGATTACAAGTCACACTGAACCGGATTTATGACTACAGCTAGCTTAAACTTGTCCCCTCATCCTTCCAGTTAGTCTTTAGCAAGCTATTTAAACTGCTGTTTTTTAAAAAATTTAGGAGCTACTACTCTGTGGTGTGAGAAAACTGGAAAGTTCTTGGCCTTAGTGTCTCGTTCTCTAACTTGTTCTTTACAGTGATTAGCGTCATTCCGTTAAACAAAAAAATAATCATACACCTCTTTTGTAAAACAGCTATTTTAACAACTTAAAATAGATTAGCTTTATCAACTCTCATTTAGAACATATCAGCTCCCTCAGCCCATTCAGGATAAAGCTTCCAGAGGTGGTTTCTCTTTTTTGTAAACACGAATAAAAGCTGCACACTTTGCAAACACAAAAAATCAAAAACAAAAAAAAAACCTCAAACTGCCAAACACCGAAGGAGGTAAAAAAAAAAAATAAAGAAAACAAAAAGTCGGAGACTAGCTTTCATTAAATCTAAACGTTTTTGAATTTGCTGGATAGCACTTTATTTCGACCACTCAAACAAGGTTCCAACGACCACTGAACAAAGTTCATCGACATTGAAACTTAATACTAGTCGTGCTTCCAGAACTTTTTCAACTGCACACATAATCTCCAAAGACCACCCACTTCATGGATATTCGCACGTTAACAGAGGAATCGGAGCCAGGGCAACTGGTCTCAACAGCGGCTTCAAAAGACAACCCAAAGGCCATGGCGTCCAGTCAATTAGAGCATATGAAGCTAGAACCAGAACTTCTCCTAGACAGCCAACTTTCAAATGATACAGAGCAACAACCACGTCAGAGTCTAGCACCGTCTAATGAAAATGACAAGACAAGTAATAAGGGGTCAACCGATTCACCGTCGCCTTCTCCCTACTACCAAAATGTGCAAAACACACAAGCGACCCATGACAATGCTAGCAATAGCTACAGTTCTGATCATGATGCACATATACTAAACAAACCAAAAAGACAAAGGCGAAGCTACAGCTGTGGGCCCTGCAAAATGCTAAAGATCAAGTGTGATTTACAGGTTCCTTGCACTTCATGTAAAAAGTTCAAACGAGTTAATAGGTGTTTGTTGCAACCTCCACAGCCTCCGTCACAAGAGGAACTAAGCAAGATTAAAGAACGAAAGAAGCGAACAATGCACAAAAGGTTGAAAACGTCCAATGACATTGTACATGCGTTTAACGATAATCAAAATTCAATACCATCATTGCTCTCATCCATTCAATCAAGCACAAAGCTTATGGAGCAACAACTGAGATCCTTTCACGAGCACAATGGTCACCAACAACTGCAACATTCAGGTGGCAATGACAATTTTACCTCGGCCCATATACGGCAATCGCATTTTTCCAATTTGCAACCAGATACTACCAATGGTATGCCTACTCATCCTATATCGCACATCAGCTCGAACTACAACGAGCAACCACGAGCCACCTTTTCTGACGAAAATAAGCGGTCACAGGGCGATTTGATTGATACGTTGATTTCTCAAGATTACCAAAAACATATCGAGTTGAGCATGGTAGATGTCAAGAGAATCAAGAGATTGTTGCCAAGCAAGTTTGAAGCAGTCGAGCACCTTTTTGATTTGTACATTAATACGATAAATTCGGTGTTCCTAGACATACAAGATCATGATGAAATTATGAGGCAGGGACGCATCATATACAACAAACTTGTATCAATTGACGACGACAACGTGAAAAATCTCAGCAAAAGTGTAGAGTTCAACGTTGTTGAATTGAGAAACTTGTCGTTGATTTTCCTTATTCTTGCCAGTGGGTTTTTATTTGAAAATGTGGAGAATATATCTTGTAACTTTTTATTTGATTTGAGAACAATCTACAAAGATGACTTGATTCAAGATTGGGTCAAAATTGCAAAGTTTATCAAACTCAAATTGTTGTCTTATGAATCGTTGACGGATTTGATTTACTTGATGGATTGGTACTTCATTATAAAGAATTTGTACACTTACGATAACATGATTGTTGATAACTACTTGGAATTTAACAATTTATTGAATTATCTTGTTTTGAATAACGATTTCATTGCTTTAATTGAAGACACTGGCGCCGAAGTGTCAACTCCTACAGGCTCGCCACAACCACAGAAAGAGGGACAATATAAAGCGGATGAGGTGAGACGTAAAACGTACTCCAAGTCAAGAGAGTTTTTATTACTAGGCAAGTATTGGATTCAACTTAGAATGATTGAGTTGGAATTCACGTTTTTCCAATACAAAGGGTCAATGTTGGTATCTAATCAGTTGAAGAATTCCATTGTCCCACATGCGGATGTATTGGAAATAATGTATGGGCCCAATGGCGCATATGCTACATCTGCTTTGACGAAACACCAGATTGCGGTGTGGAGCCTTTACTACACGAGATCGGGTCAATCTACATCAATCAGACGCATAGTGAAGGACTATTTAATGTTGTATAGCAATGCATCGCTATTGCTAAAGGATGACTTGAAAATGGTTGAAGCCAAGTTTTGCACCATTGGCGAGAATGCGCCACAGCCAAAGGTTACTGTTGACGACGCGGAAACATTATTGAAGAACCAACAGATTTTGCTTTTGTTTGTGAGGTGGCTATCATTTATTCGAATCGAGTCTAACTACTTTCCTAGTTTGAGATATTCATCTTTTTTAACAACAATGATAAACTTGAACAATCACTTTAATGTGCTTGAAAAGTATTATAAGGATGACGCAACAGGAGGAAACTTGGTTGACTTTATACTTTCAAATTTCCCCTTGCATTTTATAAAGTCATTCTTGCTAAGTTTGACATATCAGGCGTTATTTTTGATTTTTTTAAAGTATTCCCTTATTCAGAAATCAAGAACGAATGTCACTACTTTTAAGATCCGGTTGGATGAGATATACAACGACGTTCTCGGCTCGTTTCAAAAGACATTGGACAAGTTTGTGGCAAGTCCCAAAATGAAGGAGTATTACACCTTTATTCCAGTTTTCCGTGTCAATATGAATTTCTTACTTGATGCCAACCATATTCTCAACGAAGAGCCAACAACATTTCAGAGTCAGCGAGATTGTAACTCACAAAAACATATACCTCCATTGGCTTTCAAGGACTTGACTGATTTACTCTACCAGTTGAAAGCTGAGTTCGATCCGGAACATTGGGAGTTTCTTACCAACGTTTATTTTGGATCGAGAGATAACTTTTTTCGGTACGTGGAAAAAGTATGGGATTTGTTTCAATTTTTATTAAGCAATGCTTCTACGCCGGGAGATGGTCCTGGCGCACAATTGACCAAGGATATGGTTATCTGCAACGACTTGAGATTCAATGATGAGTTGATCAGGAATCATAGGGGTCAGTTAATGGGTTTGGTGTTTGACCACAATGTAGTTGAGGAGTATATGAGACTTAATGTCGAACCCAATATCGACGATTAGTGTGTATAGTAAGTGAATGAATGAAAGATTTCCAAGAAATGAATGAGGACAAATGTTGATTTCTATAATCTCTATAAACTATTAACCACCTGTTTCATTGAGCAACGTTCTATAAGGCGTATCGTGAGAAACATGTATCTTTTCCCACGATTTTATCGTTAACCCATCACTCAAGGTGGCTTCTTCTATCATCAACTGGTAATTTCCCCACCACGGCAACAACCGAAACATAAATATCCAATATAATATGCATATCAAGACACAGATAAGCCCCACTAGGCCGTAGTTTGGCCAGCTTTCTAATCCTTTGGGGTTTGGCGAACTCGAGGATATAAAGGGTCCAACCACCAAGTAGATGCTGATTAATAAAACTGCAATTGTGCCAAAATAGCCAGCTCTAATTGGTGCATGTAAATGTGGGTATCGTTTTCGGATGATGAATATGCCAATTGCAATCAATGCAATGGCAATCTGCTGAGGGTACCCTTCAAGCGACACCATGTAGCTATATACATCACCTTCATGGAATCCTAGAATGATGACAGTAGTAATTGTACAACTTAAAACGAGGATCCTCAATGGTGCACCAAAGGGCCAGTTTGACGACATGAATTTCGAAAATGGCAAGTAACCCTCACGAAAGACTTCCTGGTCAACTCTGGAAATGGTGTATATGACAACGAAGATGTTTCCCCCAGCACAGATGGCGATGGCAAATGTAAGGAAGTGACGTCCTAATTGCTTGCCCAAGATCTTTTCAAATAAAATGGAACCAACTAGGGTTGACGAGTTGACAATTTCTTCATCGGGAATAACAATCAAGTAAGCTAAATTGATGATGCCGTAGGTGACTGCCATGATTGCAAGTGACACAGGACCAGCGATTTTGAATGTACGAATTGGATCCTTGATCTCATTTGAGACAGTATGAACAGAATTCCAACCGCTAAACGCAAAGCTAGCTTTAATAATGGCACTTGAGAACGAAGATAGACTGGCACTTTTTTTCACTTGCCAAAAATCGTCCCAAGCTAAATGACTTTCCAATTGTGTGACATGCTGTGGAAGAATGGCAACGAACAATCCCATCACAACCATTATCCCCACAAGAACTAATTTCAAAGCGCCAAGGATATTTTGGACCCTAACACCATGGTTAACGCTCACTCCGTGAATCAAAGCTGCCCCATAAAGGAACAACAAACCAGTGAGCCTAATTCGCCATGGCGTGATGGCAATGCCCAACGCATGTATAAAATATTCACCAAAAACCAAAACATTGCTAATGGTAAATCCAAACATGACCAGGTAGATAGAAAATGCCACGGTAGCCAACAAGGTTGGCTTAGTATATATGAACTCTAAAAACACTTTTGCACCACCACTTCGAGGCACTAAGGAACCCATTTCGAGAAACACGTACAATCCACCAAACGAGGCAATGGCAGCAACAACCCAGGCTAGGAAGAAAAGAAATGGGCTCTGTCCACAATCTATGTATATCCCTGATGTGATGCTGAATATACCACTTCCTAGTATCCTGCTGATGAATAGTATGATGGTGGAGTATAATCCCAAGTGTCTTCCCTGTGGCAATTCCTCCAAGGATTGCAAGTGTGATGACGGGTGTCGACTAGTGTACATTGAGTCAATTTGTGGTTCTGTTGTTATTTCATCTTCTGAAATCAATTCAGAGTACAGTCCAGCTGCAGGCGCTTTGGAATCATATGGCTTGTCGAGAGTTACCATTTCAATGGAATCAGACTTTCGATAGGTGGATGTGCTGTGTTGTGGTGTTTGAGTATTGGTAATTGGGCTATTGGACTGTAGTTGCAGGTCAGTGGGAAGCCCTGGTAAGTGGTCTGTAGAAGAAAGAGTCTCTTCACTAGTAGTTTCTGATCCAGATCTGGGTAACATCAAACAAAATTATAACTAGCTTTTCTTATTCTGGAACCTTATCTCCATTGTGGCTTTTCCCAAAGGGTGAGAAAGACGCGATAACGAGCCAAAGGGAAAGAATTTTTTTCTTTCGAGCCACACAATTGAAAGGCTATGTTTACATGTACGTGCAGTATCAAGTTGCTTCAGGGGCAGGATTTCTTCTTAACCTTCCATCCTAGCAGCCCAGCCCTGGACAAAGAGGCGAAGACTATATCCACAGTATGCTCTACTACATCCTAAAATAAGAAAAGACCATTTACGGTTGATAAATAAACATTCTATTAAACATCTTGTTTTTCTACTTCTGATTCTTCTTCTTAACATACGACTCCTTCGCCAACGCAATCAAGCTATTAAGTTCACCACTATTCTCACACATGGAATAAAACAATGAATCCTTATTGGTGATCAAAACATATGGATTATCATATTCGACCACTTTTCCAGCATCCATAACCAAAATCTTATCATAATCAATAATTGTCCTTAATCGATGGGCAATGGTTAAAATGGTACTAGATCCAAATTCATCTCTAATTGTCTTTTGGATTAATGCATCGGATTTGTAGTCGATGGAACTGGTGGCCTCATCAAGCAAGATTATCTTGGGATTCTTCAATAATGAACGGGCAAGACAAACCAATTGACGCTCTCCCTGGGACAAGTTGCCTCCTCCTTCGGTTATGGGGTTCTCTAAATCATGAAATTTATTCTGGTTCTCGTCAGCAGAGGCTGCAGTGGCTGATGATGATGAAGGGCTTTGTTCATTTGGATCAATCAAGTTGACTCTCTTCAAAGCGGCATAGATATCAGTATCTGAATATTGCTCAAATGGATCCAAGTTGGATCTTATTGTACCGGCAAACAACGTTGGATCTTGTGGAATAATTGTGATTGCTTGACGCAAATTCTTTAATCCAATCGTAGTGATATCAACACCATCAATTTTGATTGAACCACTTTCAGGATCCAAGAATCGGAAAAACGCCGTAATGATGGTAGACTTACCAGCACCTGTTCTTCCAACAATTCCCACCTTGTTACAAGGATCAATATCAAAAGTTACATTCTTAATGACGCGAGGTAATTCAGGAGAATATCTCAATGATACATCATTGACGGAAATTTGTCCCTTGTCGGGCCAGTTCGCTGGTGGCTCAGTTTCTTTGATTTCATAAGGTGGTTCCTGTTCAACTTCAAGATACTCCTGCAATCTCTCGACCGAGTTCATATTCATCTCAACATTGGCATAAAGACGTACAACCCAAAGAGCACTTTCACTGAATGCAATAGCATATGACAATGACAAACCAGCTAAACCGGCATCGATATTACCAACTGATAACAAGACAAATATACCGGCAAAAAACATAACCAACGAACCAACAGTATCGATTCTGATAGAAAGCCATCTGTTGGCTACCCACAAGTAGAAAAATGGTCGATTGTTATTATCAATTGCTTGCAAATTCTGCTTCATAAATCTAGACTCAACACCATATGCTCTAATAGTGGCAACACCCGTTAATGACTCAGAAAAGTGCTGGTGAATTGGCGATTTTGTGATGGACTCGTATCTCTTCAACTCTCTCGACAATGTCAAGTAGAAATATCCAACCAAGTAGTATAAAAATCCAATGACAAATGCAAAAACAAGGAATCCGGGGGTGATGAATGTGATTAAAATCAAAATTGACACACATTGAACAACGCAAATGAGAACACCTTCAGCAAAAGGAGTCACTTCTTGATCAACAGATTCAATATCCTTGGAAAATCTATTCATGATACGACCCAACGGGGTCTTGTCAAAAAACCTCAATCTTGCACGAAGAATAGTCATCAAGACTCTTTTGAAAATACGATTCGATGCTCGAATACCAGAAAAGAACGTCACCAAGATTCTGACACATGCAGTAAACCCATAACCAAATCCAATGATTCCATAAATGGTGATGTAATACAATGTTGAGTGTTGTTCAGCAACTTGGTCCACTTTCGCCATGGAAAAGTTTACATACCTGACAGCTCCAACGAAGTTGCGTACTCCAGGTAATTGGGCCAAGTGGGAGCTATCCAAAACCTGACCCATCGAGCTGACTGCTGACTTTATCATTTCAGCACCGTTTTCACTATGAATCGACCATGTTCTCAACCACCATGATTGATACATGTACACCACTTGTGAAGCAACAAAAGTGACAAAAATTACTGTCCAAACTTTCCAACCACCCAAAACTTTAGCGTAATCGATATAAACTTTTGAGCTAACCACACCCTCAGCTTTGTTTTCTTCTTCAACTAATTTACCATCAGTCTTTACCAAAGGTTCTTCTTCAGCCTCTTCATCGCCATTTTTTAAATTCTTCAATTTTTGCTCAATTGCTGCAGACTTAGCTTTCATTTCCGCATTCTTATCACCGAGTGACTGCAAGTTTTGCGAAGATTGAGTTCTCGAATTCATGACAGATGATTTAACCAACTCATCGTCACCCAAATCACCTGATTCTAACAAGGCATCAGTGGTACCTTGGTTCTTGACTCTTCCATTCTCCATAACCACGATCCATTCGGCATGCTGAGCAGTCAATGCGACATTATGAGATACTAAAATACATGTTCTTCCTTGCATCAAAGGACCAGTAATACAATTTTCATAGATCCACAATGCCGTATGTGAATCAACAGCAGATAAGCAATCATCAAGTAACAAATGTTTTGAGTTTGAATATAATGCTCTAGCAAGAGAGACCCTTTGCTTTTGACCACCTGACAATGTGATACCCTTTTCACCAACTTCAGTCTGATCACCAGCACTCAAGATTTGTAAATCACGCGTCAATCCACAAGCTTCAATAACATCGTCATAACGCTCTTGATTAAACGGTGAGCCAAAGGTGATATTGCCTCTGATGGTGTCATTCAATAACCAAGCTGATTGCGAGCAGTAGGCCACAGATTCTGTTAATCCATGCTCATCAGGGATCAAGTCATCACGAGGTATGATACCTGGCAAGAAAACTTTACCACTTAGCAAATCCATTTCTCCAAGAAGACCCAAAAGCAAGGATGTTTTACCTGCACCTGTTGGCCCAATAATGACATTCAATTTACCTGGCTTGAAAGTGACGTCCAAATCGCGCAACTTGAAATCTGATTTTGACAGTGAGTTCCACGACAATGTGGCTTTTTCAAATCCAATTTCGGGTGAGTTGGGTCCCTTTTCTTGGGCTAATTGATCATATTTTGATGTTTCGGCCTCATCGAGGAAATCAGCAACTCTATCCAACGATACCTTTGATTGAATTACAAAAGAAGTCATATCCGCCAACTGATCCAATGGAGATCTTAATAATGTAAACAATGACAAAGCAGTGAATGCAACTGGCGCGGTTAAAGTGTGACCTTCGATTATTGTGTAACAGTAAAAGGAAAGCAAAGTAATTAAAGTTGGAGTGACAAACCACACAAATGAAGCAGCACACCAAACAGCAGCCCTATATTTCAAATATTTCAACTCTTCATTTCTGATATCCATTGCACTTTGGAAAAACTTGTCCTCCCAAGCAAAAAACTTGATAATACGAATACTTTGGAAAGTTTCATTCAATTTTTGAATTCTTTTATCAGTGACACCCAACATTTGTTTTTGTAATCTTCCCAACCATTGAGCAAATTGATAATTTACCGGTAACAATACAACAATTGCCAATGACCCAACAAGGGCACTCCAACCTAACAAATTGTACAACAAAACCGTGCAAAAGACAATCATCAAGATTGCACCAACAAAGTAATGCAAGTATCCACAAATCTCCGACACCTTGAATGCATCAATAGCCATAAGGTTAATGATGGCACCCAATTCAGCGGTGCTCTTTGATTCCTTTTCACTGTTACTATTACTATCTTCGTCACTCGATGACTTTTTATCATCGATTGAAGATTCTTCAGCGGTAGTTTCAGTCACAGTAATCTTTCTCCGCAAGGCTTTAGCATAAACTTCACCAATTATGACCGCTTTCATTCTGACGCAAACTCTTCTACCCAAGAACAACGAACAACCAGAACAAATGGAGTCCAAAATTTTGACAATTGGCATCATAAATACAAAAGTCCAAGCCAAATTGGCCGAGATCGAGTCTGGATCAGCCACGTACTCCAAAACCTTCTTGAGCAAAACTGACGGTCCAAAAACAATCATTGATTGGATTATTGCCCAAAAAGCTTGAATACCGAAAAGGAATTTGAAGTGGAAAAAGATCTTGTAAGTAAATCTCAAAGTAGATTTACTTGTTTCAAATCCTTTCAATACATACAAAGCGTAATCATCTTCTCTCAACCCCCAAATGTCGCTGATTTTCAATGGCTGCTTGTACGCTTTCCAAACCATTTTGTCCAACCAACTGTAAGATATAAACGATGCAATACTTGAAACGTTTTCTGGATTGGGTTCAACACCAGGGGTAATGTATAGTTGAGAAGGCTTATCACCAATTTTAGCAGTCAAGTTCAATGTCAACAACAAAGCGTCAATTGCAAATTGGAAAATATAAAATTCTCGACTAGTTTTGTTTAAAGTAGTCGTGATCAAGGCTGAGCGGAACGTTATTAACGCTGGAAAAATGTTGAAAAAGTACAATGTTGTAGTGTGAATCCACAAGTTGGGCAATCTAATCGTTACGCGTTTCATATTGATGACTCTAATTGTGACAATGATGAACAAGTATATCCAAAGAACCAGTTGAGCAAAGACCACACGAGTACTGCTGATTTCTTTATTCAACTTCCTGTTAACCAAAGGCGACAAATGCAATCCCAAGGATAGTATCACGAAGACGTACTCAACAGAAACTCTTAAACTCTCTGTAGTGTTTTTAAATACCTCCTTAACATAGCCATGAGGAGTTCCGTCAATATTTGTATCAGGTAATCTCGCAAGGTCAAAATGCAATGCCTTCAAATCCTCTTTACTCAACTCCTTATCATCCGTTGTTGTTATAGTGGTAGTTCCATAATTATCGCTCGTTGCTAAAAGAGGACGTGTTTCATCGGATAACTTGATTTGACCTCGTCTTTTCTTGTAGTATGATATGAATGACTTGACTAATAGTATAACAAAGGATACTGCAGTTAATATTAGTGGAGGATAATAGTCTAATTTTAATCTTGCACATTTGGTGATATCGTCATAGTCCCAAAACTGGCAACTAGTACCATTGGTAGATAGCTGGAAAGACATGGTAGGTGTATCTATGCTATCCTTTTAAAGTGTAATGGGAGTATGGATTTGGTAGAATATCTGTTGTGACAGTAGTATAGTAGTTTGCAAAGTGAAGAAGAAGAAGACGAAAGTATATGGCTGGATGAAAATTGAGAGAAGACGGAAACGAAGACGAAAAGAAAAAAAAAATTAAAATTAAAATTATATTTCATTCAATGTATTTTTGTGTAATATTAGTTTCTTTTAGTTCCTTCTCCTTTTCAATTTTTTTTTTAATTCCGCTATCATATCAACAACTATCTGTGAGTCATATAAGTTGGAATATAGCCTTTGCTTTGTTATACTCAACTCCCAAAAAATGAATTAACCAGTCAATAAGGTGTTTTGTGGAATCTTCTTACAATCAAAAATGCTCAAAGAGTATATTTTGAAATGTGGTTCACACCGACACGGCACGACTCATGAACAGAAAAATTAGTTTAAACGGCCAACAATCACCAAACAACTTCACAAAAGACTTGAAGCAAGTCTTTGGCCTTGGTCTTTTCTCCTCCATTACGTCCCATGGTGAAGACGACCATTGCGCGTAGAGTCTTCCTAGATGGCTTTAAGGAAAAGAGCAACTGAATAACGCTTTATGTAAGGGACATATACTGGAACCCCTACTACTGCGTATCTCTACAACTAAAGAGGATCCATCTGGGGCTATGCCGGCAATCTTCTTTTGCTATTTTGAAGAAACTGGATGGTACTAAAAAAGTCAATTCTGGGCAATTCGGTATTTGGGTATAAATATAAGTTACACAAAAGAATGATAATTCCTAAAATGACTGGAATTACGATTGGCTCAAAATTTTATTATCAATTCCCGATATAAGGAAAACAACAACAACAACAACTACTACAATGACAACTTGTGTGATGAGCTATGCAACCGCTGAGAATAAAATGGTAGAATGGAAAGTATCCAGTAATCAAGCTATAACCCTATCACAACGGTATGTTTCTTTAGGGTATACATTGCTATGAAGAAACGGAGAACGAATGTTAGTCTCATAATAGAAGAGCACCACCCTGAAAGACCAACTGCGCTCTCTTGAGCAATCATATATTTCTACTGGTTTGATTGCGACTCCTCAGCTTTCTTAAAAGTGCTTCAAGGTGGGCAAAAACAATACCTTGCTGTTGTCCACAATAATTAAAGACTTGGTGAAGAAAGTCTTCAGTATCGCACAAGGATGTTACAACTCGTCTCGTGAAGTAGATCGTAATGCAATGATTCCCCAACATTTCAGAAGAAGTCTTTTCTAATCTACAGTTAGTACTGTACTTCAATGTCAGGTGAACTACACATTAATCAAAATATTTTGCAATGTTTTTGCAACAAAAAAAAACCAAACTTCATGCTCTTTTGCGCTTTTTTTTTGTAACTAGACAAACTATTTACTCCGATCCTATTTACTCCGATCCCTTTCTAGTATCAACTGCAATATCAACAGTGACTTCTCTACCATTGATATCCTTCTTGTCAAATAACTCAACTGCCTTCTTTTGGGTTTCTTCATCCTTAAATCTCACAAAAGCAATACCTTTAGATCTTCCACGATTTCTTGGAACGTGTATCCAAACTGGGTTCAATTCAGCAAATTCCTTTTTCAAGATTTTAGCATTCACCTTGAAATCTAAGTTTGTGACAAAAATGGTATTGACAGACTTCTTACCTTCAGGCGGAGAAACAACACCATTGGAATCCTTGGTCTCAGCTTTCTCCTTCTTCACAGCTTCCTTCTTTTCCTCTTGAGCCTTTCTTTGAGCTCTGTAAGCTTCAATCTTGGCCTCTTTCTCTTCTGGAGTGGCTGGTGGGACTGCCTTTTTAAGGAAGATGTTTAATCTTTTAAACTTGTGGCCATTGAAGTCGGCAACGGCCTTGTCAGCATCTTCCTTTGAACCGAATTGAACAAAGGCAAAACCCAAGCGTCTCTTGAAAGACCTTTCACCTCTGATGATTTCCTTGAAAGGAATTTCAACTTCAGTGCTAGAGATATTAGTTAGTAGATGGACTAGTTACATAAGTTGTTCCGCAAATACATACACATTTAAATCCTTGAACAATTCTCTCAATTCATCTTCAGTAGCCTTGTAGTCAACATTACCAACGTAGACTCTATCTTCAATGACTGGTTTGACAGTTTTAACTTCTTCAGACATTTTGTATTACAATGGTTTCTTTTCTTCTTGTTTTTGGCTGTTTTCTGTTGTCCTTAATTCAGTAGGATTCTCTTGTATACCCAATTCAATGGTTTTATATCGATGGGATGATTGATTAGTAGTTCTGTTTGATACTTTGCTTAAAAGTACTCTAGGTGGGTGACGTGTGAGATTCTGGAAAAAAAAAGAATTGGTGACTTCAAAAAGTGTGTGTGTGTGTGTGTGTCTTGTGTGTATTTTTGTGCCTACGCTCGCCACTGTAGATTTAAATGACGCAGAGTAAACATACGATCTTACGACATTTAAGTGGTTATGGGTAAAAAAACCCGGTGTCGCAAGCTCCAAATATCACGTGATTGCTTTAATTTTCACGACACTTACTCAATTGTACTCTACCGACACAACCTATGAGTGTATCTGGCAAACCACAAGTTCTTCGTTATTCTTTCTTTTTTTATTAAATACAAAAGATGCCAAAATATATAAATGTGGTTTCCTATACTGTAATATAATCATTGATCTCTTTTCCCTCAACTCAAAATTCTTCATCCATACTTCCACCTCTCACTTCAATTTGTGGAATAGACGAGGTGCTACACAATCATTAACACAGTGTTGCAAATGGAAAAACTCCTCAACGCAATCTTCTTTGTAATGCTTATGTTCGTAGCCTGGTTCTTCTTGTTCTTTAGTTACTCTTTCAATACATTCATGGAAATGGTGATCAAATGGTTTACAAGCAGTAGTCTGGACACATTCTTCCCTCAATTTGTCCAATGGATCTTCGTTTTCTTCCTCATCTTCATCATCTTCGTCGTCCTCATCGTCCTCTTCATCGTCATCATCACCACCTTCTGCTTCAACTTCTTCGTCCTCTACGTTTTCTTCTGGTGCATCTTCTGGTTGTTCAACTGGGGCTTCTTCGTCAGCAATTTCGTCCTCTGTTTCATTTTCTGGCTGAATATATATATGGTTAGTAAATGGCTCTCACTGTTGCAAGCTATGTCTAAGCTCTCTCAAAAAAAAACATACCTCATCAGCATAAGCAGTTGGAATGATGCTTTCATATATATCTTTTAAAAATGACATCTTCTAATTTCCTCTTTATATTCTAAGTTGGCAAAATGTACAATAATATTCTCCCAATGGTAGACAGAATGTATATATGTGCTTTGTCAATAGTCTGATTTGTTTCAGTCAATGCCAACGCTCAAGCTAATTTTTTTTTTTCGTTGGTAAAAGCACTGGTTGAAAATTGCAAACACAGAGAGAGAGAGAGACAGGCAATAGAAAAAAAATTGTTAAGATGAAGTAATAGTGATAAATAAAATATTTAATTGGTTAGAATTATATGCAGGTGAAGAGTGCTACCATATTACTTTAATCAACACCTAAATCTATACATTAATGTCTATCTAAGTCTATCTATACGTCTATGTCTGTACATCTACTCCTGCTTCATCTTTCTCCTCTTCCATAGCTATTTCAAAAATCTTTCTATTAGTGTCAAATGGGTTATCAATGTACAAATTGTGACCTCCTTCTGCAATCTCATCGTATCTAAACTTGCTAGATGAATTGGGCAATTCCTTGTTCAACTTGTCTATAAGCTTTTGTCCGGCTTCCGAATTCATAAAATCATACTGTCCATAGAATAGGAACGTATTGAATTTGAGCGCCTGTGGGTTGGTTTTCAATTTGGTTACAAACTTGTCATACAATGGCCATTTGCTCACTGTGGCTGGGGTCAACAAGTACTTGACGTAGATGTCACTATTGGTGCCATTTGACACCGAATTGTACAAGTATTCGACAATAAGCTTAATCTCCTTTGTAGTCCCATAGATCAAATCATTGGCGCTGCTGAAAATCCACTCTGGCCCACCATGTTTTTGAATCAACTTGTTTATCTTGGACAATTTTGATAACCACATTCCAAAATACAATTGAACGCCCCATGGACCCAAAAAGGGTAATACTCGTGGTAAGTAGGGGATCTTGTAGTACCAGTTTAAGATATGGTTAGTCAGCAAAATGGGGAACCTACTGAGAAACTTGTAAGATGTCGGGTCCAAGACTGGTTTGACAACTTCATTGGTGATCTTGTTATCATTAGTAATGGCCATCACATGTCGTTCTAATCCGACCGGTGATAACAAGATTAGATTTGCTACTCGGTCTGGGTTAAGTAATGAATATGAAGCACTCCAGTAGGCGCCAAATGAATGGCCCACCAAAAAATCTATCTTAGTTATCCCCGACTGCTGCCGCCATTTATCAACAGCCAGAGTGTAGAATTTCTCCATATCTTGCAAAATCGGTTTGAAATGTTGTTGATATCGCGCAAAATTGTTAGGGTCCAATTTAAATCCATCAATGAGCTTGTAGTATTTCCGGTACAACTTTTTGGGGTCGGTTGGCTCATTGTCGATTAGTTTCATTTTGGCAGTTGGAGGGATTCGCCAGCTGATTTGCTTATTGTCAATCTTGGGATTTGATGATAGGCCAAAAGTGATATTGTCAAGGAAGTGAATGTGGTAGTTGTACTTTGAACTGACCTTGAACTTGTCTATAAGCTGGAAATTTCGAGCAAAACAACCTAGCGATGCACCGTACCCATGGAGGAAAACAATATGCTTTGTCGGGAGTTTTGCATCATTGATGATTTGAAACTGTACTTCATTTATATGATCTGACTCATCAATGCAGACATTTTTGACATCTTTTTTGATATGTGAATTCTCGGGTATGTTTGGCACCATCAACTCCACCAACTCTTTCTGCAAGACCTCAAGTCTGTTAGCGGATAAAGAGTTCCACCATATGGACAAGCTTTCTTTGAATGGTACGGTCTTGACGACAGATGTTTGGGGTTGGTATCCCTTTGGCAAAACATATCGACTGGCATTCTTGAGGGAGAACCATCGTACATGCCGTATGCTGTTCATTGCACTATGGAAACATGGTCCTTCTTTACTCTGAAATTTTTTCCAAACCGCGGTTAAAAGCTGGCTGTAAAAAACAAAATACAAAAATTACCATTACTAAAGCACAAGATCTAAATCTAAACATTATAAAGAATTAAAAACGAAAGAAACTTTTACACCTCCTTACCCTTCTGCAGCATGCTCATGTCAGTATCATCAAACCTCTCAATACCATGATGTACTTCGCGACCCACCATTTCTTCCTCGAATGATTCCACGTCTTGCCATTCTTCATACCATCCCTTTTCAAATGGTTTTGTTGGTGGAATTCCCGTTTCAACAGGCCAGAAATAATTGAGCACCGAGTATACAATCCAAGCTGAGAAAAAACCCATAAAGAAGTTGAGTCTGTACACTTCGGTGGCTCCAATTGGCACCTTGTGCGTTTCGGTAGCACCAACAAATCCGACAATGTTTGGCAAAATCCCACATATGTAAGCAGCATATGCTCGCCAGTTGCAACCGATCTTGTTGTATGCATACATTGATGGGACAGATTTATCCTCGGGAGCAGTAGGAGAATACAAATGGGTTAATTTAATGTAGCCTCTTCTGACATAATAGTAATCACAAGCAACAACACCGGCAATCGATGACAAAAACACCGAATAAGCAGACAAGTATGTGGTGAACTTAGATGAAGATGATATCAACTTCCAAGGGCAAATTGCCAACGCGAGGAAAGCACAGATATAACCACCTCTTCTAATGTTGATAAATCTTGGTAATATGGCTGAACAGTCAGTTCCAAACGACAATGAATTTGCCGATATATTTGTTCCCAATTGTGCCAAAGCGAATGCTGCCGAAATGAAAAATACACCAGCTCTGTTGCCTGAGGTGTAATTGTCCAAAAACCTACCAAGAACATCCAATGGTGACCAATAAGTTTCACCATACAAATTTTGAGCTCCAGAAGTAACTAAAATACCAATCAACGAAGTGATTGAAAAGCAGATGGGGATTGATATAGTGTACACAAGGTACTTCATTCCAAATGATGGTTTGTTGGCAAAACGGGAAAAATCGGGCGAGTTTACAATTAAAGTGGCAAAGTTAGCCAATGCATTCATTGTTGACTCAACAAAAGCCCACGCCAAAGCCGAACCCTGCAAGCCATTTGGTTTGTTCATAACTTCGCCCAAACCATGTGACTTGACCAATGCCCAAATTAAAAAGCCAAACCCCGCTACTGGCGCCACATATGCCTTGACGGTGAACAAATGTCTAATCTTGTGTGGTGGAAACCAAATAAACGGCAACTGGAACAACCAGAACAAAAAGATGCCCAAGAATTGGTAAGTGGTCAAATCTGGGTCAGATATATGGTTAGGGATCTTGTTTGGCAAGTTTTTACCAAAAATGGCGTGCAACATCAATTGGAAAGTTGGACCAGCAACTGCAGTTTGCACAGCAAACCATATACAGGACATAAACACACGGTTGATGACAGGCCACAATGACCCATAGATCCCAAAGGAAGACCTAACCGCCACAGGGAACGAAATGTGGTATTGAATACCAACTCTAGCCCCAATACTAACAAATATACCACAAAGAAAGTACCCAAGCCATACGGATAACCAGGTCATCCACCAGTTCATATTTGATGGTGACTGCATACCTGTGGATGCAATTTGCCAGGTGTTAATGTTGAATGAGTCGGCAATCCAAAAGAATACATAATTATACCACGACCATTGGCGTCTAGCTTCTTCTACTGGCCTCAAATCATGATTGTATAAAAACATCTGAGCCGTGGTTAAATCACCCTTAGGCTGAACTTCAAGCTTCTTGATTAGTTTACCCCACCATGTTGTTGGCTCGTTTTGTTCAATTACCGAGTCATAATTGCTGTCCTCGTCAGAAACGGACCTCGATCTCACCGGTTCATTCAGTAGAACCTTTTTTATGTTGTCAAACGTGGAAGAGTTGTGCATTGAAAGTTGATTCGTAGTTGCATACGACACGTCTTCTCTTGCTGGGGAAGACAACGGCTTTCTTTATATATATATATATATTGATGAAAAATTTCAGTCTCAGCAGTATGTCGGCTTAACTTCTATTGTGACTGCAAATTTATGATACAATTCTTTGTTGGCGCATCTATATGCAGGATGCCTATCCCTTATCTTAAATTTACATTACATTCAAATAATTAATTCCAATTTCTTTTTTATTTTTGTGTCTATCTCTTTCTCTCTATTTCTCGCTCTCTCTCTCTCTCTCTCTCTCTCTCTCTCTTGTGTGTGTAGAGTGAATGAATGATGATTAAAACAAAATTGAATTTATCATCGGCGGTCAAATGCCTTAAATCGACAATATAAAAAAAAAATAATAAAACAATAAAACACGTTTGAAATGGATCTCTCTTTAAACGTTGGTTATGTATATAACTTCTTATCTTAATCTCAATTTAGAATGTGATCTAATAAGTTGTTGCAAGCTAAAATCCATCGAAATTGCTTTCTTCATCTTTTAAGGGGATGTTTGAATAATGAGGGGACAAAAATAAAGGAGCAATTACAAAACACAAGAGGCTGAAACATACCTCCTTGACGAAGTTTTAGTTTTGACGACTGACCCCTCTTTATTTTGTTTATTTACATTTCAGCCGAACGCCGCATGCACTACTAGAGATGACATCATCTTACCGAGTTCCACCACAGAAAATACACATGACAGAATCCAGGGGGACACGAGCATTTCCTTTTGCTTTTGGAAATGTTCTACGGGGTTTTGCTATAAAAGAATTTCTTCTTCAAATAAATCCTTGGTGGCGTTATTACCAGAAACGGCGATTTCCGAACTTTGTTTGTGGAATTTTTGTATATTGTTATCTATATATTTACAAGTCTAAGTTATCGGCGTTCCTGATAACAAAAGGGTTTGTACTTTTAATTAACTAAAATAAATCAGCATTTAGATATCCATATAGGGGAGGTGTCCTTGACCAAACCTATTGGAAAAAAAAATAGCTGAAGCTATAAACTATGGCCATGACTGTGTGTAATTAACCTCAATTTTTGGAGCACTACAATTGCATCCCGGTCGCATCTATGGTGGTTTAGATCACCAAGGAATGAGGGGGGTATCCTCAATAGCCACTTAATTCCACTTCTAACGCTGTTCTGATCTAGTTGTTACCATTACTTGCAATGTCCTCTTGCTTTCTAGTTGCTGCGGCTTAAAACAACTCTGAAAAAGAAGAAAAAACAAATCTAAATATAAGAATATTCAAACCACAAACAACCCCTTCACCTAACTATTGCAGGGTTAACCTCACATGTCGTTGAATAGTTCATTTGAAAACCTTCAAGCAGCAAAACAACTCACTCAGACTAGTAATGAACCATATAAAAAGAATTCAGTATCATCAACAAACTTTGTCACCAGTGGGAATTTGTCAGATAATCCTAATGATTTCATTACATACATAATACCTGACTTTAACGCAGTCAAGTACTTTCAAAAAGATTTCATAGACTCAAACGAATTTTACCTCATTGAGGAGTCAGAGGTTACAGGGTTTGAGCTCTACTTAGTTGAGCAATGGGTGATCAATCGTCATATTGGCACTATTGTTACCGCGTTTACCGGTAATGAGCTGTCAAAAATAGCTGTTGTCAAATTTACTATTATCAAGAAGCCAACAAAATATTATCCTATACGGTTTCAGGAGTACCTTACCGAGTTAATACAGAATCATTCGCGAATGAAAACAGTAGAAAAGTCCTGTCCTTCCACCTATGCAACGAGAGCTAATAGTTCTCACGATTTATTAACGATCAATACAGTTTCAAGCAAGCCTTCTGGAGTAAGGAAAGAAAAGACTGAAAACAAGAATGATGTATGTTTTGTCACAAATTTGACATCACTACCGCCTCACTTAAACTTGATACCGGTGCCCAATGGAGATGCCAGACTGATGGAAGCACCATTTATAATCAACTCGAATTTGAAAAGATTACAATGCACCGGTAGGTCAGTTTCGCTAACCACCGACAAGATATCGGATGCATCTGAGGACAAGTTTCGACAAATGTATAAAATCTACAACGTCAAGGAGCCGGTAAAGTTTGCTGTGCGGGAACTTGTGAATGTTGTTCAGACTTGCTTATTCTACTTTGATTTACTAGATGGACGCTATTGTACAGGATTGCTATGCGTCAAGACGGAGGAAGCGATAAACAGTTGGTGGAACTTGATTGGTTTGCCACACTTTAACTCGAAACCAAATATTAGGTCTGGTATTCTTCCGGCGAGGACAGTAGCAGCAATAATTAGTTTAATTCTCAGTATTAGACTTCGACTACAGCTTGTCGGTATTTCAGATGTTCCTAAAGATCCATTTGATTTTGAAAACTTTATGCTATCTATTGGTCTGTTTCAAAGACAATACAAGTTGGAGAAAACTAGGAAATTGGACATGGAGACAATGAATAAACTATTTACTACAACTAATTCTCGATTGATGCCAACCAAAAGCGCTAATTATTTTTACAATTCACCGTATGGAGTTAATGATGGAATTGCTAACGAAGACTATGACTTGTTGACATCGCCAAATCTGAAATCAACGCATTCACTGAAGAGACTGTATGGGAAGAGAGAGTTCAAAAAGTTGACCAATGTGATGAAATCTTCGGTTCAGGATCGAATTGCAGCAGCCAGTAATAGAGATCCCGATGAGGGGAAAAGTAAAGGTGTGGGGATTAGAAATAGAATTGCTAAATTTGCCGATACCATGAGTCCGCTAGATGTTGAGACCATGGATTTGGATGTTTTGGTGAAAAACTATCTCGTGGGAAAGACTTTGATAAAGTTATTCTACGGTGTACAAGCAGGAACCACATTAATTCCATATGAAAGTACGGATCAAGCCAACAAATCGAAAACCGGTGACCACAAGCGGAAGAGTAAATTGGCCGAAGTGGACAGTCACTTGTACACATTTGAAAGTTTACGGGACAAGATTATCCAAAATACTCATATTCAATTGTCATCGTACAACTCAAAGTATTCACTTGGAATTACAAAGAGATTTGGACTACAAAGTCGAAAGAATGTGCTGGATGAAAAAGTAAACTCTTCCCACCTTGCTCCTAGGGGTAGTATGAGGGAACGGTCGCTTCAGTCGTCCTCATTGGTTGATTCATTCTTGCAAATTGGTGACGATACCACATCATTTGATGATAATAGTCTGACAGATGACCGCAGACTTAGTGTGCACTCGAGTTTCAAGGATATGCATAATTCTAACAACCCGCTAGTTCAATTTAAACGGGACTTGAATAGACGAAATTCATGGCCGTCGTTGCTCAACAAAGATGAAGAAAATTTGTCATCTTTTGTCCATTTAAAAAGCAAGAATTTAGCTAATCCGGCAATTGTGGAGGTGTGTCGCTCAAGACCTCGTAGTTTTAGCGTTTCCTCGATTGAGAATAGCCCAACAGATTTTACTACAGGTACAGTGTCGAAAGTGTCACAAATATATCTTGATACAATTGATAATTTAATCAAGTATGAAAATCTACGCGATTACTATTTCGAACATACCAATGAAGATGGGTGTGTGTCAAATGCAGCATTGGCCAAGTCATTTCAACTACTCAATATCGACTTACTAAAGGTGAAAAACCTCAAGAATCAAGTGTACACTAACAAGCATCGCATCTTGGAGGCAGGGGTTGCTGATCACCTAAATTATAATCTTGACACCTTAACCAATACCATTGATCGATTATCATACGAGACGAGAATTGTTGGTAAAAAGATTAGTGAACTTGAGGAAAACTTCAAGATTTACAACAACAAACAAGGCGAAGCTGAGAAAAGATTAAACAAGTTGATTTGTGAAATGTTGAGCCATCCCGACATGAATGTAATCTATACTGAACAACAGCGCAAGGAGTTTGCTTTGAAATTGACTGGCAATGAAAATTTTGTTGAAAGCAAAAAGGAGGTGAAAACGATGAGCATTCTGAATATGATCAAGTACTTATTTTCCTTCTTTTGGGAGTAGTTTCAACTTTAATAATTCTTACTTTGAAATATAATCTTTAATGATATCCAAGAGCTCTTGATTTTCTTTAACCAACTCTTGCAATTTGTCTGATATGTAGTCTTGTTTCTGTAGCTCCATGGCCAATTGCAATCGCTGCTGTTCTAGCTGTATCACCTCATCGTCATCCTCATTGTCGTCGTTGTCGTTGTCGTCGTCTTTAGTCTCACAATAAAATGATGGTTTGTCCTTAATCAATCGATTATAATCTTGTTCCAGTACTAGACTTTTCACTATTTGGTTAATTTTGGTTATTGCATCATCCGATTCGCTGATTTTATCGCTTAGCGAAGAAGTTAATGTGAATAATGCCAGCAATTCATCATCTGAATTCTCACTCATTGGAGGGGGGGTGGGGAAACTGAGGTATAGTAGATTAGCCTTTTCACTACAACCTCACGCTTTTGCTTTTTCTCACTATTGACACGTCCAACGAAAAACTGGAAAAAATCAGTTGAATCGACCACAACAAAGAACCATACAAGATCTACATCCAAAGAAAAACTATGGTAACAATTGGTAATGCACATGAGGATCTAATCCACGATGCAGTGTTAGACTACTATGGCAAACGATTGGCCACCTGCTCGTCCGACAAAACTATTAAACTATTTGACATCGACGGCACTGAAAACTATAAATTAATCACGACATTGTTGGGTCACGAAGGTCCCATTTGGCAAGTTGCATGGGCCCATCCCAAATTTGGATCGATATTAGCTTCATGCTCGTACGACGGTAAAGCGTTAATCTGGAAGGAACAACCAGAAACTCAGCAATGGTCAATTATTGCTGAACATACCATACATCAAGCCAGTGTCAATTCTGTAAGCTGGGCTCCTCATGAATTAGGAGCAGTGTTGTTGTGTACGTCATCTGATGGCAAAGTGTCAGTAGTTGATTTCAACGATGATGGAACTACGTCACATGTAATATTTGATGCTCATGCAATTGGGGTTAATTCAGCATCATGGGCACCAATCACCACTTTGTCTTCATCATCAACAAAAGACGCCGCAAGTTTAAAGCAACAACGTCGATTCGTTACTTGTGGATCGGACAATTTGACTAAGATTTGGAAATACGACACTAGTACCAATAATTATACCGAAGAGGCGAAATTGGAAGGGCATACTGATTGGGTGAGAGATGTTGCTTGGTCTCCATCGAACTTGGTTCGTCCTTATATTGCGACTGCTTCCCAAGACCGTACTGTATTGATATGGACACAGGACAAAGATGGCAAATGGCAGAAACAGCCTTTAACCGAGGAGAAATTCCCTGATGTTTGTTGGAGATGTTCGTGGTCATTATCGGGAAATATTTTAGCTGTATCTGGCGGTGATAATAAAGTCACTTTATGGAAAGAGAATTTAAAGGGCAAATGGGAACCAGCTGGAGAAGTAGAACAATAAACGAACCCAATGTTTAGAGTGTCTATATACAATAGTCATTGTAGAACTGTAATCTATAATTGGTTTATAGTGGCCTCAATTATCCTTTCAACATCCTTTGAAGCCTCATCAGCAGCTTGCAACACCTCTGCATGACTTGCCATACCGTCATCCAAAGCCACAGGGTTAGGGTGCAACGCACTTGGCGGTTTAGCACCTACACCAGCATTGGTAATCAATGATAATGCCAACACTCGCAACCCACAATGACGAGAAACAATGACTTCAGGAACAGTTGACATCCCCACTGCATCACCACCCAATGTTCTAATAGCCCTGACTTCAGCTCGACTTTCAAATGTCGGACCGGCAGCAAAGAAATACGTCCCCTCATGAATTGGTCTTGATACTTTCAACTCTTGAGCTTTTTCAACAAACAATTTCCGCAAAGAATGGTCATAAGCGTCCGACAATGGTAAAAACCGAGGACCAAATTCTTCTAAATTGGGACCGCGTAATGGATGCCAACCAGCCAAACCGGGGAAATTGACGTGATCTTCAATCACCATCAAATCACCGGGTTTATACTCCTCATTAATTCCACCGGCGGCATTAGTCACAATGACTGTACCAATACCCAAGTCCTTAGATACACGAATAGGGAAAGTTGTTTGTTGGAAAGTATATCCCTCATAGAAATGTAATCGACCAACCATGCACATTACAGGCACTTTATTTTCACCGATTAATCCAAATACCAATTTTCCCGCGTGGCCTTGTACGGTGGACGTTTTGAAACCGGGAATTGACGAGTAGGCAATTTCAATTATGGGGTCAGGGTGTAATGTGTTTGCAATTCCACCCAAGCCTGATCCACAAATGATCATGACTCGTGGGTGGGATAAGATGGGGTGGGGGTCTAATTTTGAGCTGATAGTACTGGATGCATTGTGGATTAATTGTAAGTACTCCTCAACGGGGATCTGTTCTGACATGGCCAAGTTTGGGTATACTTTGATGGAAGATTCAGCTACGTCTTTCTTAATTTTTTCTCAATTCTTTTTTATTGTTTTGTATTCGCCGTGCCCAATCTACATCGATGCGACCGCAAAGTAGTCTCATTTCTCTATACACAATTGATAAATAGTTCTGACTACCCCCTTTGATCTACTCTGGCCACCAGTCAGGAATGACTGCCCTTGCACCAATAACCTTTTTACCATCTTCAAAAGAAGGCATTTCGATTTTATAAAATGGCGATTTTGCCACGTCGGCCATACTTAATAAACAAAGTCCCACATCTCCTCTAACTGCCAACACTTTACCACTGGAGCTTTTCCGTTTACGTACCGGTTTAGACGAAGATCCAAACGGCGAGGCTGCAGCTACACTAGTTGTGCTTTCCTCTGGCTCGGCTTCTTCAAACATTGGTGCCATTTCTAATTTGCTCAATGACGAAGATGGTATTTGATCAAGACTGGTACACGATGCCAATGCAACTTCCACATCGTCGTCATCTTGAGCTTGTTTAATTGTCTTTACTGTCGCTTCATCGAGTGTGAAAAATTGCACTGGATATATCCTTTTCCTGATTATACCATTGTTGTAAGTTCGTATAGTCAATTCCTGTCCAACATAACAACCCTTGTCTAGCGAGAGTCCATTCGTATAATCTAGATTACACTCAAATGGTAGTAGAGATTCGCCATCGGGTGCATCGGTAGTTTCAAATACACCATTTTGGAATCGACGACCAGTTACGGAGGACTCTGATATTATTTGTGTTTCAAACTGTTGAGTAAATTGGGTGGAAAAAACTTCTGGCACTGAAGTTTCGGCATTAGTAGTGTCTATTTGGGCATCAGTTACAAACTTGAATCCAAAATTAGGTATTCGATTATCAACAGCAAACCCCAAAATGCGTGATGCAAATTGCTGATTAAATACCACATCATTCTGGATAAATGAATTGGCGCTTTGTAATGCATTCACAGGATCAAGGGTACGGAAGTATTGTTGTTGGGCCATTTCCAACCATGAATCAAATTCAACCGTGTCATTATAATAGTAATATGAAAACAATGATGGCTCCAGTTTGATGTCAACTTTGGCACTCAACTTGTGTAGCTTCAACATCATCATTAACTTGTTCACTTTGACTTCATCAACCTCTAATAAATACCGAGGAGACTGAATCTCCTCCTCAAACTGACCTTTAAAATTATGGAATGGATCACAATACAAAAAACAGTCAGTGACTACTCTTCCCTTTGAATTCAAAATCATCGAATTGATTCCTTCTCGCGTAACAAAGATATTGTAGTCAGGATCATAGATATCTTCATGCATTAATCCATAGTTTGTTACTGGATCAATTATAGCTTCAAGATTGGCATGTTTAAATTCAGCTGAACTTATGGTGTGTTGCTTCTTTTTGACAACATTGGGGAGTAATCTTGATGTTAGCAACCCATTGAGAAACTTGGTGGCATCGGGTCCTCGTATAGATATTAGGCTTTTCAGAAGCTGTGATAGCCCTGACTGGAGTATCTTCATGATAGAGGCTACACCAAAGGTATGAAGTCGAGGTGAGATTAGTAATCGAGTTCAAAGATTTGGAGTTAATGGAGGTGTTTTTTTTTCTTATTGCCTGCTCGGACATTTTCCCAATGCGCATTGGGCCCGATTATCAGACATCATATTCTTAGGCTACAGATGCAAAAACAAATAAATAACTTAATAAATAACACTATGTCCTTCCTACTTAATAAATAAACTGTCAATGGTAGTTAAGATCAAGCATTCTACCAATAAGACCTTTTGGTGTGGCACCCAGACCCTTACCCTTGATATCCTCTTCCTTCTCCTCTACTTCCACCTTAACCTCCACAGCTGTACCATCGTCTCCAGTATCAAAGCTAACATTGTTTTTACGAGCTGCAGTTCCATTACCAGTAGTAGTTCCATCAGAGCAATTAACGTTTCCTGGTGCATGCATGCTCTCTTCACTAGGGGACATCAATCTGTCCCTAATACGATCAGTCAAATTCTGTTTATGCTTGATATCGTATCCACGAGTTAAAGCAAATTTGTTCAAGTTGGTTTCTGAATGGTGTCTTGAACTCAAAGCACTGGAAATTGCCGATTGTGAACCGCTATTGAGATACGATTGCGTACGTGACACATCATCTGAGCGAATATCAAGATTTCCATAGTCGAAGTATCCATAACCACCAAGTAACTCAAAATCAGAGTCTTCTCCATCTTCGGTAGATGTAGTAGTTTCATCCGATGGGTGGCGTTCCATTGGGGTAGCTGCACCCGATTCAGTATTGCTATTGGCAGTCAATAAGACTGGATGCCTCAATGATGGGTCTGTGAGACTGACATGACTAAGCTCATTTTCTATACGTAATTTCTGAAATTCAACTTTACGATTCTCTGATTCACTAAGATGCATAACAAAGCTTGAATGTCTCTTGAGCAGGATTTTCAAATCATGAATAACCTTGTGGAAAGTTCCCAAGAACCGTTCAGTTTGGCGATGTTTGGAACAAACGGTAATTATAACTTTATCGTTATGAATAATGTAGCCAATTCCAAAACCTTGGTCAATGGCGGGTGGGATCCCAAATAAACGCAAAGCTGGATTGCCACAGTTGGATATGAGGAGTTCTGGATTCAGCAACTTATCAACACAAGTATTGAATAATAAAGGCAATCTAACAGGCTCCTCGTCATCCTCAATAAATGTAGGAATTGGGGGTAAGTCGCTATTAATCTTGTTTAATCTTCTTGCCGCTTCAGGTTTATGAACAACTTGAGCAATAGACATAAAATGACGTTCAAATCCTTTACCCACCATTGCGTCATGATACTGTTTCTGATGCAGGGTACAACATTCCCTGAAAGCAGCAAACTTTTCTGCGGAATTTGCACTTGTGATGTACAATTTGCACAAGTTGGCCACGGAGTCATTCTGCACTGTGATTAACTCAGTTCGAGCATCTCTAAATTTACGAGTCATTATCGGCTCCAAGGTGTTGACCATTCTCCCGTATAAGGAATAATTGGTGATTTGAAAACAAATTTGCATAATTGAATCAACTGAAAGCCCATACTCACTAGCCAAACGCGATTCCAACTTGACGGTGTGCGTTTTGTATTCATGCTGGTTGATCAAATCGGCCAATGACGTTTCCGATAAATGGATAAGAAACTGCAATCGATCAGTCAAGTTAAATTTGATCAACTCAGGTTTAGGCTTGGGCAACGTCGAGTCAGCAAAGGTGACTGCCTCATCAAACAAGGTATATTCTGAACCATTGATGTTTTTTGCTAGTTTCAATACTGAGTCAGTATAAATATCACTGATGAATCGAAGGATAGCGGTGCTGTCCATAGTCAACGATTCCCAAACAATTCCAGCAACTGAATTTCTTGTAACGATAAATTGCAACTTGTCATACCATCTAGATGTGCAAGTACCCGATTGGATATTTGACTCCGACAATACTGACGAACCATGAGAAATGACGGAAGTTTTTTCTTGTTCGGTCTCGGGTGAGTTTGAGTCCAAAACAACAACAAACAAAGCATCATCAATCAATTTCAATTGTTCAGGGTTTGATTTATTCAATTCACCTCTTCCTTTTTTCCAATTTTTCAACGGCTGCGTTGTGATTGAACCAATACAGTTATTAATGGAATCTTCAGGCAGGATCTTGTCTGTTGCATCGATGATATCTTGGAAAATGTCAACCAATTCGTGGTCATGGAATATGATTTGATGTTTGGTTTTAGTCTCCTTATACAAATCTTCGTCAAATTTAGTCAATACTTCTAAGGAGTAGTATTGGTTATTAGCAAGGATAATAATGTGTCGAGAATCATTGATGTGCTTGTACTTCTTCATACTGATATCTGATGTACCGCCCTCAAAGTCAGGAATTCTAGTGCAACCGAATAAATGGTAAAAGCATTGCATGGTTAACGGTACTTTATTCTTTGGCGTGACATCAGGTTTAAAAGTAAAGTTTCTTAAAGTAACAATCAACTTCAAAGTTGAGTTAACCAAGTTTGCTGTCCGTTCAGCCTGGTTTGGTGGATGTATAGTCTTTGCATAAGGGTCATCTTCCAAAATTAAATAAGGATTTCTGGGTAAAATGTCCGATTTGATTTCTCCATATATGGCGGGAGTCATATCGTTGTTGACAATGTTCAAATAGTTCTTATCGGGGTGGTTGTTGTACAACGTTTCAAGATGAAGCTGAATCAACTTGATAACATCATTGGTGACAAAATCATTAGCTTCAAACAAGAGTTGTTCGTATTCTTCGGGTGATGATATTGGCTTTAAAGCAGCTAATAGTTGTTGTACAGTGGTCAGCAACGGTGGTACAGGCATAGATGGTAACAGAGCCTCATGCTGAAAAGTTGTATTGTTGAAATCAGTAATAGTAGCCATTTTTCCTTCTTTGGTGGTGTAAGCAGCAACAGATTGACTAGGGTACTAGTTGTGATCGAAGTAGGTTGTTAGAGTTTTTCAAATATTTGAGTTTATAGTTGGCTATTTATATAGTATGAAATTAACCCACACATTTTTATTATTATCACCACCACATACACCACCACCACCACCACCACAAAATTAAAAATTAAATAAATCATTCAATTTTATTTTACAAAATACAAAAATACAAAGTTAAAAAAAAAAAAAAAACAATAATAAATTATTTATTTCTTTTTTTCTCTCGGAGTTTTATTTTTTATGTTAGATCGTTTGTGGTTATACACAGAAATACATATAAGAAATCTGGGGTAAAAGGAGAAAATAACACAATCTGATTGGTTAATATACCAAATAGATAACTTTACCAATTGCACCACCACTCAAAAGAACAAAAACAACAGCACGTGCATAATTCATATAATTACATCATCATTTCAAAACAACAATAGATACAAATACCACTTCCAATCCTACTTGACCTAGCAAGAACTATATCGTCACAGATAAAAGAGAATACTCTAACAACCCATACTCGTTCTCTCGTAGACCATTATGTTTTCTGGTACGTTTTTTGACACACAATACACACATATACTGCACTATTACAGCGCTCAGCATATATTATTTTGACATAGCTGGTAGTCAGTCATAACAACCAATGGTATTTATCAATAGGATGTCAACTGACAAGTAACTCGAATCTTGATGCAAACTCTGTGTTTGATTATTCAGAAAACGGGTATTCATAACGGTTATTACAATTTCTACTTCAATGCTCAACGCGCTACCATTTGGTCCGAGGAAAAGCAAAATGGACCCTCATCTAAGGCAACACACCGTTTCAAGGAAACATTTCCGTTTACCAAGAATACAGAATAAAACAAGAAATATAGCTACAAAGAACTGCAAGCCTAATTAATTGCTTTAGCTCATATCAGTTGCTACGTTTCTTATACAAAGCCATAGGTATTTCTGTTCCTAACTGGTTGAGCTCGCACCAGGACCACGAACACCCCAATTGTTCAAAGCTGTTGAGCCGCAAATGTGGGAAACGAAAAAAAAAAATAAAAAATAAAAATAAAAATAACTTTCGTTCAGTTGCCACTAGTGCGGCGACGCACTGAACAGAAGCGGAAAAAGCTACACCTATTCAAAAATAACGACACTTACTACCCATTTGATGCTACATGAGTGGCATAGCTTTAAAACTTACGGCACTTCTAGTGAAAACCATTCTGAAACCAATATCAAAAGCAATTTCAACACAAGCTAAAAACAATGAGACATTTCGTAAATACTGCATCTCATTTGCCAATCGACTTCATAAGACAGATGTCAAATTACGCATGAATCTATTAGGTGAGAAAAAGATTAGAGTAAGACCTTTAAATGATAACAAAGCCATAGAACAAGGTGCATCATTCATATCGGAGACGTTTATATTTAGTGTTGCTGGTGGATTGATTTTTTACGAAAGTTATCGAAGTCGTAAACGGGCAAGTGATCAACGAGATGCCTTAGCTGATGATATCACCATTTTGCAGAATGAAATTGAATATATCAAGAGTAAAATGAGTGAATTGAATGTTAAATTGGATGATTATAAAGTTCCTGTGGGGTATAAGCCAAAGTATGTTAAAATTGGAAATATTGAGCCTCTACAGGAGAGTCCAACACAGCCACTGCCAAAAGAGCCATTATCGTCGCAACAGCCGTCGCTGCGACAAATCCCACCAACACCTCCGTCGCCTTCCTCAAACTAGAATAAATGCATTAAAATCAACTTGTAAATAGAAATGCATCTTTACGTTGCTTAATTAACCCAAAAGCAGAGCTATACACCTCACCCTACACTTCCATAAAAGAATAGAATTAAAGTATATGTATGTATAATGAATAAAAAAAAACAGATATACAACTAAAATTGATTGTAGTAAAACAAAAGAACAAACAGTGTATATATAATACAAATACGGCATCGTTTTTCAAACATCTCTCCTCCTACCGCCGTAAAGAATAATCAGTATCTCCTCTCCAACTTATGTCTGGACTTCAACAGGCGAAAGAGAGTGATATCATCATCATTACTACATCCTGTTGGATGCAATAATCTCCCACCCTTTCTTTTTAGTCCAACAAATATTACATCAAATATCTTGCCCCCCATTTCACTTGTTCTTTTTCTTCTCCACTTTCAATAACAATGCTTTATTAATATGAGGCAAAACACCACCATAAGCAATAGTAGCCTTGATCAAATTATCCAATTCTTCATCTCCACGAATGGCCAATTGCAAATGTCTTGGTGTAATTCTCTTGACTTTCAAATCCTTGGCGGCATTACCAGCCAATTCCAATACTTCAGCAGTCAAATATTCCAATACGGCAGTCAAATAAATGGCAGCTTTAGATCCAACTCTGATTTTATTCTGCGCATTTCTCTTCAAGTATCGCTTAACTCTGCCTACTGGGAATTGTAAACCTGCTCTTGCTGAATGAGATGTGGCGGATCTAGCAATTTCCGAGGATTTTCCTTTACCTCCGTGTACTTTTCCTTTTCCTCCTGACATAATAATAATAATGGATAGATATTGTAGTGGTTCAAAGAAATAAGAAGAGAAAAGTGTATGTGAATAGGGTAGTGTTTTTTTTTTGTTTTTGTTTTTGTATTTTGTATTTGTTTTCGTTTTTGTTTATACTTTTCTCTTTGGTTGTGAAAATTGGTCTTATTTGTTGTGGTTTTGTCAAAAACAAGTTGAAGTAAAAGAAGAAAAGAGAGAGTGAAAAAAAATGTAAACAAAAGAATTTTGGCGTCAGTCGCAGTTTTTCTTTTCTAATTTCTCTTTCCTAACAAATTTTGATCACAATTGCACTACCACAGCTGACCACAAGGAACTTCTATAGACCAAAGCACTTTCTACATACATTTGACCTCCTCAGCAGTTTATAACACTAAAAGATCCCAACTTCTCAACCATTCTTTCAACCTCGGTACGCGATTTCTGTAGTTCTGTACATATAGAATCAAAATGTTGAAACCCTTTCAACATCTTTATCAAATAAATCATTTCTTGTTCTTTTTCGTCATTCGTATCAGTTGAACGTACTTCGCCATTCGCATCTTCTTCATTTTCAACTGTTGGTTTATTTGATCCAGAAGAGCTAGCCGTTCTATGTGATCTAAGGGACCTATTCTGCGGTACATTTCTCTGTTTCTGTTGCTGCTCACCATCAGATTCATCGCTAGTTGAACTATCATCCTCTTCAACCACTTCATCCATCACACTCAACTTGCGAGGTTCTTCATGGTAATGTGGCTGTCTATCGTCTGCTGACGAAAAGCTGACACGACGGTTTGAATCTGTTTTCAACGTTTGTTCATGAACTCTTGTCCGTAATAGCTCATCATATCCTCTTCCGCCACTCAGTTGCGCAAACTTTAATTTATGCTGTTGCTGTTTTGACTTTCGTTTCACATTGTTTAAAATATGCTCAGGTTGGAGCAAGTCGCCACTCTCGATAGATCTAGTTACCAAATTGAGCACCGGATAGGAATATACCCGATATATGATCCCTCGCAATACACCAAAATTTATAAACCGACGTATATCGATGTTTGATAATAGATGCCTGTGTTGTGCATACCATTCTTTAACTGTTTGACCCTGATTCAACGATCGATACAAGTAAAATAAACTAGTCTTTGTAGGGACCTTGACATTGGCATATTGCATGGTGAATGATTTGGGCGATCGAGACAAGAAATTTTGTTGCTTTAGATATGGCGATGTACTGCTCGATGGCATACGCCTAAAATTAAAAGTCAGTGGTGAAGTACTTTCTGCCATTGGCTTGGGTGAGTTTTGGGCTGGGGTTGTGGTAAACGAGGATGATCGTAGCGACTCTGCTGCTCCATTAGTCACCACATACGCTTGACATTGTTCAGCCATCCTTCCATCTGACTTTAAGAAATCACCAATTCTGTTGGTGGGCGAGTAGATGTTGCAGAATTGGAAAATATCAATCAATTCAATACACTTATAATGCATTAGGTGTTGAATACATTGCTTGGTCACAAGGTAGTTTGCATCGGCTAGTTCACTTATCCTCTTGACCGGATTTATTCCGTCAATATAGGGGAGAATCTTCACCATTGTTGGGTCCCAATTGACATCGACAAGTGATCTGAGTTTAACTGTTGCTATGGGCACTTGATAAGCTTTAAGATTAATTGGTGGTGGTAACAATGGAAACAATTTAATATCAACTGAATTTGAAGTATCCAATGGAATGCAACATTCAGAGTAATTGTTCAAATCTTGGTAAATCTGTTGGATTAATGATTCAATAGAGGACAAGGTGATTCTCTTAGTTTTGGAGTGCCCGGGTGCATTTACACTAGCATCATTCTCCACTATCGATCGTTGAGCTCTGTTTGCATATAATTCCAAATCAAATTCATCAATCTTCAGAGCTGTATCCACATCATCGTGAGTCACCTTGTAAAATGGATTATCTTTATCCAACTTGCTCAACAAAAAATTCTGCTCTTCCAATACTTGAAACATTTGTCCCATACGTCTAATTGCTGGCTCATACGGACTAACATCCCCCAATTCATAGTTGAATACAAAACAAAAATTAAAATTAAATGAATTCCTCGCATAGTGATCATTTACCATGTTTACTGGGTATCCAATGACTTTGAAGTTGTTAATCTTGAAGGATAATAGTTGATTACATAATTGTGGTTTGGGGATAACATAGTTCTTCACGGTATCGAAATTGAATAATCCAGCACTTGTGTCACTATCATTGTCAATGGTTGATGTGGTTGATATGAGATCCTCGGGAAATTGATGAACTATTTTCGTGCCTTCCGTTGGATGGAACACGGCATAGAATATAGAAACTATAGGGATAAATCCATCTGACATTCCATAGCACTTTAAGGAGAATTATCAAGTTGAAAAACTTGACCAAACCTTTGTTCTTTTTTTCTTTTCCTCCCCTTCATTTAATAACTGGGGAGTGCGTAGCGCAATTGTACCTCCCTCCAGTTAGTGCACTAACTACTACAAAGAATTACTTTTGGAGTTATAAACTGTGTATTATCATAATGGCATTAGTTGTTATCAACTTAAATCGATTTTTCGATCAATTTTGACATACTCGTCGTCAGTGTCAAACTCCTCATCTTCGACACGTTGCGCTCCCTGCTCTTCCTGTTTACGGGACATCTGTGCCGCCCTCCAAGCTTGCATCAGCCCTTTTGCCTTACCGCTTCGCTTCTGATAAACAAGTTCAAATCCACCCAAGTTCTTCTTCTTAACATTAGCATTTATCTGGTTGGCCAATGACATGGCCGTCTGCAACAATTTAGCATCTTTAACCTTCTTTCGTTTACTATTTTTCCATTTGGAGTACTTGTTTCCATACTTCTCAACGTAATGGACGCCCCATTTGGTAATGTACTTGACCGTATTTCTACAATCTGAAACTAGGGTAAATTTGATGTCCTTGTTCTGTTCAATCTTGAGTCGGGCTAAAATAACCTGCATACCTTTAACGACTGACCCGAGTTTGACTCTTGCTGGAGTTACGACAAATCCCCTTATGTGATCAAGTTCCAGCAATTTCTGGCTACACGACATGTTTGGATAAACAGGACATGATACAGCAATTCCGGCATAGCCGTCGTGGTTGTCTCTTCCTCCAGGTGAATTCTTGTATGAACCTGAGACATACACGTTTACGTTTTCAGGCATTATGGAAATACTTGGTAGGAAAACAGAAGCGTTAGCATTGGCGTAGTAAAAGAACTGAGACGATGGGTATCTTTTATTAAAACTTTCCTAAAGCGATAACCGGCTGAAGGTCTCTCCTTAGATGTTACTACACGCAGGAACTTATCACAGCGTGGTTTTGTATAATGCAACATTACTTAATTTTTAATTTCTTAGCACAATGACTATTGTTTTGTACAATTTAGACGCCTGCTGAAAAAGCTAGCAGATAAAGAGCCTCGATGCTGCTTGCGACGGTCAGAATCCACTTTTCCCGCCCGATAACACCTTCGAGGTAGAGCCGTTCTGCATCTTACGCGAACCAAGATAGATCCCCACAACAAATACGTCAACATCGACGTGCCTCAACTTCTGAACTGAAGCTGGAACGATGTCACAACACAAGCCGCCAATGTCTGACATAAACGAAGAAGAAGTATCTGCATTTGACACATATTGCAACCACCCTTCCACCACGCTATCACCGTTAACCACGGATTCCACAACTGGCGCAGAAGAATCACTGCGATATTCGCTACATCCAAAGTCACTAGTCACCAACTTTATCAACTCATTCAAACCCTTTGATTATTCAACATTACCACCAGTGTACCTTGAGCATTTTCGTAAACTAGACCAACGACAGGAGAACCAAGGAGATGTTGAATATGTGCTGAGCTTACAGGACAACGATGCTAACTCACAGCACCAGCAAAAGGAGGACTCAGTCCACCTACACCCAGCCCATCCCAATTACGACTATTCCACATTCAGCCAGTTGGAAAAAGATGCTATAATNAGTGTGGATGTTTATAGGCAGCTTTACGTTCACCACTATGGCAAGTTTGTCCGAATTGGCAACCGCCTTTCCTGTGAGTGGTGCGTTTGTCACGTTTCCCACGTTGTTCATCAACAAATCGGTGGGGTTTGCCATCGCATGGAATTATGCGCTACAGTGGTTAGTGACAATGCCGTTGCAGCTTGTGGCAGCAGCCCTCAGCATCCAGTATTGGAACCACCATCTCCACCCAGCCATATTTGTCACCATTTTCTACATTGTCATTGTGTTCATCAACTTGTTTGGAGTCAAAGGGTATGGGGAGATTGAGAGTTTCTTGAGTTTGCTCAAGGTTATTGCTGTTGTTGGGTTCAATATATGCGGGATCATTATTGTAGCAGGTGGTGTACCGGGACAGCCCTACATTGGCGGTGCCAATTGGCGCAAACCACAGGGTGGCCTATTCAATGAGCATTCGCCTTTTAAGAATATGTGTTTTATTATCTCAAATGCGTCGTTTGCATTTGCAGGGATAGAGTTGTTTGCATTGGCGGCCGTTGAATCGGCAACGCCGAAAACGTCGATTAACAAATCAAGAAAACAGATCTTCTACAGGATCATTGTTTTCTACTTGTTGTCGATCATAATGATTGGCTTTCTAGTCCCTTACAAGAACTCCGAGTTGAAAGGTTCGACCAATGGGCTCATCGATACAAACACATCGCCTTTTGTAATTGCAATCAAGTTGGCAAATATCAAAGCCTTGCCGTCGATAATGAATGCGGTAGTGATAATAACGGTGATTTCTGTCGGTAATGCGTCGGTTTTTGCATCCACCAGGGTGCTCAATGCTATTGGTGCTTTGGAGCAGGGACCGAAATTTCTCAACTTTATCGACCGCAAGGGCCGGCCCATGGGATGTCTTTTGATACAGTTTGCATGTGGGTTGCTTGCGTATCTCGTATGCATTCCTGGCAACAGTACTACATTGACAATATTCCAGTGGTTGTTGAGTTTGAGTGGATTGAGTGCGTTATTCACCTACTTGGTGATTAACATATCCCAGCTCCGGTTCCACGCTGCGTTGAGTCATCGCGCCAGGGTTGCTCGAGACGAACTACTCTACGTGTCATCCAACTGGAGCTCTTGGTATGGCATAGTCACCATTGCTGTCACACTAGTGCTTCAATTTTGGGCGGCATTGTGGCCTCCCGGCGGAGGCGTTGATGTGGTGTCGTTTTTCCAAATCTACTTGGGCGGGATTGTATTGGTTGCGAGCTACTTGGTCCATAAGGTTTATGATTACTGGTATAATGATGTCCCGTTGACCAAGTTGTGGTTGAGCGTTGATGAAATTAATGTCGACTGTGGGCGTCGACAAGTTGACTTGGAAGCCGTGAAGCAGGAGATTGCTGAGCAGCGTACCCTTTTGGAGAGTAAACCCTGGTGGTTCAAAGTGTATAACTTCTTTTGCTGATATTAGAGAGGAAAAAGAGTAGGATTGTAGGGGTGTATGGGTTACTCAAGGAGTTCTCTATTATGACAAGGGAAAGCTTCCGTCGTGAGCAGTAGAAAAGCGCTTGTATTACAAAATTTCCCAATTTGTCTATTGCTATGGAAAGTAAAAAATAAAAACATAAAATTCTGGGGTAAAAATAGGGGAACTGTAACCTTCTCGTTTTTTCAACTCAGCACTAACCATCAATCTAATACATCCGAGCTTTACTTTGCCTCCCTCTCTTCTCATTTCAGGATGACGTAGTTTTGTTTCTGTGTGTTTTGTCTCCTCTTTCGATTCGCTATTGTATCAATTAGGAGTAACAAAGGGGTATTTGTGCCACTTAAGTAAAATAAAAATGTCCTGTACCGGTTGACCGTAAAATGTGGAGTTAAAATAAATTTAAACTATAAACTATGCCTCACATCGATGAGATTACCCATACGAAGTGACGATTTTTAGCGATTTTTAAAAACTGAAATCTCATGACAATTTTTTCAAGACCGATTCCGCTGTTGCACCCCGCGTTTTTTTGGTTTGAAAAAGAAAACTGAAACAAAAAAGACTGACTGACTGACTGACTTACTCGCTGGTTGTCTGTCTACCCCAGAAACGTTTTATAGTTTCATGCTCGCGTTTATCACAAATGCATCTGCCTCTGCACGCCTACTTACCCAACAAAGGTTAATGTACTGCAATGAAACTGGCGTGATAACAGTTGCTTCTTCATTTGGGAAAACGAGATGAAATAACAGTTGCAGTGGACTTATGTCCGCTTGATCGTTGTTGCTCAAGCAGACGGTTCACATTAGTTCAACATGGTCACGCAAAGTTATTTACTTTTCTTGTATGTGTTACATAAGTAAAGGAGTTTACCTTGTTTGCCTCTAATATGTTGGTGGTGATTCACTGACGTACTGTCCTTTATGTGCAAGAGAAATTCGTTTTCGGAGTTTAAAAATATTGAGTTTCCATCACCAACTCAGAACAAAGACAGAATACATAAGAAACTACAAGTGAACCTTATCACTAAAAAGTACGTTTTTACAGTAGATGTTGTCAAAAAATACAAAGCCAACACGGCATACACTACAATAATACTCAATCCTATGTATGAAAACTAAATGTATTGAACTAAAACTATATAAACCTGTAACCCAAAACTATACCCCCCAAAATAACAATAAAAATAATAGTAGAATAAAAATTATACTGATGAATCCAAAGCATACAACCCAAGCCTTGGTTTATGAAAAGTGAATCAACCACTTTCTGTAATTCGTCTCTATCAACTCATTATTCTTTGATATTAGCTCTTCACTAGTAACCTGAAGTGGAGTGCAGTTGTGTTGGGTATTGAAGTTCCTTAAGCTCTCGTTGCAATAAGGGCATTGGTACATTAGCGAATCGTTGGTTATTTGGTTATTTTCGTGCTCAAACTCGTCGTCCATCTGGAAAATATCATCCAGGTTGTGGAAAGTTTCAAATTGATCCATTGTTAGCTGTGTTGCTGCTTAATTGCTTTATTTAGATAAGTTGTAGTTTATCTGATAAAATAGTAGATTGTTGTTTGTAGAGAATATGAAAAATGGTTGGAAATTTGGATGGGATTCTTATCATATATTTATATAATGGTTTTCTGGTATAGTAGTTACACAGTTTTAAGAAAAAAAGAAAAACAAAAATAAAAATAAAATTCAGACACAGTTTTTTGTTTGCAGTTTGTGGCACACAAAAACGAAAAAGACAGACACTGTGGTGGTTGGTTGGGTAGTGGTAGTGAGTAATGCATATAGACTAATATGTGAGTAATACACGTGACAGAGTAAAATTGTGGAAAAACATAAACAGTCATTCTCCTTTCTGTCCTTATTCTCCACACAATCTAGAATCACAGTTTCATAGTACAATACACAGTTTTACTTATCTTTAATTGACACCGTCTTTACACACACACACATTCTCTCTCTCAGTTTTGTAGTCTGTAGAGATAGAGCAAAGTATTTTTTTCACTGTGGTGGTGGCGGCATTGTTGTACCACCTCACTACAGTTTTGACCTCTTGCATAATGACTCACAGTTTGTACTCTGTCTGTTGCTAGTTGTGGAACAGAAGATGCAACGTGTGTAGCAATGCTCTCTTGCAGCTCGTTCTCTTATTGGCTTATCTATAGCTTTTTCTTTTTCTTCTTTAGACAGGCTGTTTTGTATTCCGTTTCTCCTATGTATCACCTCACACGGAAATTAAACTGCGACGAATCGGTAATGCTAACATTCTATTTTCTTTTTGTGCTTTTTGATCTTTCCAGCCAGTGACGTATTTTCGCAGTTTTGCTATAAACGGTATGAGTAATTATTTTAAAGAAATCCTTTTCATAGTTGGGGAATGTGATTGTTGTAAGGTTTCTATCAGCTGATTGGCTTTTATAATTCTTCAGTACGGACGAGCTGCATCACTTGTTTATCAAGACTCATAAGGTGTAGCTTCCAGTTCTTTTTTTATCAAGTTTGCGCTTATTTTCCAAATCCAGTAATGGAGTGGCCCACGGTAAACAAAAGAGCGATAATCTGAAGTAACGATTCTCTACACTAATCTCTCTTTCTCTCCCCACATAATTCCTTGATTCTGAAACGTGTCGTCTGGATAAGTAGCCACAATTCTCGAATTGCCTATTTAGTAAATTTCATCAACTATAACAAGAGGCCCCTGTTAAACTCCTATCTTGCTTCTCGACTCCAACTCAACCCCTACGTCATTTTTTCGTGTCTGAGGGAATAAGAAATCCCTCACCCTTTGAACCAAATGGTTTGCGGTAATTTATTTTAGGTGCACGTGTTTTACTAAAAAATCTCCTGTATATCATTAATATACACAGGGTGCTCCTCTTTGAGGGATTTTAACTGTCTCCTTGCTATTTTTAGGTCAGAGAACTGGCATTGCCTCTTTGTTAGGGCAACCTAACAGATTACCTGTGCCATGGAGAGAGAAATCTATAGCGGTCAAGACAGCAGTCACTTAGTGTCACTCCACTCTTGGCTTTGTCAGCTTGAGCTATAGGGGGCGCTATATGCAGTTATATCCCTCTCGCTATCTCCTACTCCCTTCCCCCTTTAATATTTACGATTTACGAAATCAGAAATTATTACTGTTCTTACATGCAGAACTCTGTCTAGAACCTTCCGGTACATCAGCTTTAGTGTGTAACAAAACCACAGTAAGCAACCCCTGTTATATTATTATTCGCCACATTTGCATCGAGGGAGGTTATATTGGTTCAGAGTAAAAGCACTAACTTGTTTACGCCGACTAAAATTAGTTCAACTCTAGAAACATCAAACCTTTAACCACATCTTATGGTTTGAGTCTTCTACTTTACTAGCATAGCCTATATTGGATTTTCTTTTGTTTTGCTCTTTTTTTTGCAACAAATTCCTGACAAAAAATTTCAACTCCTTTCGGTTAACCAACGCCAATTAACGCATTTTAATCATCTGAAAGAAGTGCTTCATTCATTGATAGCATAAGAAACAGGAGACATATTAGACCAAGTCTATTTTGCAGAAGCTACCTTTTGCAAACAACTTTTTGTCAGATTTAATATTTAACCGAACCTCTAACATACAGGAATCATGAGACAACGCGCCAGAAAGAAAGGGATGACAGGCTTTAAAACAAGGCAAAGTGACTCTCCTAAAATACACAATTAGCAGTACCTTGGAATAGTGTTGCTATTTCTAACTTCTATACATTCAATTGCTTTCTTTCTTCGTTGCCCTTATTGTAAAGATTGCACAAATATATATATAACCTGCAAAGAATAGGCACAGTCTCAACTGAAATGAGAGATTCTCACGTCTTTCATTTCAAACACACTTATCTTGTAAGCCGGAGGTTTATCGTTACCGTAGAGAAATCAATTCGAAGATAATTTGATGTCTTGAAAGTTGAACAAAGAGGGACCCTGCTTGCCTAGTTCGCACGTCGGAAATGCTCTATCATTCTACTAAGTGGATTGCCATTCATTGGAACGGACACAAGATTGTGGCTGTACTGGGAAAAGACACTCTGAAGTTTCTAATTTACATCATCGGCAATACTATATTCTTTCTGCCTTGAAGTAGAACAATCCAACAATAATATGGCCTCTTGGTGTTTTCACATTTGCTCATAAATGTACATCGCAACTTATAAAATGGTCTTGGATCCTTCATCTGCTTGAATGTGAAAAAAAAGTTGTAGGTATTAATTATTCACAAAATCTCTTCTCTCAGTCCCATCTAACACCATCCTAATCCCATTTGCACTTCGGAGTTACGACGTTTCTTTATAAATTTCGGAAGAATACCGCGCTGATGGAAAAGATAAAATTTAAAATGAAAATAAAAAATTTCAAAGAACAAATTATTCAAAATATTCCGAAACTAGCGCAAAACTTTTTAAAGAGTCATATCAAACACCTCAACTTCTTGCCATGCTTTACATGAATGCAGGTACAAGAATAGCCCTAGATTTCTATCAATGGGACATTCTACTAAAAGTTGTTGCATACACGGGAATCAACAACATCACTCAACTTCTTTCCCCTGAAAACCGACTATTCCTTGAGCAGAATAAACATTTGAAACGAGCTATAAATCATGTCATTGGTAATAAAGTAGATCTTCAGTACAATAACAGAATAGATAGGTACTCCTTCTTGCACATGTATTTAAGAACGCCAAACTGTATCGACAAGTCGATATTGAAATTTCTCCCCAGTGAACAGGAGTTTCTCAACCTATATGACTATTGTGTGAACGAGAATGTATCAGCCATCTTGAACATATCATACTATATGTGGACATCTAATGACTTGGTCTGTTTTACAGATTTAGTAGCCAAGTTGAAAACAGGCCCTATTCAATTCAACATTGAACTCGAATTTGACCCCGGTTTCCAGTACCATTTTAATGGTTTGCGATTTTTGCACTCACTTGAAAGTATTGGCAACAAAATTAATGCTCTCGTCATTGACCAATGTGCTGAGTCTTTTGCATTGGATATGAAGCTGTACCCCAATATGGAAAGTTTGAACTTGTATTTTTGCCCTTTTGCTTCGATTGACAATTTAACTCACCTGAAGCTTAAGCTGTTGGTGTTTGAATTCAATGGTGCAGAACATGCAAAGCACCTACTTGACGGATTACCTCCAACTTTAAAAATTTTTCAAGCAAATGTTCATACAGTGTTTTTGATTTTGGAAAGACTCAATGCTGGGGAATTACGATTACCTCAGCTAGAGGCGGTGATTTATTGGAATGAGAGACGAAAACAGTTGCTGGTGCCGATAGAGTTCCTCAAACGTGCTATATCTGCTTCTACAAAGCACCTTGAATTCAAAAGCTATATTTATACTCCGGGAATTTCAAGAGAGGTAACATCATTGTTGGAAAGTGCTTCCGCAGAAGGCTTGACGTTGGAGCTGCTATCGCTCAACTTTGGCTTGAATGCGCCATTGAGTATCTACCCAATGACAAGCCTAACAATCACCAAAATGAACCAACCAGACATTCTCTTCGAGTTGCAATATCCACCCACCTTAAAAAGGCTCGACTTGTCAAACAACTCAATTGAAGATTTATCACCAATCACTATGCTTCTCCCACCCGGACTTGAATTTCTCAGTTTTGAACACAATCCAATCAGCTGGAGCACATATCTACCCAACTTTGCAAAGTTTGCCAACCTCAAGTACCTCAGGTTGATGAATACGCACATTGGCAAACATTTTCAACGGTTTCAATTCCCTGACTCCTTGGAGATTTTATCACTCGAAGTAAATCAAATAGAATCAATCGATCAGGTAAAGTTTCCCAAAAGCTTGGTCAATTTAGGCATTGGGTCAAACAAGATAAAAGTTGTTTACAAGCCAAAGTTTCCACCAACAATCAAGACTATCCACTTTACTGAGAATAACATTTCCAAAGTTGATCTTGCCACCAATCATATCGGCCAACCGTTGCAAATCAAAACTTTGTATTTAGACTACAATAAAATCACGAGTATGAGTAATGTCAAGTTACCGCTGAACCTAATCATACTCAATTTTGACAATTGTTGCATCCACACATTGCTGGACATTGAATTTGGTAAAACAATTGAAGAGTTGAGTTTCAGTGGGTGTGAGATTAGAGAAATGAGAAATATAATATTTGAAAGTGAATCTAAATTAAAGTACCTTTGCTTGTCGGATAACCAACTCAAGACAATTGGTTTTGAGCCGCCACAATCTGTCATCAACATTAACCTTTCTTTGAACAAGATTGCTAAGATTCCCCATCAACTCGCCAATTTGCATAACTTAAAGTACTTGAATCTTGCCCAGAATAGACTTCGAACAGCCACATTTCTGTTTCACACGACCACTTTATCAGTATTGGATCTCTCGTTTAATAGCATCCATAAGATTCAGTTGTCATTTCCAAGAAACACCAACACCAACTTAAGACTGGTTAATTTATGCACAAATGAGCTTTCTCAATTCTCCATTAAATCAATAGGACATGATCAAAGCAGAGGCACCATACATGGCAAGCTATTTGAAATTGATTTGTCGGTGAATCCCATAACAAAAGAGGATATGGACGCTTTAATAAAAGAGATCCCATCATCGGTTCATTGCTTGTGGTACTTCAGAGAAGCGAAGCTAGACTCGGCTCTTGGTCATGAGTATGTGTCAAACTGCTTTCACGACGGCTTGTTACTGCTGAAACGGTGCGATGTGCCATCAATTGCGTGAGTCAAAAAGAGAAGTTGTACATTTTTGACTATAGTGAACTGTTGTTAATGGGGCTATAACAACTTTTAGTAAATAGAAATTATATAAAGCTTATAACTACATAGCTAATCGTAAAATACTTTTCTCTGGATGCAAAATTGGCTGCAAAATTGTGAGTTTTGGCAAATCTGGCCTGTGAAAGCTACTCACAGTAACCTACAATCATGTACTTACTAGTATTATTCTACAAACAGACACTTTGTAGGTTCCTCCCAAACAGTGGAAATCAGTCAAAGTAGACAAGGTGCACTGGTGCTACCACGTACTCCCCACAGTTGACATTTGTGGCGAAAATAGAAGGTTGCATGATGATCAACAGAAAAGCACATCACATCCAACAACTTCCACTAATCACCCCTCCCCCAATTAGCTCTCCATGAGGCTTAAACTTATACATGCAGGCCTATCACTAGCTACCATCTCCCAAGCAAGACAGTTCCATTTAGATACGGGGTCCAATGCAGTATGCTTCGAAATATCAAATCCAACAACGATTGAGATTACAAAAACTTTAGGAACAGAGCCACTTCCATTAGCATTATTTGAGTATAGCCACCGGAATTCACTTCAAGGTTTACCCAATTTTGATTTCTTAACAACGGATGCGAAATTGGATGAGTATTTTGAATTTGGAAAATTTACTTTCGTCGTAGAGGATCCCTCTCATGCATTTAATGAGATCTTGGAAGAGAGTTTGAAATTCGATGTTACGCCCAGTGTATGGTGTCTATACACACCAAAGATACTGGTTTATGAGTACAAGGTTAGCATTGATGAACCGGGTTATTATGAAAAATACGATGATATTTGGTGGTTAGTTGTGAATGCATCGGTCAGCTTATTTTTTGCGCGATTGTTCAACATTGGCTCAAACCCACCCATATTATTCAAAGCGCAGGTGCACCTACAATTGATTAAAGTGGTGGTGTTTTCACTAACCACGCTATTGGTATTTTTTAACCTAGACATTGCCAAATATGCCAATTTTATCTCTGCAAGCTTGGATGATGTGTTTACCGTGTTGTTCCTTCTGGGATACGGACTCACCTATGATAGCCAACAGGGACGTAGCATAAAAAAGATTGCATTTATAACTTTACTTTGTGTTATACCTGCCTTTGGGATTAGGTATTTTGACTTGAAAACCAACATCCAGTACATTTTGATTAATAACCAGCACTACAACGTTGTACAAGGAGTGTTGGGTCCAGAAATATACGATGGTCTTGACAGAGTAGCAAGATTAATGTGGAAAGGCACGGTCAATAGTTTAAGCGGACCCGTGACTTTCCTCTTTGCAACTTCCAAGATTGTAAAGATTTCTGCCTATATTTATACCATGCGCAAAACATTGAAACAGATATCAGCGGGAAATCCAACTACAAGACCATACTATATCTGGTCGATTGTCATCTGGCTATTTCTTTGGCTGTTGGTGAGTGCTGGTATGGCACCAGACATGTTTTACAATTATACAAAAGTCACCAACTATGCAAAAGTGTTGAACGAGTTCATAATTTCGTTTAAACGAAGACGGTTTATTACTTTTATGTGGGATGAGTCACATTGGATTGTATTTTGGTTGATTTGGTATTCATGCAAGGGCTTGATGGTGGAGAGAAAGGTGAATATTAAAGAGCAAGTAGATTAAGTAGGGATCTTTTGTAAAGTTATCTTTGTGCACAGAACAGGAAATTTTGTTTTTTGTTTACAATTTGTTTCGAAATAGCTTTGAAAACCCCTCTTTCTTCACCAACAAGAGCCCCTACTACCCCATGAATCCACATTCGTCAAAAAAGAGACCATTGGAAGAGGTTTCACCAAACATTACTTGCTCTCCTCCAAAAAGGCGAGCGTCTTTTGGGTTTGAAATGGCGAGCATCCCAACAACGACAATAACAAATGGGTACAATGAATCAACAGTACCTAGTAAGATGGAATCCAAGCTCCCAAAACTATACACTACCGCAAACTCGAGCTTATCAAATTCTTCCCAACTGTCGGACTTGAACGACTTTCAGAATAGGATATTGTCTATACAAGAGAGATTATCCAGGAAACCACCAGTGACTACTTCAACTCCATTTGAGTACAGAAAAGTAACTTCTAATGCAGGTTCGAATGAGCTACAGGAGACACTCCATTCACTTAACCAAGAATGTCGGGAGAAGCAACACAAGTTGGATCATCTTACAGATGAGTTGAGCAAGTTACGTCGGATATACCGCAACTACCAACAAAGGGTTGACACCGCCATGAGTGAAGTGCTGAATGTTCAAGCAAGATTGGACTATATGGGGGAAGAAATTGTCAAGTACGTCTCTAATGAAGAAAAATTGATTGAGATCAAATTGAATGAAAACAAAATGAAACTAGAGAACCAATTTAAGGAGATTGAGTTTGAAATGGTGAATGAGTTGCAAGAAATGAAAAACTTTGATTATACTGAATTGATTGGTAAAATAGATGTATTGAAACAGGTTGAGCTGGAATTGAAGGAGGAGCTCAAGCGTCAACTGGAGTTGAACGATGAGGTATACGAAGTGGAATTTGATAAATTGAAACAACTGTTTGAAAGTAACGTAAAGGAAGTACAACAACAGGAAAACGAGTCCAACTCTGATTTAGAGCAAGTGCAGAAAGAGTTTGACAAGGTAACTGCAGAGTACCAATCAATACTGTCTAAACTTGGGTTTCAGAATCATCAGGTGGAAGCACTCAAAGAGGAAATAGCTACTATTGAAGAAACCATGAACAACTATCTCAGCATCAAGAAAGAAACTGAACTCAAATTATCCAATGTAAGACAAATGTTAGATGAAAAAACCACCAAAGATAAAGCTGAGCAGGAGGATTTTGATGCAATTTACCTCGAGTTCAGTTCATTACACGACAAAGTGAAAAAGCACGACGAACATCGAAGAATTTTAGAGAATTCAATAATGGAATACTTGAGGAAAATACGAGTATATGCAATTACCGAAAAAGAAGAAGATAAAGAATATGGAAATAGCTTCAGCAAATGCTTCCTGCAGGACACTCCATTCTCTTTTATTATTGATGAGTTTTCTCACTTGATCAAGAGTGTTTATCATGGAACTAATGTCGGTATTGTGTGCCAATATTTACCCGGGGATACCATAATCATTCAAGCTATGAAACAACTATTACAACTCCAAAAACAGTCAACAACTTGGCAATTTCAGCTTGAGTATCAAGCAGTGGCAATCAACCACTCGATTGATCTATTAACCCTGTCACAATTTGCTCAATCAAGCATATTTGGAAGCCAAAAGATGCGTATTGACGAACTTGAGCGGGTTAGCAATATCATAAATGGATTTGATGTAGCAAAAGATGTGATTGTGCATGCAATTTCCGTCAATGGTGTGAAGCAAGACAAAAAGTTTGATAGTCGAATAGTCGTGGTTGATGTGTCACAAGTCGAATCCGATGAGCAGATCAATGTAATGCAAAAGTTGTTGACCAACGAAAAGTTGACGTACTTGGATAGATCAATCGATTGGATTTCTAAAAACAGTGTTCCTTTGGTGGTTTCGAAAATAAACGATGAAAATGTATTTAATCTATTAAAAACAATTAACTCAACCAACGTTGCTTGCAAGAAGAAATAAATGAATAAATAAATGTGTAGTGGGCTTATAAGTTTATACAAATGGATGCTGATTTAACTACATAGTAGAGACCAAATCATGCAAGACCCATTTCAACTCATCAGTGGTACCAATATGGGCGTCTGGTCGTGGTAATGCTTGCTGTGGTTGCTGTTGTTGTAGTAGTGGTTTATGAACTTCAAGTTCATTAGATTCAGCTGTTTTGCCGTCATTGGAGCTAGCTTGGCTAGTTGCTGTAGTTGGATCAGTAGCAGTTGCACCTCCTGCACCTGCAGATGATGATGGTGTGGGAGTAGATATATTTGCTCCTATATTAGACGAATTATTACCGGAAACTGTAGTGGGTGCAGTTGTCAAAGGCTGACTAAACTTTTTCCTATCTTCCAAATAAGATGCCGGTTTTGGTGGTAAATTATAATTGAAGCTTTTGCCTTGATAATCATCATTTTCAAGCATAACGTTACCCAATCTCAATTTAGGTCCACACGGTTCAATGATATGAGGAAACATCTCAAATGTATCGTATAAATCCTCCACCGATAATACCATGTCTTTATTATGCGTGGTATCTGGAAATGCAGGCGCTGGTTTTGAGCTGGATCCAATGTTGATGCCGTCAGCGTCGTTATCGAGTGGCACGTAATCGTTGTTGGTATACTTGTTCTTCCTGTACTTTGCTACATCGATAGCACTTTCTACGATATTTTTCAAATGTGATTTCAAGCCTAGGAGTAATACTTCAATAACCCCAGAGTTCAATCCCCCTGTCAATCCGTGCTCTCGCATTGTCATTAAGATTTGCTTTGAAAGGGTATCGGCATCGGGAATCTCATAACTTTCAGTAGCTATTGGGGCATTTATACCATTCAATACGTCTTGTTGCCACTGGACCAAGTTATTTACTTGCAATTGTTGCTGTTCTTTATCTTGAATCATGGGTATCTTTGGCAACAAAGTATGACGAGTCAAAGTGATACCGGCCGTGAGTTTATTTCGTTTCCCACTATCTCTTGTAATATTCTTGATCCGTCTTCTCTCCCTAATAGGAAGCCCCATTATGTTTTGTTTAAACTTTTCATACTGCGTACTTCGTACATTCTTGTTCACCTTGGAAAACTTTTTGTTCCAAAACGAGGCCAACTCGTTAGGGAAATCTAATGGCCCGTCTTTTAAAGAATTGGCAAAGTTTAACATCAACAATTTATTATGATATCGAAACAAATTTTGTGGTTTTAAAAGCGGCGTAATTGAAGACACTAGTTCTGGTCGCGAAAGCTTACCGATAAGAAATAGACTTAATGTTTCATGATATTTCTCCCAGTTGGGTCCCAACTTACTTTGAAACTCCCGTATTAGCCTTTCCAACTCTATTCGTTTACCAGATTTACCCTTTTGTTGTTGTGGTTGTTGCTGCTGCTGCTGCTGTGTAGCTCCATTTGCGGTGACGACTGCATTTCGGCCGTTTGGAATTGACGCTGCTGTTGATACCGGCGTGGTAGCTGTTGTTGTTGCTACTTGAGTACTCATGAATAAATCAACTAGCTGTGAATATGGTTTATAAATTTAGCTGCAAATGGGGAAAAAGAAAAAAATAAAAATTGATTGCAAAATTATGGACTCTAAAAGTGACGTCTTTCAGTTTTGTATGGGGAAAAAAATATGAATAAATATGTAAGCGTGTATGTATATTTCAATGACGATATGTAATAAGGGTCTTCTAGTGAAACGAGGGCCAATAAAGTTGTGGGTGACTATTAGTATAGACCAGATATGATGAATTATATGTATTTGAGTGATTGATTGGGCTGTTTTGGATAAGTATTAGATGTCTAATTGAAACGCCTCTTATTGTCAATGTTTTTAATGTTGACTTTTCTGTTGAGAAACGGGAAAGAAAAAATGTTTCGAACCATTTTCTTTTTTTTATTTTATTTTTATTTCTTCTTCTTCTGCTTTGAGAAACTGTGGGTTTAAAAAAAGTGATTGTCGCAAATTATTTATAGTGTCTCAATATTATATTTACGACAATTTATTCTGCAGACTGAGACAGACCATGTTTCATACTTTACCTAAACTGTGGCTTCGCATTCAAGAGTCAGATCTTCCCCCCCCCCCTTATCCCCAATTCTTCTAAATCTCTAAAGATATTAATTTAAGTGGGCTGGTTCAACCAGTTTGAGGAGGAAAATGTGACTATCCTAAAAGCGTTTTTCGGAAGCTAAAAGACACTCTTGTAAAATGAATGCAGCATCCCTGCTCTTCTGTATTAACAATTAGCGGTCAAAGCTGGTCAAAGCTGGGCAAAGTGATTACTTTGCCCACATTTTAATATAATAAACTTTGCTTGAAAGTCAGAAGAGACGGATATATTCAATCACTCAGGGAAGAGATTCATGTCAACCCTGAAAGCCGATAATTACCAACCTTTCAAGCAAAATCAACAACTAAACGTTTTCAAGACCTTCTAAAGCAAGAGATTTGGGCAGTCAGGAGCATATATAATCCGAGTAACACCAAAAGCTAAAAGATCACGGATTCGGAACGAGCTGCCGACGCTATCAAGTTTTTCCGAAAATTTAGATTATTTTAGCCTCGTAAGCCACTTCAGCAACTGAACTCAATAAAGCGCGACAGAGAGTCGCTACAACACCAAGGAGATAAGAGAAACTGACTTTACACAAAATGCATTGGGTCAATATGTTTTTTTTGCGGCCTTCGTTTGAGTCAAATCATTCGAAAAGCCTACAAAGCGTGGCATAATTCATTTGAATATAAATATGGTTCCAAATCCCTTGATTGATTCTGCGATGCTAGCTTCCACAACATATACTGAAAGTGGAAAACATGAAAGGCTCAACTGTTGACAGCGATATGTTTATGAATCAGAGAGTAGCTGGGCAACAACAGACTTCCAAAGGCGACGATGAATCATTTGCTGCGTCTGAATTAGAAGGGGACTCTAGAGAGGGAGATGGTAACGCCGTTGATAAGCAAGAGAAACAGCTGGATCTTATGACAAACAAGCTGGAACAACACCCAATTCAACTCCAGCAGCATCAACATGGACAACGGTTTGTTTCATTTCATAGTTCTGAATACAAGAAACATAGGGAGAGGATATACATTAGGTTTGCTTTGATCATACTTTCGATGGCTACATTATTGCTAACTGCACTTTCAATATACTGGGGTGCCTTTTATGAAATATCTGACAAGGTGAAGGATTTAAAGATGTTGGTAGTTATCGGTGACGAAAACACCATTGAGGGAGTCCCACCAGTATTTGGAGAC